AAATATGCAAAAATAAACAAAACAATTTCATTACTTACCCAAATATATCTGAATTACTGAAAATCATCTAATATATTTGGGTTTATAATTGTAATTTTGGATATTTGGGTTATTATAAGTATAAATATTACCAAAAATCTTAGATGTATACTTGTATTTTGGATACGCTCGGGTATCCACATAGGTGTCGGGCTTTGTTTGTTTGAATTCGAATTTTTGGTTTTTCGGATAGGAAAATTTAGGATCCATTCAAATATTTTTTCCAAAATCGGTTTGTTTATTCGATTCTGGTTATTTTACCCAACCCTACGTGGCAACCTTAACTCTTCAAATCAATTTAGAAGGTTCTTTTCTCGATCCCTCTATATCAGCTAGAGTCTCTCTCGTTCTCTCTTTGGGTTTAATAATCTTTAGATAACATAACAACAACACAGCTGGTGGGAAACAAAATCTCATCAATGGCGCTACGAACACTCTCAACGTTTCCGTCTCTTCCTCGTCGCTACACAACAAGACGCGAACCCAATCTCACCGTCATTTACCGAAATCCGGCGACGTCAATCGTCTGCAAATCAATCGCTAATTCCGAACCACCAGTTTCACTCTCAGAACGAGATGGATTCGCGGCGGCTGCTCCAACCCCTGGAGAGAGGTTCTTAGAGCACCAACGAGATCACGAAGCTCAGAAAGTGGTGAAGAAAGAGCTCAAAAAAGAGAAGAAGAAAAAGAAAGAGGAAATTGTACGAAAGGTTGTTGACACCTCAGTCTCATATTGCTACGGCTGCGGAGCTCCGTTACAGACTTCCGACGTCGATTCTCCGGGATTTGTCGATTTGGTTACTTACGAATTGGTATGAATTCGAGCTTCAGAATCTCAATTTTAGTTAGTTGATTGATGAACTAGATGGTTTCTTCTTTGTTATTGTAGAAGAAGAAGCATCACCAATTAAGAACTATGATATGTGGAAGATGTCAGCTATTGTCCCATGGACATATGATTACAGCAGTTGGTGGTAATGGAGGATATTCAGGTGGGAAACAATTTGTATCAGCTGATGAACTTCGTGAGAAGCTTTCTCATTTACGCCATGAGAAAGCTTTGATTGTCAAATTGGTGAGTAGATTGTTAGAATGGAACTTCTCTTTTCTGTTTTATGTACCAAGAATTCATCAACGTGTTGTGTCACAGGTTGATATTGTGGATTTCAATGGAAGCTTTTTAGCTCGTGTTCGTGACTTAGTTGGAGCTAATCCGATTATACTAGTTATAACTAAGGTAAGGTTTTACAATCTGGCTACTTCTTCAGTCCTTTTCAACTTTTTTCTGATACATAGTGGTGCTTTGTATTGTTAGATTGATCTTCTTCCGAAAGGAACAGATATGAATTGTATTGGGGATTGGGTCGTAGAAGTGACCATGAGGAAAAAACTTAAGTAGGTATCAAGTACTTATCTACTAGGTTTGTTGCCAGAAAGTGACTTAATGTTTCTGGAGCTAGTGTCTGATTTGGATGGATATAACTTTACAGTGTCTTGAGTGTCCATCTTACAAGCTCAAAGTCTCTGGATGGAGTTAGCGGAGTTGCATCAGAAATCCAGAAGGAGAAAAAGGTTGTGTATTTTTATATACTGCACCACCTTAAAGCTGTCTTGACTCTGCTGCTGAAAGATTTCTCTTGAGAAATGTAAATGCTAAGAATTGGCGTACATCTTGTTTCCTTTATGGTTCAACATCGGACAATATAACCTTCTATTCATTTTATCTTCTGCAACCTAACCTCTGTACCCTTGTTTTTGTTTCAGGGACGAGATGTCTACATTCTGGTATGTGCATTCGCAATTTTGTCACCAGCAAAAAAGAGTTTTAGTTAGTAAACCTATCGCTAACTGATGCGAGTTCTCAACTTTTTACTTAATAGCTTAACACACTTTAAATGAGAGAGGCGGTGCTTATTGAAAATTAATTTGCTTGAGTTTGATTTTCTTTTAGGTCCATTAGAACAACAAACTCGACACTACACTGTTCTATATGATCACTAATTCATAAATATGTTTACTGGAGATATAGGCTGTGCATTTATAAAGAAATTTCTCGGACAGTTAGCAAATATTCATTTATCATTCTTCATACTACAGGGTGCAGCTAACGTAGGGAAGTCAGCATTCATCAATGCTTTGCTGAGTAAGTCATTTGTTCTCCTTTGTGTTTGTGTCACTTTTCGTTGAAGTTTGTATCTGCTTGAATATGGTCTGGGTGCTGCTTTAGCCTGATTGCTAGTAGGGCCAATTTCTCCACAATATATGCTTCTATAAAGAGAGTTTGAGTACTTCATTATACAGAAACGATGGCCGAAAGGGACCCTGTTGCAGCAGCGGCACAAAAGTACAAACCAATTCAATCTGCTGTCCCTGGAACCACCTTGGGTCCAATTCAGATCAACGCCTTCCTCGGAGGAGAGGTATAAACTTACACCACCACCAGATTCTAGAAATTTCCAAAAATTGCCACAGTAGACATTCTGCTAAAAGAATATCTTATTACCACAGAAGTTGTATGATACACCGGGTGTGCACCTACACCACAGGCAAGCAGCTGTTGTTCATTCAGATGATTTACCCGCCCTTGCTCCTCAAAATCGGCTCAGAGGCCAGTCTTTCGATGTAAGTCGGCTATATTACGGCCAGTAAAGATTATTTCAGCGTAACATCAGTATGATGATTTAACTGTGCTTTTTGTTCCTTACAGATTTCAACTTTGCCAATTCAATCGTCAAGTAGTCCCAAGGGGGAGAGCTTAAATGGTTATACATTTTTCTGGGGAGGTCTCGTCAGGATCGACATCTTGAAGGTAATATTAGAACCAGAATAATGCTGAATTATGTTTCAAAGTGGGTATCAGAATTTTTTTAAATCATTATGTACTTGACATATTGCAGGCTCTACCAGAAACATGTTTCACATTCTATGGACCAAAGGCTCTTAATATTCATGTAGTACCAACCAAAACAGCGACTGCATTTTACGAGGCAAGTTTCTTTCCCCATCAGTATCAACTTCATTACTAATTTGAAGACAAGTTAAAATCTTCTTTTTACCATTTACTTTATACTCATTTGTTCTGCAGAAAGAACTGGGTGTGCTTCTGACACCTCCATCAGGGAAAGATCAGATGCAGGAGTGGAAAGGGTTACAATCTCACCGATTACTCCAGATCGAAATCAACAATGCAAAAAGGTGAAAAATTTATCTTCCATTCCTATCTATCTTTGGTAAAACGAATGATCCTCACCTAACGTTGACACACTTCTTGCTCAGACCGGCTAGTGATGTCGCGATATCTGGGTTAGGATGGATTTCAATTGAACCAATCCGCAGAACACGAGGAACTGAACCTAGAGATCTCAATGAAGCAGAGCATGAGATACGTATTTGTGTCAGTGTGCCAAAACCAGTTGAAGTGTTTCTCCGACCAACATTGCCAATTGGTACTTCAGGTACTGAATGGTATCAGTATCGTGAGTTAACCGATAAGGAAGAAGAAGTGAGACCCAAATGGTTCTTTTGAAATTTTTGTTTAGATGCAAAAGTATCGGCTACGCTTCTCAAACAAGAGTTATACTAAAGTAATGTACAATAGAAAATTGTTTGTAATGAAATTTACTGAAGTAGTATTCAATAAATTAAACATCAAGTCAACAACATATCAGAAACTGAAAATTGAAAAAAAAAAAAAACCTACATCAACAATTCAACATGTAAAACAGTAAAACAAGTCATTACACACCGATGGCATCTCCAGTAGATGAACCACGATCATCTTCTGCCGGAACCACCACATTATCATACACTAACGCAGCTGTGGCTCCTCCAAGCAGAGGCCCAACCCAATACACAGCTTGGTTCTTAAAACTTCCATAAACCATCGCCGATCCAAAGGCACACGCCGGATTCATCGAACCTCCAGAGAACGGACCAGCGGCTAGAACATTGGCTCCCGCAACAAACCCTATGAATATAGGTCCCACTGCTAAAGGTAGACCACGTCTCGGATCGTTAGCCGTGAACACAGTATAAACCAGGACAAACGCTAAAACCCCTTCAAGAACCGATGCTCCAAATCCCGTCATTTCTCCAGCAATCTTATAGATCGGCACGTGCTGATAAATTCACAAAACAAATCAGAAAAACCAAACAAAAGAAAGAACACAAATCAGACAAAAAGTAAACGAAACAATGTAACACTAAATGTTTAGTTACCTGTTCAACGACAGTTACTTTAAGGACAAGACAAGCCATAACAGAGGCAATCATCTGAGAAGTCCAATAAAACATAGCAGTTGGAACACTAATCCGACCTGCAACCGCCATCCCAAATGTAACCGCTGGATTCACATGACCACCAGAGACGTTCCAAGAGATGTAAACCGACGATGATAACGCAAACGCATTTGCAATCGCCGGTATTAATACACCAAACGGACCAGACACATCACCCGCCATCAGTTTCCCTAATAAAAAAAACACGATTAACAATTTCTTCTTATAACAAAAAAAGGATCAAACTTATCTAGAAACAGAGTAAAATTACTTGAAGATATGACAGAACCAACGGCTGCGAGGACGAAGAAGAAGGTAGAGATAAACTCTGATACATAACATCGCAACGCATTCATACTTATAACTCCTTGAAACCTACTTGAAAACGATGTTGGAATCATTGTTCTCATCAATTTCTTTCGTAAATCTTCTCTCTGTTTCTGTTCTTTAGCGAATATAGAATCGTTATAAATCTATAAATATTACGAGAAGGTAACGACTTTTGATGAAAATGAATTTTTTAAAAAAATTAACCGTCCCAATGAGGGTGAGAGAGTGGGAAGTTACTGTACTTACAGTTATTAAGTTTTATGAATTTCATAAATGCCCCCACGTACATGTATTTTACTTTTTTATAACCTTAGTTTTGTTTGAATTCGATTTTGACCCATAAATAATGTAAAATAGAAATGTTTCATATATTCAAGTGAGTTACAACGTTTGCTATGTTCATTCCAAACAACAAACATTAGCATTTATTACATTACATCTCACGATGGCCAATTTCTATACCAACCAGCCCATGCCGAAACTAAACCGCTTATACCGAGTGTAATCGTGTGGTTACAAAAGGGGTTTGGGTGAATTTCTGCCAATGCGATAAGTAAATCCGCAATGTTGGCCGAAATTCCCATCAACCTCATTACTATATCTCCTCGAATCTCGCTAATTTTTGCGCCGATTTCGTCTTTCGGTTCATCGGATGACCGGAGTTTTTTCAAGGATTTGAGTCTTTGCCTTATGAAAATGCAATCAATGATGATGAAGAAAGTGTAGCCGAAAGATTCGCCAAAAGCGGAGATGAAACTCATTTTCTTGGCGAGCTTGGCGTCGATTGTACCAATTCTTGATAACCAAAGAAAATGATCGAAGAAGAAGTAAACCATCTCTCCTGAATTGGCTAGGACCGCCAAGAAACGGATCACCGGGGTTGCCCCGGGGTTTCGCCTCAGCGCATTGAACCCCGTGAGAGATCTCCCGGTCCTGTTTCGCATAATCCGACCATAAGTTAACAATGATTAATGCTATTGTAAATATATCTATTCAATTGTACTTGTTATCATTTAATATAAACTATAAAGTTCCCTTATTAGTATTAGTGACTATTCAAATTTGGTAGATGAGATAAGATATTAATCAAGAAGTGAATTATAGCAAACATTTCATTTCATTTCATGTATTAAACTATATTTACGATGATGCCACTTTGTAGATAAAGTGATTGATATAAGAAAGATGTGGGACCTGAAGGCTTTGCGGCTGAGACCGGACGCGACCTCCCACTTCTTGAACCTATCGGCGGCTTCTGGTTGCGTGGCCTCAAAGCGCCAGCACGCGAGCTTGGCAACGTATTGGAATGTCTTCACAAGCTTGTCTATTCCGTCTCTCTTGGCCAAGAACACCACTAGCTTGTCCACTGTGTCCAAAGACATGGCTAACGGTAGCAGAAGGAAGGAGAGGAGAAGAGAGAGAGATGAAAATATGAAGTTATGGAGATGATGAAGACGATGTAAACCACAAGTGACGTTTGTGCTCGAAACAATCGAGTTTTGTCTTTTGTTTGTTTTGAGGTTTGAGTTTAAGATGATTGCTTTGTGGTTGCTAATATTGCTCTTGTTGTCTCATATTTTGATATCAAGGGTTGAGATAAATAAAAATTATTTCTCTTTTATATGTGTGGAAGAAACTTTCACAAATATTCACTGATTTTTTTATACACAGAAAAAAAAAAAAAAAAAAACTGTTTTTCAATTATTTTAGGTTTCGTATATCGAGATTGAAGATAATTCTCTATTTTATAAAATGATTGAGCGTTGGAGAATGTGAGCACAAATAGATAAGTGAGATTCTTTGTACAAATGGGTTTGATATTGGGCTTGAGCTTAGGCTTTAGCTCGAAACTGAAAACAAATAGCCCAAATCTTTGGACGTTCTGAAGTCTATGAAACTTAACCAGCTGGATTCTATAAAAATTATGGAAGATGAAGCATGATTCAAATGAGCAGTATTATAGTAGCACAATCAAATCAGAGACAAATCGAACAAGGTAGGGATTTAGAATTTGGACGAAACTAGAATCTAGATGAAATAATGCAACATTGACGCTACAAATAGTGAACATGCAACAATGAACAATTCGACAAGAGCATGATGAAATATTCTATTGCCAAACTCTTGTACGCAATAGAATATTTGATCACGGTTTTATAAAGTCCATGAGTGTTAAAAAGAAAAACATTGCGTTTTCGACTATCAATCTTTTAATCTTTTTTTACCGGCTGTCAATCCAGAGATTTACAGCGGTGAAAGACATCACTTCGTACGTATCCCGCGTTCGAACATCGTGGATACCGAACTTTTGGCATTTTTAAACAAACAAAAATGTATAGATAGATAGGAAAATCAAATTCAATCGATCTTCATAAAACAACAAGAGGCTAAACATATGGTTCATCGATGTGTCACTTAAAAGGACACATCAAGTTTTTTTTTAAGCCTAAAGGACACATCAAGTTAGGCAAATAATTGAAGATATGTAGATAAAATAAATATTTCTAATGGTTGTTTCTTTTTCTCAAGTATCAATTTTGTTCATATGAAACCAAGAAAAGTATACATAAAAAGTAAATACGCCTTATCCTTCAATCTTCGGCTGTGTCTGTATTTTGGAATGGAGAGACTCTTCCGACATTTAGCAGTTCACATCTTGGCCCATATGATAAAACAACCAAAAAATCATTTATTTCATGATTTTCTTACCAAAAATATATTTGATGTCGCTTTACTTCCTTCATGTATGTTCTATATCCTACCATGGCCAACAATATTTACCCGTAAAATTTTTAAAACAATTATAAAAATAACGTGTTAAGTCTTCTTATTATTATTATTATAAGAAATGATCTCTTACAATTAGAACTTATTTGTATAATCTTTTCGATTCATGGAAAAATCCTAATCTTGAAAGATCCGGTTTACGAAGAAGTCAAAATCTACATACATGCACATTGTTTAATTAAAGTTGTAAAGATAAGTATATTTAATATAAAAAAATTGTAGCTAGCTACCGTCATATGATTAGTCAATTAATTTGTTTTTGCTCATTTTTGTTTGGCACTGCAAATTTAAGTACCGCTTGCAAATACTAAATACTGGTCTAAATTCTACGGTTAGAAAAAATGCAAAGTAAGATTTTGTCACATCATTTTTTTTTTTTTTTTCATATCAAATATCAGCCCTCCAAATATAAATTAAATTGTATTCCTAACGAGGACTTCTTTATACAGTCATTTGTCTTGGTCACAATCCACGTAGAAGTTGGTGATCGATGTTCATCGATTATTCTATTTTGTTTCTTATGGAAATCTGAAAAACGGAAGAAATATTTTCTTGTGGTCATGAAAATTTCAAATGACTAACGTAATGACTAATGAAGAAGCCACAGCCATATATATATATAACTTGTTATTAATTTGTCAAAGATTCTAAATAACAAAAAAATAGAGACGCAAAACTATCAGAAATTTCGTTGACATAAGAACTTTCATATTTTACATAGAAATACTATATATATTGAGTTTATCAGTTGTTATCAAAATCTGTAAAAATAAAAAATATAAAAAAATCTGATTATATATAGTGTAGAAATTTCTCATAAATTATGACAATTAAATTCTGCTGACATTGTTATTATTAGCTAAGATAATATGACCTAACAAAGATTTGTTATTAAATTTTAAGTGGAAGCTCGTGTAGAGTGTTTGAAACTATGACCAAATATAATAATCCAAGTAACACCACGTCGGTTCGAACCCAAGGCTAGAAATCCATCTAAAACATTTGGTCGCCGAGTCATCATCAAAAGGATCGACCCAGTGAAACAACAACACCCACAATTATTACCACGTCGGGCGGTTCCGTACAAAAATACGTGGCAAATGGGCCCGAACATGGGCCCCGACAAGTTGATAGAATATCCACTGCACGTTAAGTATAATCCTTCGGGCATATGCGAATATGCCATTTCCCTCCATATTGATCTCAAAATTACGTAAGTACCCTTCTAATGTTTTTCAAAACTTTTGAGGTAATGTGTGTGGGACCCGCTGAGAACTCGTTGTTGTTTAGACGAAAGTACCCTTATTACATCAATTTGTGTAGTCCAGGATTTTCAGAAGTTTCAGAGTCGTCAGAGTTGAAGAACGGCGTGCCACGTCACACGTGGGCGGCCATGCCCATGAGTGTTGGATGGTGTTTGGCAGCTCCAGTTACATCATGAGATGATCACACATCCCACCATGTCCATATCTTAAAAGTTAAAAACTTTATAAAAATTATGACTTCAAAACTTAGTATAAGTTTACAATGTTACATACTTACATCATTTTGTTTTATAAAGACCTTACATAATAGTTCAAATCTTTTTTTTTTTTCTTTTTTTTTTTAATAATAGTTCAAATCTTACATATGTATTTGAGTCAATTAGCTGTATGCTAATTATTTGAGAAATAATTAGTTTGTACATACACAACTTTTATTTTTTGCAAAACAAGAGAGAGAAATCTTTGGTTTCGAAAAAATCGGACGAATTTACCCCTGGAATAAATAGCGGGAATTTTGCCTCCGAAAATGTCTTACCATGTGTTTCCTGGTAAAGCACATGTGTTTCCCGATATATCACTATATATCATGATATAAAATCAAAAAGATAATGGTTAGAAAAACCAGAAACTAATGTTGGATCATAAAAAACCAATCAATCTCTATGACGACTCTGCAAAGAATCCTCCAAATCAAGATCAACACCAACACGATTCCGAATCGATGCATTTGCGTGGCACGAAGAAGAAGAGCAAGATTAGCCTATTTCCCAAGCCAATTTAGCACTTTAACTTCATCCTCAACGCCATTGATTAGCCGCCGAATCAGAAGTTCCACTAACCCAACCTCCACCGTGAAACTGCAACATCACTGGTAGGGCCATAACTATGTCTCCGATCAGATCTGGGTTGGTGGTGGTGATAATTATCCTTGTGGCGTAACAAATCGAGTTCAGGTGGAACTGCTTGAAAGCCTCCGCCCTCCGGCTCCGCCTTTGAACAGAGAAGAGAGTTTCATCTTCTTCGTATCGGCGTGGACAGTGGATAGTGTGGTGGTGAACACTACAAGAAAATAGAGATATTGCAACATAATTATTGCAACGATCGTTTTTGTTGAAATCTTGCAATACATTTTGCAATATTTTTGCAATAATAAATACACATCGCAATTTTATTACAAATTCATTGCAATATTCCAACAAAAGCTTTTGTTGTAAATTTTCGTTACTAATTTGCAACTTTCTTACGACATGTTAAATTTCAAGCAAATTTTGCAAGAAAAAATTCAACGTTAGTAAGTCGTTATTTTTTCTCAAGAAAATTATATTAAAAATACATAGCACCTATGTAGCTATATATGCAACATTTTTAGTAACATTTTGACAAGTCTGGTATATTTAGTTTGATTGCATAAAATTTTGTGGAACTGTTTGGGTTATTCGATAGAGACATGATCCCATATATTATCATATCATAATTTAGTGAGAGTTTGGATTGTGATTTTTTGTTCTAAGCATAAAAACCAAAATAAAAAGACCCATATTGATGAATACTAGTCAAATTTTACTATAATTTAAAAGTCCTGTAAAATTTTATACCGAATCATAAAAAACCAAACTAAACTGAATCCAAATTGAACTTAAACCAAACCCGAATTCTAGGCAACTCAACCAAACTACTATCGTGCATGCTTTTTGACATGTTAATTTTTTGTTTTTGACGCTACTATCGTGTACTTAAGTTTAAATAAACAAAGGTAAAACAAAATTCGTCAAACAAACAAATAATTATACGTACACGTAAAATGACAAATTGTGCTATTTAGCATTTCCTCCTTTTCCCGATTTTCTCTTAATTGACTCCAAATCTTTAAGTAGTTCTAGATTTTGGGATATGATCCTCTCAACAATATTATATATTCCATTATTTGTTTTTTTTTTGTTTTTTTTTTTGTTTAAAATACTAGAACCAACAAATATATCTTATAATCTTATAAATAGTAAATGGTATCTGAACAACTTTCTCAACCACATCGACACTAGATTAAAAGCTTGAGTTTTCTATATGACCAATCCCAACATCACGTTATCAACAAAACATAAAAAGTAAGATTTAAGAAAATTATGCTTTCTTTTGAGACTTGATCCGTGATTTCGTTTCCTTTTCTTCGGTATATATTGCAGACTTTTTAGGTAGAAGAACCGAGTTTATGTTAGGTACAACATCACAATGAGCGATTGTAATTTCATTCCGAAGTTTTCCGATTTCGTCATCGATCTTGATCGCAAGAGGAAGATTCCTCAAAATGGTCCTAAATTTTCTACTATCTCACACAGCGTTAGCAGCTTTATCTAAATTTTTCTTACTTCATCCTAAGTCCATAATTGTGTAGCTCTTCATTCGGACGAAGGTAGCAAAGCCAATACCTACCTTTTAAGATTTTTTTAAAATCTTTTTTATTCATTTTAACTTAATCATTTGATTTAATTTTTTGTTTTGTTTATTTTTATTGTATGATTTATTTTAGTACTCCCTCCGTATTTTAATAATTGTCGTTTTAAAAATTTTATTTTTTTGAATTGGATGTCGTTTTCAAATTTCTATGCAAAATTTATGACTTTTTAATGTTTTATGATGTCATAAAACATTAAAAAGTCATAAATTTTGCATAGAAATTTGAAAACGACATCCAATTCAAAAAAATAAAATTTCTAAAACGACAATTATTAAAATACGGAGGGAGTATTAACTAACGTTTTCTTTTTGAAGTTTTTTCAGATGAATCATTAAGGACCGATTTGTTAGAGCAGATCTTAACAAAATTGCAAAAATCAAGGAACAACCATGAAGCTAAGGCATTGGAGAAAATATTATTTCTTTTAAATCGACTATTATAAGTTTTTCTTATTTTATGTGGTTTTTATTTATCATTTGATGTTTTTAAATATTTTGATATTTATTTTGTTGGATGTTTATCCTTGTTGATTTCAATCTTGGAATTTTGTTACTATACATTTTAATTATAAAATTTAATACTGATTAGTCATTATAATTTTGTAACAACCCATGGATCGGATTTTAAATATAGCAAAATTATAGTGACAAAAACTATATATCGACCAAACGATTAAAAATAGAATCCTGATTATATATATTTTTATAACAATGCAAAATATTAGTTACGACAATACTTGCAACAAATTACGCTTTTGTCATTGTAACAAAGATTTTGCTACAAAGGTATTTTGCAAAATAGTTATCACAGTTTTGCAATGGTATTCGCTATATGTTTTATGTAGCAATGATTTACGACAAATTTAGTGTTGCAAATATACGTCGTAATTATACGACAAATTTGCTGTAAAAATATTGTTGCATTTATACAACATCTATAGTGAGAAATCGATTTATTGCAAATTTTACAACGTTTATGCTACAAATACGAATTTGCAACGCTCAATCAGCAACGATATAAGTTTGGTCGCGTTTTTATTGCAAATCTTAATTTGTAACGTTATATTGGCCTATAGCAACAATTTCCAATATTGCAATACCACCGTTTTCTTGTAGTGGAAGCTGGAGGAGATCGTGGCAATGGCAAAGATGGATGCGTGGGAAGATGAAGATTGAAGGGGTAATTATGTCATTTTGTCACCAAACCCAAACACCAGTTATTTACGAAATCGCCCCTTCTCTTTTTTTTTTTTTTTTTTTTCCACTGAGATAAATTGATAAAATAGAGAAGTATCAAGATAAAAGGAGAAAACAATAAGCAATTATAGACCAAAACATTGAGGTCGAAATGATAAAACTAAAAGCTTAACCGTGTGAACGCCCCTTCTCTTTTGACTTAATTATTTTTCAGTCTTACGGTATGCAGTGTAATTACTCTATGTATTTTCATAATATGTGAATAATCGGATACTTTTACTATTGAAAACGTATATGATTAATGTGGTTAATAAAATATTTGTCAACGTGGATAGTGCATAATTGCCTCTAACTAAGGTCAATGAAAATATACGATTTTAGAAAAATAAAATGGGTTTTGCATGATTTATATGTCAATGTTTAGGTCGTTATCACCGATTATATTAATACGGGACCGAGGAGATACGTATAAATCTTTTCCACTGTCTATTTGGTCGGCACTTTAATTCTCAAGTGTGTTATCTCTTGTTTTAGGTAAAATTAAAATATTACCATCACTAAAATTGCCGTCGATTTTTTATTTTTCAAACTACATTATTTACGATGTTTATATGGAAGACTCCCCTTATAAAATCATATCAATTTTTGTTAATGAAAATCATATAGTAATAGTATAAAAACATCACCTTGGATGATGTGCAATTATAAAAACTGTGAGCAAGTTAAAATTCGAAGCTCTTATTTTAATATCCAAAGGCCATTCACTATTTTCCTGTTTAATTGCTTATTTGCTTTGGTTTTCTTGTCTAAATCTTATACGTGCACATAACAACATTTCGTACAATTACATATATATATGCGCATTGTTGCTTGTTTTGGAAAGGAAACTTAGTTGGTTTATGCCTTGATGATCATAACTTCAATATAGTAATAGAACTTGCTTATCGGCGAAAACCAAGGAGGAAAACGCTGCCATGTTCGGTGACGAACCATAACTCTAGACTATGCCTTTACATTTATTATTATACAAAAGAAAAGAAAATATTTATTTTTTCTTAGCTCATCCCTTTCCCTTACTTACCTAATTCAACTATAGGATTTTCGTTCTACAAGAAATCTATGACCGTATTAGTAATATGTAGCCTAAAGTTTATAATATTGTTTTTGTGTCACTATCTAAATTCAAATTTGGTAGAGTATATCAATGTTGATAAAAAAAAAGTATATACATAGAGTTAGTAACACTTTATTATTCATACACAAGAGGTTATATATGGCCAAAAGAATTCCCCATGCCCTAGAACTCAACTTTTTTTTTGATAAACCCTATCGGCTGATCCGGTCGGCCTCGGTAGGAACGCACCGAGGTGCTACAGAGTGGACTTCTCCCGATCCAGGTAGAATTGGGCCACCACACTGCCTGATCCGAGTCTGTCAGTTGGGCCTTGGCCCAATTGGTTTACCTGGTAGTCAGAAATGCAGGCGGCCTGACTACCCCCTGGCATTAGTCGGAAGGCATTCCAAACCTAGAAATCAACTTCGAGAACAATTTTCATAATGGCAGGGTTCAAGAAGGTGCAGCTCCCGTCTCCCATCGATCAATTCGGGAAATTGAAGATGAGTGATGTGTAGTATGAGGAACCTCGAGAATGATCACTACGGCATATCTTCAATTTCCACGTATTCGAATTGTCGAAAACAACCTATCTTTCGTGACTATAACCTGATCTAATGAATAAGTGGTTAACTTGGTTATTCCCACTATAAATCAAAGACATCAAACTCTATTTCATCGTTTAAGTACAAACGGTGGTGTTCTTAACATCCACGTTGACTCGACCTTTACGAAGACCAACCTAATGATAATCCAGGCGACATACACATCCCATCGTGCTCCCGTGATACACGGTTCCTTTTGACTAGACAAAGTAATATTTCCTTGTTGATTACCAAGCATGATCCAAGTCTTTAATTTCCACTTCAGAAAGAGAGCCTCATGCATGCGCTACTCCATGTAGGAACTTGCATTCAACATACCGCATTATATTTCTTTCTTGTAGTTGTTTCCAAACTTAATTTCTTTCCAAACCTTTTATGATCTAAGCGTCGTGGGGACCTCAAAATGTATACCCGGTATCCCTAATGATATTGAACATTTTTTTCTGGGGTGGATGTTTATTTAGTTTCCAACTGTTATTTCCCTTAAACTACGGCCAATCCAATAATCCAAATGAGAATACTAAAGTTTGTACTCACATATCATCTAAGAAGAAAAAGACTTGAAGACTACACGACAAGGGGGGAAGGTGTAGTTATACATTACACCATACATATATAGAAATGTATATTAAATATTCATCTATAAAAAATAAAATTCTAAAACTTGTGAAAATTGATCCATCTCTAACTAGTGAACCCATCAAAATTGATCATATAAACATGCTTAATATATGGGTTGATATTTCAAATCCAAATTTACAAATAACACATATTGGATTAATAAAATTTCAACCCAAATTAACTCAATATTGGGTTGATAGTGAACCCTTTTTTATCAAAAAAAAAAAGAAAGAACTTAAATTAACATTCAACACCTAAGCTCTAGCCAATACGAATGAAAGTTTATGTACGAAGTGTTTGTTTTCTTCTTCGGTTCCAAACCACTTGTATTCCCTATTATTAAGTCTTTCGTTCCCAAAACAATTTTATTGTTTAAGATAACAATCCCTAGGAATAACTTTGTGATATACAAAAACACAATAAATACAGTACAAAATAGTAGATATCGCCGAGGTTGAGGTGAGGACCACGTACGCATATTGTAGACAATTTTAAAAGAGAAAATCTATAAACTATGCATTTGTACTTAAAGCATTTGTATAAAAGGCGCCCAACCATTTGTTTTACCGTATATATAAAATTTTTCTGACATCATGATAAAAACCGGCATTACTGTTACCTCTTTTTTAATTTTATTAATCATCCATTGAAATTGTATTGCAACGTAGACCACATACTGAAATATTCTTGACCCTAAAATATTAGTACACCAATTAAAGTATTTGATCAAACTGAACCAATTCTCAACAATTTTCTGAACGAAAGTAAGATGACGACAAAAAAACAAGTAAGATAAAACTAAAGTTTTTTGGTTCCAAAAGTAGTATTTACAAATTCTCACAAAAAATTTAAATAAGAAATGAAAGAATTAAATTTTGAAAAATATAGTAGAATGCAATATTTATTTTCAGCTTTAAATTTTATAAAACAAAAGAAAAAATGAGTTTTATATTTGTCAGTTTAGTTATATTCTAAGAAAATATAAAGATTTAGTTTTTAATGAAGATAAGAAAGATCAAGTATGTATAAATTATGTTAAAAGTCATACATGGATTGTATATCTAGAACTAAATGTATCTTCAACAAATATTTAGCAAATTGAGAAAAAAAAAAGAATCTAGCAAATTAATAATAAAAAAATGCATAGATTATTACGTACGCAATAAGCATCGTTAATTCATTGGCGTGGTTTGACAACCAGAGACGCAACTGGTAAGGATACAATCGTAATTATAAAACCGAAGAACATGATTTGTTGATAGAAGAGGGTGAGATCGTAATTTCCGAAATAAAATAAAAAAAAACCATTGAGCTCAAATATATAAACTCGTCGCCGTTGCTTGAAGCTCTAAAGCGTGTCCAAGTCTCTTTCTTTTGCATCTTCAAAGCAAATTCATCAAATTATTTCCAAATTTTTATTATCTTCTCAATAGTCACTACTCAGTCTTTAGAGTCATAAAGCTCGTCGAAGAGTTTTTTTTTGAAGGAAGCGTTATTTTTTGCTAAAGGTAATTCATATTCTTTTCCGTTTTTAAGTTTTTGTTATTGTTGTTACTGTTTATCTTTGAAGTGAAGTTGGAATGTTTCTGGTTTTGAGTCAAATCTTGGTTTGAAGTTTTCTTCTATTTTCTCGGAGATTTTTTTTTTTTTGTCCAATGGAATATTCTAGTAATTGTTACAGATTTTACGAAGGAATTCTTCATCGTTAGATCTCTTTCTTCATCGTCCCCGAGGGTTCTTTTATATATTTAACATTTTCTAGATTCGTATCTCAATTGATTCTGTTCTGTTTATACTAAATTTTTAATTTGAATATTTCAAGGGTTGGTTTTGTTTTTTGCATGATTTATTTTTTAAGATTATCACGATATTTTTAATTGGATTTAGATCAGGTCATGAGTTTAGTTTAAGGATTTGATGAATTTTTCAAGCTCTGTTATTTGCACTCCTATTTTTGTTTAAAGAATATTCCTTTAATAAACCAATTTAGAGGTCATAACTAATATAAGGTAAATAAATCTTTGATTAATTATCTACATAGATTAATAGATAAACCAATAGTGATTTATTAGTTGAGGTTTTGATGAATTTTCAACCTCTGCAATTTGCACTTTATTTTATGTTTAAAGAATATTCCTTGCAATATACCAATTCAGAGGTCATAATTCATATAAGGTAAAGAAATCTAGAGTAAAAAGGTAATAAAATCCGTGTTATTTAACTAATCAAAACACTTCAAATAGTTCCTCTTGAGAGTTCATAAAGACACAAGTACATAATCATGATCTGTCACTAATTCCGACACGTTTCTAGAGATTCCTCATTAGATGTAACCTTTATGTAACGCCAAGAGTTTCAAAAGTATAATTCTATATGAAATATTCGAATATACTCTTTTGTAGATTTTTCATCTAATATTTTATTTCTCCAATCTTCAGGTAAACAAAAACATTTGGATTTTGAGAATTGAAGAACAGTTTTCATGGGTTCTCTAATGCAATCTGAGCCAGAGATGGAGAAAAAACCAGTAGGGATACGATTCTTGGAACGTATCAAAGGCTCAAAGCTCTCTTACAATGCTTATCAAGCCATAGTGTTGATCGTGACGTTTCTCGCTTACGCTAGTTATCACGCTGCAAGAAAAACAACAAGCATTGTCAAAAGTGCTCTTGATCCTCAATCTCCAGATACAGGACTAAACTCACTTCTTTTGAGGTTTACTTCGTTTGGATCCGCTGTTAAAGAAGAAGGTGGTGGTTGGGCTCCTTTTAATGGTCCGGATGGTACAGTTTTGCTCGGTGAGATCGATGTCGCGTTTCTTGCGGTTTACGCTTTCGGAATGTATTTTGCTGGACATTTGGGAGATAGGATGAATCTTAGGATCTTCTTGACGGTTGGAATGATAGGAACTGGATTGTTTACTTCTCTGTTTGGAGTTGGTTATTGGGCTAATATTCATAGCTTTTACTATTTCTTGATTATGCAAATGTTAGCTGGATTGTTTCAATCTTCGGGTTGGCCATCGGTTGTTGCGGTTGTTGGAAACTGGTTTAACAAGAAGAAGAGAGGTTTGATTATGGGAATATGGAATGCTCATACTTCTGTTGGGAACATTACTGGCTCGTTGATCGCTGCTGCGATGTTGAGATATGGTTGGGGATGGTCTTTTGTTGTTCCTGGTGTTATCATTGTGGTGATTGGTTTGGTGAATTTCGCTTTCTTGCCTGTTAATCCAGAGATTGTTGGAGCAGAGCGAGACCAGGATCTTGATTCTTCGTCTGAGAAGATCGGAAACTCTGTTAACGAGGCATTACTATTGAGCTCGTCGGATTCGGAAACCGATGACAAGAAACGAGCTGTTGGATTCATTGAAGCGTGGAGGATTCCCGGAGTTGCGCCTTTCGCGCTTTGTCTCTTCTTTGCTAAATTGGTTGCTTACACTTTCCTCTACTGGCTCCCATTTTACGTTAGCCATACAGGTAATTTTACTGCATATTACTGAATTAGTACAAACCACTAGATTACTTGTCTTGGTCACGTAACTAATTACAATTTTGGTATGATGATTTGCAGCGATTGAAGGCGAGTATTTATCGGACGAAACAGCGGGAAATCTTTCGACAATGTTCGATGTAGGAGGTGTGGTTGGAGGAATCATGGCTGGTTACATTTCAGACCGAATTGGAGCAAGAGCGATTACCGCTGCGAGTTTCATGTACTGCTCAATCCCAGCTTTGTTCTTCTACCGAAGCTACGGACATGTTTCGTTACTAGCCAATGCCTCTCTCATGTTCCTAACCGGAATGTTGGTTAATGGACCTTACGCTCTGATCACAACAGCTGTTTCAGCCGATCTTGGAACACATAGCTCGTTGAAAGGAAACTCGAGAGCTTTGGCTACGGTAACGGCTATAATCGATGGAACGGGATCCGTTGGAGCGGCGGTTGGGCCATTACTAACAGGTTACATATCGTCTAGGGGTAGCTGGAGCGCGGTTTTCACAATGTTGATGGGAGCTGCGTTTGTGGCTGGACTATTGTTGACGAGGCTGGTTATGGCCGAAGTAGCGGAGAAGATAGCTGAGTCGAGACCATCAGAGGAATGTAGATCTCCGGTGGACTACGTCCAAGATCATGTGATGGAAGTGTGATCACCAACTTTGATCGCCATTTTTTTAGTAGCGTTTTAAGTTGTGTTTATTTTTTCATAGGGAAGATTTCGGACCGGAGTTTTGGTCTGTGGGAATTTGTAAACATGTAATCTGTATTGTGATGTACATAAATTACTATATATATATCGATTTGATCAACTTCTCAAAAGAAATAAAACCTCAAAATTACCATGGTTCAAGAAGATTAGCTTGGTTTTGCAAAAAAAGACACATAAATCATTAATATACATTTACCTTCCACTATATTCTAGTCATGGCATTAGTATATTAGAACGATTTAATATACATTTACCTTCCACTATATTCTAGTCATGGCATTAGTATATTAGAACGAGTGTCAGCCCTCTGTGTATAATATAAATAAGCATACAACATTAAGAACATTAACTATTGTAAAAACCTATTACTAAGATTAAGGACCACAGCTTCTGATTTACAGTATTTGATCATGGTTTTAAGACCACTACATTTGATTAATGATCTGTTTAATAATAGCATAAAATAATACTATAGACTATCTAGTGACTTCTACATATGGAGGACCACATTCTTGACATTCACAAACAATTAAATGCACACACAACGGACTAATTGATAATGATAGGTTATAATCAATCGAATTAAGTAATCGGATCCCACTAGAAGCTGCATAATTATACACATGAATCATGACGTACGAATTCTCTCGGTTGAAAGAACTTTATTTTAGAAATCACTTCTATTTGTTATTCAATGATTTTGATAGAATTAGAAATCCAACACTAATCCATTTTAAAGTCAATAAAACCGCAAACTCTAGAGGTTATGTATTTTTTTCTCACACTATTTAGATATAGTTATTCAAATTTCTAAAAACTACTTGTTTTGTGGTATTATACCAATCTGAATTTTGTATAGCGTTACTTATTTGAGGCTACATGCTAAATTCTCTAAAATCATAGAATTAAAAATTGATAAATTTTGTTTTCTTGGAGTTAGAGCAAACTCTGTTTTCTTGCTCTGTTCTTTTAGCTAATGCAGCTTCGATTGTAGCAATTTGGGCCTGCACCACTATCATCGTTGGGATGTCAATTTGGGCCAGACTATTTACAGGCCCTTGTTCTTCATGTTTCTTGTTTGATTGCGTCTGGCCCATTAAGGCCCACCATGAGTGTGAAGTTGACAAACCCAACATCGACAATCTCCGACAACCAACCCCTCTCTTTCTCATCTTCGGCTCGCCACCTCCTCCGCCGATCTACTTCTTCTCCGGTTATCATCTCCGTCTCACTCCTCCGAGCTTTCTCTCTTTTCGGACATGAAGAGAAGATGTTTTCCTTTTCTGATCCGGTGGACTCCTGTCCCTACTCCGGCGAGTATATCTGCTCAGACTTCTCCGACGAAATTGACAGCCTTTCCGACGAAACATGGTATATATATTTATTTATTTTCCAACAATTTAATCAAAAATGAGATATTTATTTCACATTGTTTGTAATTACCGTTTATTTCTTTGGTAATTTGTGTTAGCTATGATTATTCCACAATTTATAAGTTCTTAACTAACGATGAAACTTTTCTAAATCTAATCCGATATATTCGGATCCATAATATTATCAGTTTTAATAAATTTTAAAAATCATTATACCCACCGTCTTATTATGTTCTTATAAATAAGAGACATTAACTAACTAACTCAATCTCTTACGAAATTCACTTTTATTTTTTTGTCAAAGCTCCAAAGTTACTTGATGACGACGATGCCCGGAAGAAACAAACGCAAAGAAAGATCATGGCCCGAACCGCAAACACAAGCACCCTTGGAGAATCTTTCTTCTTCTTGTTCTAGTTTGTCAGCTGATAACTTGTCTCCTCCCTCGACGATAGCGTACATATTACCGCCAGGTTTTAAGTTCGTGCCATCTGATGAACAAATTATCTTTTGTTACTTGAAACCCTACTTGGACGGCAACAAGAATGTATTGCTCGATGTTCCTATTCATCTCGTCAATATTTACGAGTCGAATCCACAACAACTTTCAGGTTAATTTCTCTCCGTCCATATATTATATATATATATCTATATTGTTTCCTTATAGTTCTTTAGTTTAATAAGTGATTAGATAAGAGGCCGCACTACACGGCGGGACATGTTTTTATAAAATAATTTTGTATTAATATAAGTATGATTGAAAAAATTTTAAAAGGCTTTTAAATTTGATATCTTGCATTTTCTCATATTTTAGTAAATTTTACTTAATGTATGTATGTATATATTAATAAACATGTTGTATATTATTTTTAAAAGATAAATGTACCTATAACATATGTTATATATTAATTATACAAAATAAATTGATATAATCTCACACATAATTTGTTTTTTGTTAATATAAATTCACACATAATAGTTCTAATTCATATTATTTGTAAGTGACAAACTAAATTTTTTTTCTTATGAACTTCAATCTAAAGATTTTTTACAAAAATCCAAAGATAACTTCTATTTTTTTTTTTTTAATTTCACTCATCAATTTAAATTTTAGTGCTAAATTCCATACTAATGGTTTCATCTTTATTTATAAAATTTAATTAAAAAAATTGTTTTTTTTTCTATATTTCACTCCATTAAAGTATGAGCGTGTTATGTTTCATTTTAATGATTTTATTCTAACTAAATTTAATTTTCGTGAAACATATGATTTCATTTTTTAATCTTAAAGACCAATATTTTTTAATGAAGCTTTTTGTTTTCAAGAAACATTTAAACCTCAAATTTTAAATAAAAAAATATTATAACGATCTTTATATAATTATCTAATGGATCAGGAAAAAGCTAAATACTGTATAGTGATACATATATTAAAAATGAATTAAAAAAAATTATTTAAGATAATAAAGAGGTAATAAAAAATTATTTGATATATGTACTACAATAATTTATTTATTAAATATTGTATAATTAAAAAACAAATACATGAATATGTTAGAAAATATTTAAACATCTAAAGTAGAAATTGGAGATGGATCTTCTTAACATTATATTCCTTGTTGTACGATGATTAGAATTGATATTCTTAATTCTCCATCACCAATAAACCTGAAAGTTTTGTTATAATCATCAAAACTTTTATTTTGCTGCTGAAAATTAAAGAATAAATATTATATGACATACTTTCTAAAATAAATTTAGAATCAAATTTTACAATGATGGTTTCTTTGATATTAACCCATATAGCAATATAAAAAATAGATGCATGGATATAGTGGAAGAAGATGAGAAAATGACTACTTATAAGATAATAATCTAAAATAGACAATAGATATTAATCTTTAAAAATCAAAAATAATGTAAGATATATATCATATAGTCTCTAAAATTAAAATTTAGAACTATGCCTTTACTATGATATTAAATTTGATTTTCTTAAACCCATACAACAACAACAACCAACCAACCAAAAAGAAAACTTAAAAAAAAAAAATTAAGATTTGAGATATAATAGAAGAGGATGAGAGAATGAGAGAATGAGAAAATGATTATTTATAGGGTGAGAAATGATGAGAGTTACAGTTTAAAAAAATAAATTATGGGAGTTATTTTAAAAAATAAATTATGGAAGTTACAATTTAAAAAATAAATTATGGGAGTTACAATTTAATTTATTGTGTGTTGAATAAAATTGAATGAAGAAATATAGTTAATACTTAGTTTTGATGATTTCAGTTTTATATTAAAGTGTAAGTTAAATATATATAATTAAATGTGTTATTTATTTATGGTTTAATTGAAAATAATTATTTTTCTAAGTCTTATTGTCAAGTGGACCAATAAGAAGAGAGTGAAACCTTACTTTTATATGTATGATTAATATATATTTATATTTTTGCGATTAATATATATCTATATTTTTGTTTTTGAAATAGTGGAATTTGATAAGGGTAATGACAAAGAATGGTTCATTATAACGGAGAGGAACAAAGTTGATCAAGGTTTAAGCCAAACAAAGAGAGTTGGTAATGGTGGGATAAGGCAGAAACGTGGCGACACTAAAGGAGGATATTGGCACGCAACAGTGGGTGCACAAGAGATCAATGTTGGAGATATCGTTGGCTACAAAACGGCGTTTGCATACTACGTTAGGGAACAGTCAGCCGACGTCAAAACTGATTGGTTAATGCTTGAATACTCGTTGCATCACACTTGTCACAACAACGACAAGGTAAGTTTGTGTTTCTTGGTTTCCAAGTTATTAAGATTTTGAGTTTTCGATTCTGTTTTGACTCTTGTTTTTGTTGGTGCGTGTAGGATTACACTTTGTGCAAGATCTATCTGACTCCACAAGCAACAAAGATGAAGAAGAAAGAAGTGGAAGAGAAGAAGAAAGGACAAGGCGTTATTTCAGTCGGAGAAAGATCCTCGCCAGAACCGCAAAAGCAACCAACGTCGGAGAATCCTTCCTCTTCTTTGTCAGCTGATAACTTGTCCCCTTTGTCGACGATACCGTACCTATTACCGCCAAGTTATAAGTTTGTGCCAGCTGATGAAGAAGTCATCTTTTGTTACTTGAAACCCTACTTGGACGGCAACAAGAACGTATTGCTCAATGTTCCTATTCATCTCGTCAATATTTACGAGTCGAATCCACAACTACTTTCAGGTTAATTTCTCTCCATCCATATATATATATATATATATATATTGTTTCTTTATAGTTCTTTAGTTTAATAAGTGATTAATATATATCTATATTTTTGTTTTTTGAAATAGTGGAATTTGATAAGGGTAATGACAAAGAATGGTTTATTATAACGGAGAGGAAAAAAGTTGATCAAGGTTTAAGCCAAACAAAGAGAGTTGGTAATGGTGGGACAACAAGGCAGAAACGTAGCGACACTAAAGGAGGATATTGGCATGCAACAGCGGGTGCCCAGGAGATCGATGCTGGAGGTATCGTTGGCTACAAAACTGCATTAGCATACTACGTTAGGGAACAGTCAGCCGACTTCAAAACTGATTGGTTAATGCTTGAATACTCGTTGCATCACACTTGTCACAACAACGACAAGGTAAGTATGAGTTTCTTGGTTCTCAAGTTATTAAGATTTTGAGTTTTGGATTCTGTTTTGAGTCTTGTTTTTGTTGGTGCGTCTAGGATTACACTTTGTGCAAGATATATCTGACTCCACAAGCAACAAAGAAGAAGAAAGAAGTGGAAGCGCAGAATAAGAAGCAGAAGAAAGGAGAAGGCGTTATTTCAGTTGCATCTGTGGAAGCATTGGAAGAGCAGCAGCCTCGTAATGTCGAGTATCCACAACCGCATCAATCGCAAGCCCTGCTGGATTCTTATCAACATCAGCCTCATGATATTGCCTTTCAGCAACCGCAGTTTTCGCAAGGCCTGATTGATTCTCAGCAACCGCTGCCTCCGCTGCGTTTGCTTGACTCATTAGAAGGTCTTGTGTCTTTTGAGATTGAGTATCAGCAGGAACAACAGAGTCACATGATGATGATGCAAGATTCAAGATCCGGGATGGCAATGACGGGCTGGAGAAACGACGAGAGCGCCCAAGAAGACTTGTTGGATATGTCTAAAGATGACATGTTCTTTAGCATGGATGAATTATTCAATAATGTGGAAGAACATGGTACTGTCGTTACTCAACAGCAACAACAACAACAACAAGAGCACCATCTAAGTACATTGATTCTTGCTTCTGGGCTAGGTCAAGATTCAGGATCCAGGATGGTGACGAGCAACGACAACAACTCCCAAGAAGACTACTGGTTGGATATATGTAATGGCGTGTACATTGACATCGATGCATTATTGAATGATCTAAAGACATGATTGTGAAGTTGTATGTTTCTTAACATTAAAATTCCACCAATAACTCAAGCTTAATCTATGTGTATTCTAGAAATTTGAATCCTTCTTTCCATATATTAGTCTACGTAAGTCCTTGTTTTTCTTTTCTTTTTTTACCACATTAATTCTTCTTTTTTACCAACTTTTTCTTTGTTAGTCATATTTTATCAATTTTAGTTTTTATTTATACTTATTTTATGATTTTTAATTTTTAATGATAAATACCACATTTTGTGTATATATCAAAAGTTTTAATCTATTTTTCAACATTATGCACTATGGTGAGTTAAAAACGGATGGTAACACAACTGCGATTCTAGTACAGTAGTACAAATCACTAAGACTATATTGATGATTAATCACAAAATAAATATTTTTTATTTTATAATATTTCCTGGCTGATTTGTTTATAAATTGTTTTTGAATTATTTTTGTATTATATTTTGTTATAAAATATCTAACATTAAATTAGAGTTTTGAATTATTTATTAAAAGTTAGTATATAAAAATTAAATTACATTTATTTTGTTTATGGCCTTAAAACCCCTAGGCACGGCTCTGCGGAGATGTATGAGAATGGATGATAAAGATAGTGGATGACGGTCTGTCTACCTGAGAATGAATGATAAAGATAGTGGATTTTCCGGAGTAACAATCTCCTGCGAGATGTAGGGTTTCCACATTGGAGTCCCGAACTCGTTAAATTCTCTGTGTTGTGTAGGCTTCTTTATTACAAACGAAAGATCACAAGCGAGAAAGAGAACGTTTAGCGAGTTTGTTATTAAAGAAAAAGAAAAAAAATATACGAAGAAGCTGAGGGTTTAATTAGGATTTACATCGAGTGAAATTTCAGTGAGTGAATGCTATCATGCCAAACAAAGAAAAATCATAAAACTTCGTTACGACTTAACATAAATTAAAAAATAACATGTATAAGATAGATAAAGAAATGATAAGAAGAGAATATGAAAAAAAAAAATATGTATAGGACTAGTCTCCAGCTTATCTGTGATTTGCTCTAAAGTTTTGAATCCGTATAGTGAAATAGTAACAGAAGAAAATCTAACAAAGAAAATCAACTAAGCTAGGATTAATTCGAATCCGTATTATTAAGAAACAACATTACTTAACTTTGGGTCACGTAAACGAGAATCGATCCAAAAGAGAGATTCTAAGAAAGTTATGAAAGGTGAAAAGAGCCGTGCCAACGTCGATCATCGACATAAACCATTAAGAATAAAATGCCTTTTCTTATAAAAAATGTTTATAGTTAGCATTGTTATATATTAAAAGACAAATAGAACTAATTTTAGCAAACAAAACTTTTTTTTGTAGTAACATTTTTTTCTTTCAACAAAATCATTAACAAAATTTCAAAATCAAAGTTTATAACTAATATCATATTTCTTGGATACAATTGCTAAGTCCTTTAATATTTTATGTGGGTATAGTCAATCTAATATTATAATTACTTAACTATTTAGCTAGAAAACTATAACTTTTATTGTGTAAACTCATAATTGGTTTGGTTTAGTTATCAAAAAGTTGTCAACGTTTGAGCATAAGTATATGTAGTTCTATTATTTAATTTGAGTTTAGATAAATGAAACTAAAAAAATATGTTCTTAAAATTTTTCAAAACTTAGATGCCCTAAGCCAATGTTTCTTTTTTATCATTGAGGCACGGTCCTGGTGAAAATGTTCACATATTTGAAGAACATAGCACTGAGGGAAAAAAAAAAAAAAAAAAAGAACATAGCACATCAAATTTCTTATTTACTGGGCCTAAATATATAAACCCACTACAATTTGTTTTGTCAAAGTATAAGGCCAGTATAAAAATTCAACGAACCAAACAAATCAAATCAGCCCATAGTTGGCCACATTTTATCGTGTTTCAATATAAACACTTTTAAATTTAATTCTCAAATTAGCCAATGGATGGAGTACAATATGACATTTTCCACATTTTCAATTCTCGGAAAAATATTGTTAGAAAAGAATATTTTTTCATTATTATTTGAAATTAATCTTTATAGAAATTTATTTTGTTTTCATTATATACGAACCTCCAAAACAGAGATTCAGTTAATTAGTTAAATTCTCAAATACGCATCTCCAACCCATCTCCATTTTCATCTTCAAAATTCTCTAAAATAGAGTTTTGAGTTAGATTTGCTCCAACCCATCTCCATTTCCAACTTCAAAATGGAGATCTTCATTTTTTTTATATTTGGAGACTTCTATTTTTAAATTACACTAAAATTTGGAGATCTCCATTTTTAACTTCAAAATAGATTAGGGTTGGAGTAAAACTCTCTATTTTGGAGAAAAAAAATGAAGACATAGGTTGGAGACGGTCTAAGACGACCATCTCCAACCTATAGAGTAGAGTTAGAGAAAACCTCAATTCCAAAATGGAGTTACTCTATTTTTGAAATTTGTTTTAGAGAAATAGGTTGAAAATGCAACGTTTCGCTCTCTTCTCTCTCATACGATTGAGAAGGAGATTCAACGGAGTCAAAGAGATGAATAGATTCTCTGATCAATTTCCAATTGATCTTCCAACGTTGTTCTCATCTCTGTCTATATGGGTCTTCTTTTGCGTGACCCAATTTCTACTCCGGAGAAGAAACGGAAATTATAATTCAGATTTGCAAGTGATATCGGTTTGTATAAATTGTCGGGTCTCTCCCATCGAGAGTGGTTTCAGGGATGGAGGAGGAAGTTCTACCAACACCGTTGGCACCACGGCGGATTACGGTAACGATTGTCTGTTCCTGCGTAGTCTTCCATTTCAATGGAAGTGGTCTTGGATGTTTTTGTCCAATCAAAGTCTTCTACAAGCTTTTTGGTTTTCTCGCCCATTTTTCAGTATAAGATGGGTTTTCGATCCGGGTATTGATATGGAAGATCTTAAATCTCGGATGAGTATTGGCCAAACACTGGAATTATGGGCAGATCGTTTCATGGAGATGAAGGATTATGAAATACATATCATAACAAATAAGGCATTTGATCGGAGTATCCATGATCTCACACTTGAGGGTTACAGGCAAGTCACGGCCAAAGTCCTTCCATGGACACCACATAACAAGTGTCATGAAGAGATCGCGATTATGGTTGTTAGATTTTGGAATCCTAAAGTTTGGGTTGTTGGTGGAAAAATAGATGATCCAAAGGAATTCAAAGAAGAATTAAAGGAAATCGAAGTCTCATGTAATTCTGATATTGAATGTTTGGTATCAAATTATGGAAATTCAGAGTTGATGACGGAAGCATTGGGTTTTGTATTGCGGTGTGCAAATCGGAGCTTCACTGAGGAAAAGCTAACCAAGCACAAATTTCGCAACAAAGAGAGATCGATTACAAAGAAAGAAAATAATGGATTTAACAATCTATTAGCGAGTAAGGCTTTACTAGAAAGAGCATCGTGTCATTTCACATCTTTGTTTTATCGTCTCTATCATATGACACATATCTTTGCTTATGTAATAATTTGTATTCCGAAAACTATGTATAACTTTGTATTTCCGATTTGATACTAATAAAGAAATTAGAAGGAAAAAAAAAAGCTAATGGACAAAAAAAAAAAAAAAGAAGCTAATGGACTTTAATTTCATAGTAGATCAGACAAGCTATTGATTCAAACCCACATGTTTGGGCCTCAACTACATGAAACGATAAATTTCAAACCGATGGGAAGTTTAAAAAAAAAAATTGAACCATAAAATGTTTTAAAAAACAGTATTGGACAATTCATTATGGAACAAAAAAAACTTTGTAAATAAAAAAAAAACTTTCTCGATTGGTATATTTCCCTTGTAATTTTACTTCTTTTTTGAGAATCTATTTTTCTAATAAAATTATAAGAAAATCTAGAAGACAGAAAAAATTTAAGGGAAAATCTCAAAAAACATCCAGAGGAACATATTTTAAGGTAACGAACTAACGTGTACGTGTTGACGAAAAGGCACACATTAATGGTAACCGTCGCAACCCACTACATAAGAAGTTTTTGTATTACTCTGTTTCGACATTGTAAAGTCCGACGAAGAGAGACAAAAAAAAACATTATTGGGATTAAGAGGATCAAGAGAATGAAGGCAAAGATAAACTCAGTCTTGGAGAAGAAACTTGAAGAACTCGAGTCTCTACTTGAAGTAGTCACTTCTAACTATGATGATCCCAATATTAGAAAATTACAACTCGGAATTATATTCGCCACGACCCTTTTAACGGCTGAGACATCGTCCCGACGTATGGATGTGAAAGGAGAAGAAGATGTTGAAGAATTGTTTAAACTACGTTGCATGGCAAATAGGTTATCCGAAATGGAGGCTTTTCTCACCAAACAATTGCCCGGTCATGGTAATGGTCCATTGATCAAACCGGTGGATATCAACGGTGAAACTGGTGCGGTTTACTCGTTGGTCGAATCTTGTCTAAACGAGTCTGAAGAAGCAGAAGAGGAGGAAGAGGAGGAGGAGGAAGACCTAGAGGCTGAGCAGCGACCATTGTTCCAAGTTGCCACATCGGAAGAGGTTACGTTTCCGGCGGTGGCTACGGTTAAGGAAGAGGTGGTGGTTAGAGAAGTGAAAGAGAAGGGGTGTGTTGGTTTTAGGGCTTTGGTTTGTATCGGTTTAATTGGTTTATTTGGGTGTGTGATGAGTTTAGTTGGTTATATTGGTGATTGCATGGAGGAGGATAAATTTTTCCTTACCCCTACTTAAATGACTGACTATTTGTTTCGTTTTCACTCTACTTGAAGTTGTATTCTTTTCATCTATTTTTGGTTAATCAAACTTGTATTCTTTTCCAGTAAAAGATATAGATTTTTCCATTGTTACAGTTTTGAGTATAATACTATAATCTTTCTTTAATACTTAAGATTTCTAATTGATAAAAGAATGGGCATTCAATCTTTTTATTTGGTTCGATTTTTAGGTTTCTTCAACCATGTATATAGTTGGTTGCTTCAAGCCTTCAACAAATCTTATGTGTAGAGAAGTTGTAAACGTATCTGTCTTTGTATCTTGTAAATGATGTACATATATACTGATGTAAATTTGAGTAATTAACATTGATCAAAGCTTGGTCTATAATTAGAATGATTTTTTGTTGCTGTTGAAAATAATGTAAAAATGGAGATAAATAAATCAGTAATAAATAAACAAGGATCACATACATAACACATTGTATAGTCTTTAGTATAGGACATGCTGACTCTCCTCACAACCCTGACTTGAACGGTACGCCAGTGGCTGGCAACCATGAACCGCCGGCGATAAGGCTTCCCACGGTAAACCGAGAAGCAATAGCGGTGCTCGATATGGCGTGGAATCCTTTCCACCGGACCCGCCATCTTGTGGAAGACCCCGGCCCAAAATTTTTATACTCTCCATAGAAAACTGTATTAAGAGCAAAATTGGATCCTCTTAACCAAGGAGACCATCCCAAGGGACTGATAGAGTTATCTATATAGGTCTTCATGATTGTTACGCGTGAATAAGCTTGCCACGGTCGGCCTAAATACGTCTTGTAAGCTCGAATCACAGGCTTCAAATCAGAAGCCGCGATTATCCTTGAGCTATGGATGGTTATCCCTGTATTCTGAAAAGGGTCACCGCGACCTTGTGCAGTTATGATGTTGGCTTGGCCATGGAGAGGGCGCCGGACGAGAATCATACAGTTCTGGAACACAACAGCTGCATTTCCAAAGATAAAGTCGATGGTGCCTGAGATGTAACATTCCCTAAAGAACTGACGCTGTGAATGAATGTAGAGCGTGTCTTGGAAGCCATGGATACCAACACGGTAGAAAACAGCGAGGTCAGAGGATGATCGAACCGCCACTGCTTGGCCGCGTAATGGTCCAGCCGTGTTGATGAATGTCATGTCTTTTGCTACAAACCTTTGGCCTCCAAAGCCTTTAAAAAGAGTTGAAAGAAAATTATTAGTACCATTAGAGTTCTTAAGTTGGATTTAGTCAAGATTTTAAGATAAGATTTTTAACCAGCGGTTGCAGAGTTATAGGTGGTGTAGCCGTGCTGGACGCTTCGACCACTTGTGATGATTGTTTTTCTCTCGCCATCACCGACGAGCATGATGTTGTGGTTATCATTGCCGACATCAATGTTCTCTCTGTAAACACCTTTCTTCACATATATCACAAATCTTGACTTGAATCTCCTTCTTGCTGCGAAGTTTATGGCAGCTTGGATCGACCGGAAATGGCCGGACCTGTCTAGTGCCACCACTAGGTGAGGCATCGATTTCGCTAAAGAGGCTGATACGAGTAATCTTCTCTCGTGTCTTGAAACCCAGCTTGGGAAGTATTCTTTGTGGTTAGCTTCACAAACCAAACAAATTGGAAATTAATTTGACCGTGTTAGATAAAGTCTTGTTATACCGTCTAACATGAAAAAATTGTCTCTTGGAGGAAAATAAAAATAAAAATATATAGCCTAAGGTGTAAATTAGTATTCGTGCATGATTAATCTGATTACGTGCAAACAAAGATTACGATAACCGTAACACTTTTATTTACTTTTTGTTGCATCAAATTAAATTTATCACAGGAGAAAACGATAATTTGTTGAATAAATTGGCATGCATATTCGTAAATGAGGAATCTAATTAACTAGTTAAAGTAATTTTGTAATAAATTTTGCTTTGCCTCAAAGTAATTATAATACTAATAGAACGTACCAGCAGTCGTATGATTGTGTTGCTTCATGAGAACTCCATTGACGGCCAAGCAGTTTCCAATCAAATCCGACAAGTTCTTGTTAGATATCGCCGGCATGACAAAATCCGAGACGTTAAGATCCTCGGATCCGGAGCGGCACGTCTCTATGTTGGTCTGAGCCGTGCTGAGCCACGTCTGTGCGTCGAAGTTTGTACACTTGACATCATCCTTAGCCGCCGGGTTAAGTCCCTTGAGCGTTCGGTTCAGCTGAGCCACCGTGTTTTGAAAGAGATTTACGCAGTCTGACCAAGCTGCTTTCCTTTGGTTGTTGGTGCAGCTTGGTCCGAACTTAACCGTTTGACTGTGTGTGATCACGGCTTGGTCAAGTGCTATCTTGACCAGCATTCGTAAGAACTCGGAGCGGAACCTTGGTGGTCGGCTAATGTTGTTTTGTGAGCTCTTCATGAAGTAGTAATTGCATGTCTCAGCGTGTGGAGTCTTGTTGCACCACCATGTCATGTCACCGGAGACAGAGCCGTTGTTGATAGGAGACGGTGCAGCCACTGGTCCGGGAGACGGTGGAGAGGCGGTAGAAGGACTCGAGGTGGGGGTTGGGGATGGTGCGGTTTCTGGTGGTGGGAAAACATTATGGTCCCACGGAGGAGGAGCATCGGTACCACCGGTGAAGCCACTGTCGTGTACGGCAGAGGAGAACGGTAGAAGAAGAAATGAGGCCAAGAGGCAAATGTGGAAGATGCCTCTAAGCATTGTTTGAAGTTCTTGGCTATGAGTTTGTATGGGGAATTGGGAAAATTCTTGGTGTGATGTCTTAACTAATTAAAGAGATTTTAGTTTTGTATATTAAATTAGTTAATAATTGTTTTAGAATTATTATTTTGAGTTTGTGTGTATGTACTTTACAAGTGATTGTTATTGAGGGGAGAACATGATGATGTGTGTTGTCTTTGCTTGGGATTGTATTCATATGATATCATGACTTTCATTCTTATTTAGCAACCTATGATTATAAAATCATATAATATCAAACACCTCTATAGATGCCTATAATTGATTCCATTACATATTAAAAAGTATTAAGGAAAAAAAATGTCAAAATGAATAAAGAGGAGGAAAAGTGACTTAAAAGGAACAAGAAGAAAGATGTGTTTTTCCAATGTTGAAGTAACCTTTCCATGTGCTTTTAGCTCAGTTTCTACTCTTGTAGTTTCAAGCATACGCAAACTCTTACAATAATCCTTGTTTATGTTGTTACTATGATTACATGATACATATTTTAATATTTGTGTTAAATATGTAACTCTTGAGAGTTTTACTTTTATGTTGACTATTCTCTGACGTTGTCACCACCTAGTGTCTTCGTGACCACCTACCTAGTGTCTGTTTTTCCGCAAGACGTCGTGACCACCTAATGTCTTCCTTAGGAAAGGTGTTCATATAAGCCTTGGAATTTTCACTGATCCGGACCAAACCGAATAATGCTTGAATATGATTGGATTGGTTTCAAAACCGAACAAGCAAATAAAAATTCTACCGTTACTATTTATAATACTCAGTATGAGTTAAAGTGAATCAAACGGCCTAGGAAAACTATCATATAATGTTACAAACTTACAATAATGTTATATAAGGATTACAACAATGTAAATGTAAAAATTGAAGAAAACTGAAAATTTATTGATAACTTTTTGGAATAAATATGAAAGACTATCATCATCCATCAGGCCGAAGAAGTGTTTTCAGCTGAAACAGAGGATTCGTCCAAATACTCCGAACGAAGCTGCATAAGTAGTCGACCAAGATAGTTAAGCCCTTCTCCTTCACGACCACCTCCCCAGAATAGATCGTGCGGTGAAGCCTCCACGAGAACCGATCCAACGGTCGAGAGCAAAATTGATTTCAAGTGAGGATAAGTTGAGAACTTGCATTTTAGAGCCTTGTACATTACTTCTATCTTCACATCTTCCCAGTCATTCCGAACCTAAAACAGTCATTTAAGCGAGCAATGCGATATTAATGATCCCCTAAATAACAATCTCGAGAGATCAACGAACGAGTGAAAACTGTTTTGATGCTCGAAAGTGGACAATTGAACTTTTATTCATACCAGTTCAGGTTTCTGTCTCAGTGTTGATCTGCCTATCAGAGCTGCCTCCTCTGGACTTCTAGCTGTTCTAATTTTCTCAACGCAGTCATGTGCCATTGGATTTTCGACCCCAACAAACTTGTTTGCCTTAAGGTTTTGGGTAAAGGATTAAGAGATTATGTTATTTTGCAAACGTAAGATACCATTTTACATGGACCGTTGTGGGGTACCTGATAGTAATGTTCCACACTAGACCAGGTCATGTAATCATCATTCTCTCCACCACAGGGCATTCGAATTGGATGCGGAGAAAAATTTGAGAAACTTCCATAAAGGTCCCATGTTTTGTAGAAGAAGATGATACTAGGTTCAAAGGGGTCAACACTGGGATCAATCTCGACAGTTGCATCCTCTGATGGGATAACAGGTAAAAGGTCTGGTATGGGCTGAAGATATCCGCTGACAAGCATGTCGGGACCAACCTGTAATTCAAAGATTTAGAATAAACCCACGGACTAAGAGGTGTGATTCAGGAACATGTTTAACTTGTCACGGTGAATGTGTTAAGTAATAAAGCAAAAATATTACCTGCTCATAGCAAACATCGATTAGGTTCAATGCCTGTGTCATCTCTACCATCCCAAGGTCACCAACAGGGGAAGGTGCTTTACTCCCACCGATAATTTTCGGAGCAACGAAAGCAACAACCTGAAAAATGAATTACATTGAGAGAAAGAAGTCTAAGAAAATGAGATTTAGCCAGACAAAAGCATATGATGACTACAAATAAGTATGGAGATTCTATAATGGGTACCTTGTGGATGACACTGGATGATATAGCAGATGCAGCTAATGTTCCCCCACACTCCCATAGTATCGAGAGATATCCACGGAGGTGGAAATATTCCATAACTTCTCTTGGATTCAACATGTCAAACTCCACAACTTCAACACCTTTGGACGCAAGATATTTCTGGAAACTCTTTCTTGCACCCCTTTGGGTAACAACAATGGTAGATACTTCCGAGACATCCCATAGATTGGCTTCCTCAGGAAGATCAAGACTCTGTGTCATCACAATTCGAGTAGGGGTGTGGCCTTGTCCATGTCTTGCAGTCAATCGAGGATCTGCAGTTACAAAATTGCACAACTTTCACATATTTATTCAATATGTTGTAAGCATCCGTAAAGATGCGAGATTTGACATTTGAGGTGCATTATTTACCATCTTGGCGAACTGTGTTTCCTCCAACTATCACAGCATCACTTCCTCCTCGCAATTCGAACACTCGGGTTCTAGAGAGTTTACTACTTATCCAAGCTGCATGTCCACTACTTGCTGCAATCTTACCTATCAATAAACAAAAAGAAAATAAGCTCCAACTTTCATCTATCCTAGTAACATATGAAATGCAGGTTGAGATAATTACCATCAAGAGTCATTGCATACTTAAGAACCGAAAACGGAACCTGAGAACAAGCTCTATGAATCAAAGGAGCATTCACAAGAAGACACGATTTCCGAGCATCCTGTAAAAACTTGCACATTTAGTAAACAGAATACAAACAATTCACTTCAAACTGTAGCTGAAAAAGGCGATAAATACCTCGAGAACTTTACTCTCAAAGTCTTCTCCAAGAACATTCACTTCAATGCCTTGACTTCTTAATTCACGAATCGCAGAGCCTCTAAGATGTTGCAGAGGATGCCTTATTCCAACAACAACTCGTTCAATTCCTGCCTAATCTATACAATCTCAATTTGGTCAAATTGTTTCCCAATACCACACAATCATTATCTTATACTCAAGAATAATCTAAGAGCAAGAAGCAAAAACCTGAACAAGAGCAGATACAGCAGTGTGATCACCATGACAATCACCAGGCTCCATGTTTAAATAAGCAGTGGAGCCTCTAGAAAACTCTCCAGCAGCTTCAACAGCCAACGCTTCCGCCGGTTTAGTGCCTTGAGCGTAGAGATATCCTTCTCCGGCGACTTTACCGGAGGAAGTAGCGATTACACAGCCGAAATTAGGGTGCGGTGAAGTAAGTCCGGCGGACATTTCGGCCAGATCGGCGGCGCGTCGGATAAAAGCGGCATCAATCGCGTGGTGGTTACGACTGTTGTCGCCGTTTGAGAGAGTGGCTCTGCAGATTAAGGGAGACGAACAAATTCGAAATGAAAGAGACATTGAGAATCGATTTGCCTAATCTATGCGAACGAAGAAGAGAACGGACTTTTATGTTATATGCAATGTTCTTTGGGCTCACGAGACAAAGAAAAAGCCCATTTAGGCCCAATAACAACAATCTAGTTCATAACATTATCTCCGTGACCGTGAGTAGTGAGATAGAGAGATCGACGATGAGAGATTCAATTACGTTAGATCGAAGATTTGATCCATTGTGTCACAAACCCATACCAAATGTTTTTATCATTTTATCATAAGACATTACTATTTTGAAATTTATTTCACATAATAATAAATTTAACGACAAATCGACGATGATATAGGTAGATGCACTCGTTAGGTCCACAAGGCTAGAGTTGGGCCTATGTAACACATTGCTAAGGCATTGGTCTTAGAGGACAAAGATATACGCAGTAGCACTTCATGTCTCCTTTTGTGTTTACTTGCTCGCAAACACCGGTTCCTTTCCACGTCAAGATACACCAAAATTTACATTCTTGAATAGAACATGTTTTTTCTTTATTTGAAAAAATCTTATGACAATGTGTCATCTCCGCATTCACTGACACTCCTATTACTGTAATATATAAAACATATAATCTTAGCTTTTTGTGTTTTGAACAATTTGAAACAAAAAAATAAGTTGTTTGAAACATTTGTCTCTATATATATATTGGACATAAAAAGAAGCAAAATCAGAATTATAGAATTCTATAGTGAATAATAATTTTGAAACATATTTTACATAAGATAATTTAATTGATATTTAAAGGAGATAATATGATATTCATAATCGATTTCTTTAATAACAATTATATATAATAAGACGATTTTAAATGTTTATACAAACCTTGCACAAGAAGGATGTAGACAGTTAGAATGGCTAACAAGACGTGGAAGAGTTTCTTCATCTTTATATAATACAAATGAATTGGAGATGTTTTAAAATTTACAAAGAGCACACCCACATATATATAGTTTTTTTTTTCACATATATATATAGTTATATCATATGTATTCAACATTCAAGCATATTTAATAAAAATCAATCAAATTTGATTAACTTCCATTTTAAAGGGATGTTTTTAATTATTTCATTATTCCAAATTTAGTTCCGATTGAAGAGGAGATTTCCTTACATTTATTCCAGATTTTTTGCTCATTCAATATGTAAAATGATTTGACTCCTTTTATCCATTATTGTAAAACACTAGAAATTGATTGGTAAGATGCGCAAATTTAATACCGTATCTTGTTCTAATTTATTTGATTTCATTTAAGTATTTTATTTTTGTATGTCTCTTTTTCTTAATTTTATGTCACTTTAAATAATTAGAATTCGTTATTTGTAACATTTAAAATCTGTAGATATTTTTGAGAATTTTTTTTTTGTCTATAGTCGCGCCCTTTTCTTTTGAGCGTCGCGAGAATCTTATCGGCAACACATGTTTAAAGAAGTCAATGACTCCAGAATTATGAAGTTGAAGAACATGAGACAATCGCTGCTTCAAAAAAAAGGTTTAAGAGACTTCGGAATAAGCGGTGAAGGACAAGGGAAGACATTTTTATTCCCAATTGTTGTCGTTGCGACTCATTCCCGAACATAGATTATATCATAAAATATATAACTTATATCCATAAAATATATAGATCCAATCGGTCACATAGTATGGTATATGGTTTAAAAGCAATAAGAATATATCCAATTGATGGCATTATAGTTGAATGGTAAATTTAAAGAACATGGTCGTTACCCATAAGTAACCCATAATCGTGTGATTCCAATATTTTTTTTTAACTAAAGTACTATTTGTTGATTAGATTTTTTGATATGTTAACTTCAAACTCCAATCCCAAATTAATTTAACACTCTTCCATTCACCGTTTTTCCAAATTGATCGTGGGTTGATCAACATTTGTAATAGGATTATATCAAGTTTATGTGATGATGATGTATGTAATGGACGAAAAAATACTTTACATAATAAATCAATCGGTGTGCATTATCTCACCAAAAGAAATTCTTTCATGTATAATTAACATAGACAAATTTAAACAAATTAAATTTTAAATAGATTTTTTTTTACATAAATTTTTTTTCACTATATTAGTTAAAACCTATTGACATTCTAAACTTAATAACATCATAAAATTTAAATGTGATCAATCTTAAAATACAATTTTTTGGTTGACAAATGAGGACATAGCTTCTAAGAAAGGGACGGTGATACGAAGTTATCGCTGGGGCAAAAGAGAAAAGAAGTGGCGGAGATGGCGTTATACGGTAGCGATGGTCCAGGAGAGACATGTGAGAAGATTAAGGTAAGATTGAGGAGTAATTTTCAAATGTTATAAGGGTATAATAGTAACTGACCCATTCTAGAGTGATAGATCTACACTCAAAAGTCAACACCGTCCAAACTTCAACGAATGTGTCGGCGTCAACGACTCTAACGTAAATTCTACTTCTAGTGTTAGAACGTTAATCGTACGTCCAACCGCTAGAAATCCCTGGAAACGCAGTTTTAGATCGCTGGTCGCAAAATATTAAACGGATATTAACTTAACAACGTTGTAAATTCATTAAAATCAAAATTTATCCAGAAATACATCGGATTTGCATGAAACATTTTCGTAGCTCAAATTACATAATTAATAACAAAAAGAAAATGTATTAATTATTTAGTATTTTTTAGCAAAAGCATTGATCAATGCTAAAGCGTTGCTAGTTCCTCTTCCCAAATTCAAGATCCGTGCCCGGACCGAGTTCTTGATCCGCCCATCCATGACCCGACCCGCAAATCCATCGGAGCAAGTGTTTGCATTAGTCAAAGCAGCGCTGGTCCACGTTTGAGCATTGCTCATGTGGAACCAAAACTGGTCACGACCTTTAGCACTACCACACATCTTCACTTCATGGATCGACTTGGTTAAACGGTCAACAGCATCATGAATCTCCTCGATGCAGTCCTTAACGGCTTGAATCTCTCGTTTATTAAGAGTCTTGAAACGCCCCAAGCGCCATACGAAGACCTTAGTGGACTGGGCTTGGGTCACGGTCACATTGAGTGCGGTCTCGGCTAGACGTCGAGGGCTTGTTTGGATGGAGTTGGCGTAACCAGTGAGAGTGTTGACGCATACGGTTGGGTATGTTGTGGCTTTGCAAGAGGCTTGTATGAAGTTTATAGCACGCTTTGAAGTTATCGCGGCTACGGGGGCGGAGGATGCCGTGAGCATCGTCGTGGATAAGAGGAATAGAAAGAGAGTGTAGAATATTTGTTGTGCCATTTCTTTTGAAATGTTTTGATTTAGATAATATTTTGTGGAGAGTTAAAGAGTTGGTTTTGAGTTTTTATAGTGAACTAATACGTACTCTTTGGTGTACGTTTGGTTTTTCTTAGGGTTTATAATAATATAATAACTAATATGTTTTGACTTTGACTCTTTGGTCGATTAATTTTTTCCAACTGGGGTCTAGATTAGTAGTTGGAAATAACCAGAATTGTCTGCTATTAACTACTAAGAATGTACTATGGCAATTATATTTATTTATTCTTCTTGACCAAAAAAAAGTAACATGGGAATGAAAAGAAAATATAACAAACAATTTCTAGGATTTTTCGTAAATTTTATCAGAATGGACTTCTGGTGTGAACATGCTTTTATCTTTTATTTCCTTTTGTATTGTTGTTATTGTGAAATCAAAGTGAAGTATGGCATCACAACACAAAGTACTCAATACTCAAAGTGAAGTGGATTGTGTACCTCAGCTTAAATACTAGTTTAGATTCATCTTCATTTCCAATATAAATGAAACATTCTAGCATCACCATCACTCGAAGTCACAAACAAAAGGTTTGATTTTATATATCTATATATATATATATATATATATGTTTGAAAAAAACATGTATATATAGATATATGTAAGGATACATATTTACTATCACTCAAAGTATATCTTTTGCATTTACTTCAATATCTATATCAAAGTATTTTATATTCACCGGCAACTAACAAAAGATAGAAATTGGATTGGGCGACTAATGTAAGTCATAAAGAAATGGATAGTGGATTTGAACCTCAAATCATTCCAATTGCAACAATAGGTACACTTCTAATTAGTCTGGCCCACTTCCAAAAATATGCTATATAACCAAATTAGGCGACTAATGTATCTCATTATTGACAAAAAGATGTACAAATTAAATTTTAAAATAAATACTAAATAATAGAGGCGTTGTTATTTTTTGTTTTTTTGACATTTTTGAATCGACAAGTCTCGATCCATAATCAATTTTTACTATGCGAAATAACGCGATTTAGTGAAATTGAACTCCAATAAAGAAGGTAGAGTCATATGGACTTAACCACTTCACAAATTAACAAATAAAAATATTGTTCATTTGCGACTAATGTATTTTATTACTACATTTTTGTTTCAAGGTAAGCTACTTCAGATAACTATTGCTTGGGGTGGGCTCTCAAGAGTCAAGACTGTCGGTCAAAGATATGAACTTCTTTTACAATTTGTTAAATACACACTCATATAAAGACTATACTAAAAAATAAATTAATTTGGGAGCTGGGCATGGTGTCACATGCACTTATCTGATATCTCAGTGCTCTTTTTTCAATATTTAAATTTAAAGAGTTTCACACTTACCGTTTTTTTGGTCAACTCACACTTACCTCAATCCTCTTTCAACCGTCAAATTAAAGAGTTCACACTTATCTCAATACTATCTTTCAATCGTCAAATTTAGGAGTTTCACATTCCGTTTAAAATTCTTTGAAGAAAAAGTTCTTAATGCTATTATCATTACTTTATTAAGAGTGTTTTCAAATTTAACATTCATTTTTATTAGTGTCGATTTATGCCTTTATCTAAACATCTTACGTCTAATTTTTGATTTGCTTTTCGTACAAAAGGCCTCACGTCAAAGTGCGGAGAAGGCAACAATAGTGGTCCAAAAATTTTTGGGTCACGAACTTGCGATACGGCCGACATATATATCACTTTGTAGTTGATCTATTTAAAACTCAACTCTTACCAAGAAAAAAAAAACTCAACTCTTATCTTAAAAGTATATCTCACTTTAACTTTTCAGTCAGACAAATGCCGGAAAAAATCTCACTTATTCCTTGTATCACTTTGTAATTTACATGACTCGAAGTGTTATTGAACTTCATTTTGAGTATTAGAAATGTTTTCAGAAAATAAGGCACATCCAAATGGAGAAGGCATTAAGGCAACAATAATGATATGCATGTGATGCGTAAATGCGATCCATAAAGTTCTGGGGTTACTAACTTACCAAACAGCCCATACCATATCTTGCTATATAGATTTGTAATTGATGTACTCATAACTCAACTCTTATCTTATATCTCATTTTAATTTTTCAGTCGACAACATAATAAATATCACTTTGTTACCCTTTTTCTACATAATTGTGTCACTGTTTATTTGACATAACTCTTAACTGTTGGACGATGGATGCCACTACCACATGTTCACGTGGTCGTGAGTATTGATCGCATTATTTTTTATTTTTTGACTAAGAAGAGATTATTTGTCACATGTCAATGTTAAACTAGGTAACTACATACGTCATGTAGGAAGTAGGATAAATTGATACTATTACTTTTCAAAAAACTTTGTAGATAAAGAGCAATTTTTGTCGGAAAAAAAAGAAACAATGGGGACAACATTTTTTGGTATGTTTTAAGCATCAAATAACTTCAAGCCGGTCCTAACAATAACTTATTGGATTTAAGTTTGAATGTGAAAGGCAGTTTGGATTTGGCAGCAAATAATGAAGCTTTGAGCTTTAGCTCGGCCTTCTCTGTTTTGTTTGACTGGAGATCAAATTCGTTTACATTTTCTGATATGGCCCGCTTCTCACATTAAAAAGAGACTTCAATTTTATGAAAGATATATGTGCCACAATCTTAGAGTCGTGGACTCGCGGCATATATTTTCTTCACATAGTCCTCCTATGGATTTTGATGGTCGAGATTAGTTTTACTCTCATTCATTTGTTTCCTCGGATGTTAACCTCATTCGTCATTTTCTGTTTCAACTCGTGATCTACTTGTTGTAGGAAAAAAAAAAACTTGAAGCTTCATGCTCTAACATCTCAATCCGCTACAACTCCTCATCTTGAGATCAACAACTTGATGCGAGCACAACTCTTTTCCTACTCACTCGTATCACCGCAAAACAGCAAAAATGCTCTAGTTTGACATGCTAGTTTTGCAACTTTAAAAGTTCGCAACATTCAATATTTGGCCTTCTTTTGTAATATCTTTTTGTTTCGTAGATTTCGATCTTCTATATCTTTTCGTTGTATATCTGTTTTTTGTAAAAATAATCAAAAATAATATAAAATTTAACATTATTACCAAAAAATAAACTTTGAAAGTTTGCCCTCATAAAAACGAGTCACTCCACTAAATATAATTCTGAATGTAATTCTTAGATGATTCTTAGGTTTGTACAAAACTTCCCACTTTTGTATTAATAAATCATTTGTACAAAACATTTGTAGAGCGGGCCTAACAGAACAGGTTTAGCATGTTTTGAGAGGCCTAGATTCAACAAAAACAAAGACAATTGTGGTCCGATAACAAAACGACAGCGTTTTAGAACATTGGAGAAAAAACAAAAATGAAAACTTTAAATAAAACCCTAGAAAATAAAGGCCTTCTTCACCTCCTTCCTCCGCAGCTAGTTGCAAAAATCCTCTCCGGCTAAAAGACGGTAAAAGATTCATCTTTCTTTCTCTTTGAATCCTTAATTTTTGTGGGTTCTATGAATCGGACACTATGTATGAAAAAAATACGATCTTTTGTTCTACTGAAGTTGTTTGGGAGATTTGTTCTCTGTGATTGAATCTGTTCTTAAATCTGTGATTTTTTGCAGAGTAATAAAGAGGTTAACAAAACATGGCGTATGAACCGATGAAACCCACTAAAGCTGGTTTAGAAGAACCCCTCGAGCAGATTCATAAGATCAGGATCACTCTCTCTTCAAAGAATGTCAAGAATTTGGAAAAAGGTTTGATCTTTGTGGCTTCTCTACTCTTTTGATTCAGTGCTAGAGAGTTTGAGGGTAGTGGATTGTTTTGTTTGAAGGTAGAAATCTAGAAAATGTTGATCCCAAATGTGGCAAGATTGGTTTTTTGGATTGTTGTAATGTATTGATTGGTCTTTCTGATGGATCTTTGAGTTTTGTGTTTGAGATATAAGAAAGGATTTAGAGAGTTAAAGAAGTGTTGAATACTGAATAGTTCTCTCTATCTCTGATGCTTATGTTTGATTAGTGTGCACTGACTTGGTTCGTGGAGCTAAGGACAAGAGACTTAGAGTTAAGGGACCAGTGAGAATGCCCACTAAGGTTCTTAAGATCACCACCAGAAAGGCACCTTGTGGTGAAGGTAACTCTCATTTCACCTTCTCTACTTCTAGATTCTACAATGTTACTAAACTCAAGAATTTCATCGAATGTCTCTTCCTGAAAAACAGAACACTTTTGTAACTAGTTTGATATATGGTTTTAGCTCTAAGGAAAATGCTATTGAGCTACTTGTGGCTTTCTGAAAATCTTAACACTGTTTCATGGTGTATCAGGTACCAATACGTGGGACAGATTTGAACTTAGGGTTCACAAGCGTGTGATCGATCTCTTCAGTTCCCCTGATGTGGTTAAGCAAATCACATCTATCACCATTGAACCTGGTGTTGAGGTTGAGGTCACTATTGCTGACTCTTAGACAAACAACACTTGTTCCAAAACCGCTTCAAGAAAGAATGTATTTTATCGTTTCTGGTCCTACATTTTTGTTTCTGGTTAGTGCAACCTTATTTCTTGGGTTTTAATAGTTCTGAGGTGGTTTTGTCTGTCATATTTTTTTCATCTATTAAGAGACCTTAATGAACCATTTCAAGATCTTGATTTCATACATAATTTCAATTTGTCACACTAAAGATTATCTTCAATGCGGTAAACGGAAATAGATCCAAGATTGTTTTGAGTTGAAGGATTGTTGACAATGTACTGGTTTAAGCAAGGACACTAGTGACCAATGGTCTCACTTTCTATGAACCATTTCTTTAGTACCCTTGAATTGCTGATCAAAAACCAATGAAAGAACTATGTGCATATGGTTTCTAACCTTGAGCATGGGCCAAGCAAGGCCATGAACATCCGAGGAGCGACCAATTATACTCAATCCTGAGATAATTTCCATGCCGTATCCTTCTTCTACTACAGGACATGAAAATGCTACACCATACTATACAATAGTAGAATAACATGTTACATATACAATAGCTTTTGTTCTTGGTTTAGGAGTTTCCTCCTTTATCGCCTTTTTATCTATATGAAGCCAACTGACGTAAAGACTAAAAGTGCCATTTGTTTAAGCTAATGAGATTTTCTATGAACAAGTTACTTTTTTCTTAGCTAAAGGTGTCAAACATTTGCGGTTAAAAAACTTGGTGAATGACGACACTAAATCCATATGCGAAAGACCAAACGAATCAACCATTATACCTTTTATTGAATAATATCCCATCATAGGAACACAATCCTTCTTTAAAGAGTACAGATTTTGGATAGATTGTTATGATCAATCACGCTTGAAATAAGGTTTGAGATAACTAACAAATAAAAAGTTGAGACCGTAATCAACGATTTCGGGACATAAATTTTTCATTATAAACAACCATTTCACCCAAGATGGTTCTTCTATGTATGCATCTCCTCTGCCAATACCTTTGAAGATTGCTTTTGCGCATTTACCCACTGATTCCGATAGAATAAAATCTGAACCATACTATATTTTTCGATAAAACAAACAAAAGACATAGAATTAATATAGTGTCACATGTATATTGTATAGATTCATGTACAAGTGTTGTTACTTACCTTTTCTATACAGTGAGGTGTGGTCATATCTGTTGATACAACTCCTGGGAGAACAATTGTTATTTTGATATCCGGACTTAGCTCTATTCTTAGTGTCTCAAAGAATCTTAATAATGCTGCTTTGCTTGCCTACAAAAATAACCAAGTAACATCAATATTATGTACATAATAAATAGTACGTATATTGAATTTTGTTTGTTCTATCTAAAGAAAAATCTTACTGCATATATGCTTGCCAATGGCAAAGGTATATTTGCTGAACCAGATGTAATCGCGACGATTTTTCCTTTACTCTTTCGAAGATGAGGAATTGCAAAATAAGTTATGTATGTTGTGCCCCAAAAGTTGATGTCCTTATATACACAAATTACATGAAGTAATCAATATAGAGTTTGAAATTGTTGCTTTGATTCTAAAGCAATTAAAGTCATACATAATTTCTAGATTACCATTGATATAAATTGGAGGAAACTTACCATTATAGGATTTGCGTCTTGAATTTGAGTGAAATCTTCGAAAAGAACAGTTTGAAATATACCAGCATTGTTGATCAGGTGGTCTACTGTTCAAATATGATAACTTTATTAGAATAATAATCTAAATAATTTTGACGATAAAACATAGTAAATCTTCATTACTAACTAAATTTTAGTTTAGTTCGGGTTTGTATTCGTCTATTCGACAAAGTAGAACTAGCTAGAGTACTTACGTTTTCCGAAATGACGAATCGTCTCATCAATGAACTTCTTGCAGTCCTCAACATTAGAAACATCACCAGGTATGGTGATGACATTACCAGATCCTAACTGACGTGATGTTTCTGCTACAATCTCTAGACGATCCCTTCTTCGAGCAACAAGAGCCAAATATGCTCCTTTCTTTGCGTACTCGTATGCCACATGCTTTTTTTTCCAATCCAACAAAACAAGAACATAAACAATCTAACCAAATATCATATCAATTGATGTGGTGGATCTATACATTTAGTTATTTTTAGTCGTATTTAGATACTATCAAATAAATTATCTATTTCCTAGCACTCATATAATTGCAAGAGATTCCACGACAAAATAGGACCTCGAAAACAAAACCATAAACACTATCACCAATGTCGGATCTATGTTATATACACACACACACATATATATTTGAATCAGTAATTATAAGAACTAGCTCTATATCGATCATAATAGACTAAATCTACAAATAGTTAATTACTTGGTATTCGTCCCAAAAAAAAATAACGTAAGAAAAAACAATTGAACATGATAACAAAAGGGCATAGCATTCAAAGCTAACTAACCTCTCCGATGCCGGAGGAAGCTCCGGTGATTAAAACTACTTTTCTGGCTACGTTTTCGAAGTGAAGGTACTTATGAAGACAACGCACAAATTTGATCAAAAGATAAAATGGGTAAAAGAAGACAAGGAAACTGATGGTAAGAGGAGGTAGAAGAAGATTGAGAATGGTGGTAAGGATATCCATGTTGTTCTTTTGCAGAACCAAGACCACTACTTATTTTTTTTATATGTTAAAATGTTCAAACTTATACTTTACGAGTCAAGTCTATTTTAAAAGACACCGAAAGCTAGAAGGGGAGGAAATGGTGGCAAGTGGATCTCTCTACTATTTTCTTATTCTTCTGTATCTCGTTATATTAGGAAAATAGGTTAATTGCTACTAAAAATATATATTAATTGCTTTATATATATATTTGTTGCTAGGAATGTAAATATTACTTTAAAAAAGTTAAACAGAACATTATTTACAAGAGAGTGACTTTGGCAAAAAAGGAGAAAAATAAAATAAAATAAGGCTACAATAGAATTACACAAGATTTGGTGTTTAACAAACAAATCCGAAGGAGCAGAAGCTTTTGCCATCTGAGTGTTTTTTTTTTTTTTTTTTTGACATCTTTAGATCGACAAGGTCCGATCCATAGCTAATCCCTATTACGCGGGATAACGCGACTTAGTGAAATCGAACTCCGGTGGGAAAGACGGAGTCAAATGGACTTAACCACTTGACTAAAAACACATACCCGATTTTTGAGTCTTCTAGAAGAGATGATATTACAAACTTCGCAGTCGGTGTTATATATATCATATCTGTATGTGTAAAAAGCTTAATATATATGGACACAAAGAAATTCCATGACAATTATATACATTTAAATCCCATTTATTGAATAATAAAGAAATCCTCTATCTATACGAAATGTTTGTTTCTAAAACAAATTGAAACAAATATGAAGAAAGGGAAAAAAAGAAAGTAAAAGACTACGACTTAGTGCAATAAGTAATATAACACAAAAAGTATAAGTTTCATGGCCAAAATGACAATTCACAACCAGAGTTGAAGACCAGAGATCTTGATTAGATCGATATGATCAATCACGCTTGAAATAAGGTTTGCCATAGCGAACAAATATATAGTTGAGTACGTAATCAACGATTTCTGGACAAACATTTTGTATCAAAAAGATCCATTTTATCCAAGATGGCTCTACTATGTATGTCTCTCCTCTACCAATACCTCTGAAGATCGCTTTTGCGCATTTACTCACTGATTCCGAAAGGATGAAATCTGAACCATACTATTTTTCAATAAAGCACATTAAGAAATTCACACATAAATTAGTTAATGTCATATATATAAGGTATAAAATTATGTACAAAATGTTATACTAACCATTTCTTTAAACTGAGGAGTGGTCATATCTGTAGATATAAATCCGGGAACAGCGATTGTTATTTTGATATCTGGACTGATCTCAACTCTTAATGTTTCAAAGAATTTTACTAAAGCTGCTTTGCTTGCCTACATCATACCAAGTAGTATCATTATCATAAAAAAATTATATGTATATGAGAAGTATGTAAAAGATGTTGTTTATCTTACTGAATAGACGCTTGCCGATGGCAAAGGTATAATTGCCGTAGCAGAAGCAATCACAACAATTTTTCCTTTGCTTTTTCGAAGATGAGGAATAGCAAAATAAGTGATGTACGTTGAGCCCCAAAAGTTGATATCCTTATAATATAAATTAGATGAAGTAGTCAAATATAGGGTTTGAATCTTGATCGATGTTTCAGATTAACATTAATTAACTACATGTCTAAAATTTACTTTGATGTTTAGATATACCCAAGTTATTACTTGCGTTTGAAGCAATCAAAATCATGTTCAACAACAGCTAAGCATTTTTCTTAATATATGGATTATTAATGAACTTGTAAAAGAATATTTTTAACAAAACTCACCATTATAGGATTAGCGTCTTGAATTTGTGTGAAATCTTCGAAAATAACAGTTTGAGGTACTCCAGCATTGTTGATCAGGTGGTCTACTGTTTAGATATATTAACTTGATTAGAACAATAACCATCTAATAAAATTTGACAAAAAAATTACAAAACGACTTAGAATTTCATAATCATAACATCAGTTTAGATACTAATCACTTTGATTACTTACGTTTTCCGAAATGATGAATCGTCTCGTCGATGAACTTCTTGCAGTCATCAACATTAGCAACATCACCAGGTATGACGATGACCTCGCCAGTTCCTAATTGACGTGATGTTTCTGCTACTATCTCTAGACGATCCTTTCTTCGAGCAACAAGAGCTAAATTTGCTCCTTTCTTTGCATACTCGTATGCCACATGCTTTTTTTTCCAACAAAACAAGATCATATATCAATTTATGATAGTCTAGCGATTGCAAATATAAGAGGATCAATTTGGTTGTACATAAGTATAATGATAGAACGTCAAATTTTTTGAATGGTATGCGCCTATGTGGCTTAATCAAGTTTTCACGTTTTGCAAACGTGATTATGTACCAATTACATATCATTCATAAGTATCACCTTGCACACGTTTTATCATTATTTGGTATTTCACTTGTACAAATTATTTGGTATTCAGCTTAAGAGCATTGTTATATTTGTTGCTAAAAATTCAAGATAAGACCAACAAAAAAAAACAATTAAACATGATAAAGAAAACAGACAAAAAGCATAAGATCCAAAACTAGCTAACCTCTCCAATGCCGGAGGAAGCTCCGGTGATTAGAACTACTTTTCCGGCAACGTTTTCAAAGCGAATGTTCTTGTAAAGACAACATACAAGCTTGATCAAAAGATAAAATGGGTAAAAGAAGAGGAGAAAATTGATGGTAAGAGGAGGTAGAAGAAGATTGAGAATAGAGTGAAGCTTATCCATGTTCGTTTACAAAACCAACACCACACTACTTACCTCTCTACTTGTCTTTTTTTCTCGTTTTTACTTCTCAAGAGAAGCCTATTTTATTTAGTAGATAGAATATTAAAAGCTAGAAAGCGAGTCATTTCAATTATGTAACGACAAAAGGATTGTTGGCCGTCATTAAGTTGTACCCTGCCGAAATAGCGTATTTCTCTATTGTGTGATGTGAAAGTAATCAGAATGAATGTTTTTAGTTTTATGTATATTTCAGTGCATCTCATGCATTGTACTTTTTTTTGTTTTTGTCATCTGATAAGATTAATAAGAACAAGGAAAGATACATGTTTGGAATATTCCAAGAGCCGGCGGAAAAACTAAATATCCCCGGAGTCAATGCCCAAAAGAGGGAAGCTAAGCCCCAAGAACGGGGAAACTAAACCAGTGAAAAAGTTACACCACAATAGAAACTCACTAAGGAAAAGAATGAAGCCAAAGCCCTACACCGCCCAAATACCTCCCACCAAGCTTTCCAAAGAAACAGTTTACGCTGGGTAGCGTCAAACAGACAAGATGTGCCATACTGAGAACACAATTTTGATTAACATTCAAACTTCTGGCTTTTTTTACAGCTCCGCACGTTTTTGAAATGTAGAGGACATTTTTAGGTAATGTGGATGACCTGATGAAAATAGTTTTAAACGCAGTTCTTGATTATTCAAAACCTGAATTGGAACAATTGCATCATGCCAACCAAACCACCCGAAAGTGTCATCATAATCTCTGCCTTAAAATTCGTATAACACAATCAATCTTCACCTTCTTCCACTAGTCTGTCGTCACAATGCAATTTAGCATACACAAATCATTTCGTTTGCAAAAAAAGATTCCAATTATGAAGTTATAACCAATGAATCGTAAAGGTAAGAAATAAAACAAAGATGTTGTGATGTGTCAGATTACAAAAGACTCAGCAACGGGATTTAAACCCTAAGCCAGGGATAACTGTATTTTGATTTTTGTTTCTCATCATCCACAATCACAAACATTAACAATCCTCAAAACTCTTCAAAAACCAAAACAAAAGAAAACATAGGTTTGAAAAAAGCCTCAGACCGTCCTAGTCAAGTTAGATGCTTTTCAACACTGAGTTTTCAGCAACCATTGAATCTAATCATCACAGGCTTCTCAACAATACCAAGACCAAAGAACAAACTGAAAGAAAACAGAGGAAATCATCAGATCTTCCTATACAAGTGAATCATAAAACCCAGAAATATCTGAGCATTCAACAACTTGGCAAAAATTTCCTCATTTGAAATCCCATTACAAAAAACAAAACATCAAAACCAAATATTGTTCCCCGACGTCCTAAGTAACATCATTGAAAATTGAAGAACAGGATAGCGAGGGAAACTAAATTCAATGTAGGCAATTACACTTCACAACAAGCCTCACATATAAACATATATTCAAAGCATGAATCTTTATATCATGTAAAAGCCACCAAGAAACAAAACACAAACACAAAGAAAGAAGAACTCAGTCCCTTAGATGTTCATAATAATGCGAACATTACCGCAATCATTACAGGTCTGTAAACTGACTCATCACTGTTCTTCCACAACAACAAAACAAGATTCAAGACAAAACACAAACCCTAATTATAAGAGATTATGTAGCTGCTCAAGTAATATCTCACTAATCGGTAATCATACTAGAGTTAACAGTATTGATTACTTTAATGATTAGAGAGTAATTATAAAGAACGAGAGCAACACGATTAATATTGCTTCAAGGGAACGAATCATATGGGAACGGACAAATCCACATCGACTATCTGATGAAGCCATTCTAATAACCTAATTTCGATGAACACTAAATCTAAGAACAAGCATACTAAAGCAATTGAATAACACTAAGCTATGAACCCTAGAGAATGTATCGGCTGAAGAATTGTGAGAGGAATGGTTGGTGTGTGGAAGGGTTTATATAGGGAGGTTTATTGACGGTAGAGAGATTAGGGTTTTTAAGTGTAGGAGAGTGTAAATGACCAAAGTAGCCTTTGGGCTTAGATTTTGTAAGGTCGGTCATTGTGGTTATTGTCGTGGACTTGTGGCCCAATGTTGAAGGGGTTTGTATTTATTTGAAGCCCAGTATCGTATTGATTAGTTTGTTTTAGGTAGATTTTAGATAGCCAAACCTTTTAGGTTAGGACCAAAAACAAAGAGAGCCAAATTTTAGGAAGTGATATGAGACATGGTTTTTTTTTATTTTTAAAATTTTCAAAATAATTTTGAGGTTAGTTTAAGATGTTAACCCAAAGGAATTAAGGATTTTACACGTGTTTTGGACATATAAAATGTTGTTAGTTGATCCGACTACACATGTATGTTACATTTACATGGTCGTATGTTATTTTATTCGATACCTGTTTTTTTTTAATATATGTATTCATCGATAGACGATTGTTATTTTACATAATGACACACTATTTTACACGATATGATCACATTTTATTAATATATTGAATAAAAGAACAAGAATTGTGTTATATGAAGTTATGAACCAAAGCCATTTTTAATATCAACAGTGCAAGAAAAATATTTCACTTATTAACGTTTGTATCACGAATGTTCAAATGCAGATAGGTTCCAGAGTATTTGTTATCTAGCTGCAAAAATGTTTTAACCATAAGACTTTGGTATTTAATTATTTTGGTTTACCGTGAAAATGTTAAGAGTTTACCATGAGAAAATGTCAATGTCATTATCTGGCTGTCAATTACCCGAGATTGGAATTATATAATTAGAAAACATTATATTGGAATGAAAATTCAAAAGATGAAGTTTCCGTGTAAGTTTGTGTTAAATGAGCAAAGTAGATTTCGACTCATTGTCTAGTCACGATATACATGGAAACGTGATGTTTTGCAGAACGTACCATCTCGTTGCAAGACTTTGCAGAGTCCAAATCGAGTGTAGTAAATTATTCAGTGGAAGTATAAATAAAATTGTATATAGGACACTGTAAGAAACCAAAAGATCAGTAAAAGTACAGTAAAAGTACAACTCTGGAATATTAGATATGATTCAACTACCAAATATTACTGGATGTGGAATTATGAAAGTGCGGGCCACATTCTACAACTTTTGTTTCTTCTGTGAAGTGTGGACACAACAAAATAAAATCTTTAGGAGAAAAGTATAAATTCAACACTCAAAATGGATAATATTTCTGTTTGATAATAAAAAAAGATGCATAGACTATTTATAAAGAAATGGACATGGGTATATGACACTTAAGCTGAGACATTCAAAACTTGGCCGTGTCGCCGCACACCACTACGGAAGTATTATACAATTTACTTCTATAATCTAGTTCGATGGTTGAATCATGAATATTGATTGTTGTGAACGTTATCCACGCCTTCCAAAAAATCACAAATTTAAATTTTAGGCTGTTACTTCCCTTTTCACTTTTCTTTTAATAACATCTCTTAAAATGAAATCATATGCAGGATCTAAAGTTATTAAAATAGTTTTATGACAGCTGATTAGATAACATTCCCATTTATCTTCTTCTTTTTTTCTCGAATTTTTTTTTTAAAAATCATCAATTTTATAGTAACAAGAAGTGTTCAATGACAGTCAGTCAAATAACGAGATTTTCTAATTTAATTTAGAACAGTGATAACGAAATGGACTACGCAACCTTGCGACCGAGTTTCATCGCCATTTGGTCTTTTCCAAACTATTATTCTAATCCTGTGTGGAATATTAACTCTTAGATTCATTTAAAAGTCGAATTGCCGTATAAATTATGATTTTGTTATTGTGGTAATATTGGGTATTTATATATTGATGAAAAAAGAATAACAGTGTTTTATTGCAAGAACATAACTCACACAAGATACAATTATATGAACAATAAGAAAGAAAAAAACAATTTAACCAAGCTAGTTATGTAACTTGGAGTTCGAGAACCATGCTAAGAAGGTTCGGATCCTTATGCCCGAAGATGACATGGCATGGCACGGCCGTGCACGAGTGGTAGCGTCTATTTCTTTCTAGCCGTAGCTCGTAGTCGTAGATGATGATATGCCAGATAGACTAGGATCGTGAGTTCGTGACCTCATGAATGACGAGTCATTTTTTTAATTATGTCCAACCTTTATTATAAACGTGATATTCTCTACTTCTTTTTTTTTAACTAATGGGATATTCTCTTACGTAATCCAACTTACTAATTAATTAATTGACCAACTATATAAGTATTTTATGACCAGCCTAAATTAATTAAATTGCAATTGATGACGCTTTGTGAGGACTATGAGGTGTTTAAAAAGTCTTTACTTTAAAAATGACTTTTGGTTAACATTTTAGGCTAGTTTTAACTAATTGTGTTTTTTTATATTGAACACAACTTTCGCGTTTGTTTTGGCATTTTTTACATTTGAATATTTAACTTAACAAACTGTTTATACGTCATCTGTTTTTATCTTCTTCTTTCACAAATTATAAGATTCTTCTTTTTCTTTGTTTATTTGATAACAAAACTTGCTTAATTATACATACACGGCATGGATCTTACAATTATTAGAGTCATTCAAGCTCAAGTAATGATAAAATATTAATAGTCGCCTAAATCATCACCTTATCATGTTTACTATTATTATTTTCTTCGTTAGAATCCAAACTATTCGGATATGTATTTACAGCCTTGGTTCGAGAATCTCAATCATTTATAGCTGAAGGTGTACCATATTGATAGATGGGGGGACACCAGCAATTTTTATATTTTCAAATATATCAAACGATTCAAATGTATCATGTCGTGAATTGGGCTTGCTACCTCAAGAATAGGGCTGATTTTTCGTTTTAGCCAATCAAAGAAGAAACACGTACGTCGATATTTTTATTTTGCATATCATGATATATATTAGCATTATCCAAAGTGAGATTCATCTTCTCACCCTTGCACATTGTAGCAACGTGTGAGGCATGTGCGATGCCTCTACCTAGAATACACATGTGATCTGGTATATACATATATACATGGTTAAATATATATAAACTATGATTTATGGATACACTCGAATACTTTTATTCGTTTCCGAAACTATCATAATGATCCATTATCTCCTAATCTCCTATATAATTGTTATATCTCCTTCTCAAGTTTCGGTTTCGAATCGCGACCAATTACAGTACGTAACACACATGTCCAATCTCTATTTTTTAAAAAATACACATATATCAAAAGTAGGGTTACGTTAATTATAAAATAGTAATATACAAAGACTTTTGTTTACATTAGTAACTGTATTTTTAATATTATGATAAACTTAGTAAAACCACCTTAGTTTGTAAACCATAGAGGGTCGTGTTTATTGACATTTGTATTATGTTATGATTCGAATCCAAACTTGAAAATATGTGTGCACTATTAGACTATAAAAAATAATAATTTGTAAAACGATATTGCTAATTATAGTAAGAAAATTTTATGTGTGCCACCATGATTTAACGGTACTCATATTTTATTTTATTTTCTCTTAACGTTACTTATCATTGTTGAGATCTCATGTGAAATGTATTTGCTGTTTTAACATTATGATAAAATGCTTATCCTACAATCAAATACAAGTGGTCCCACCATTGTCGTGATAACACGTGTACGGCTCTAAAGCAACCAGAACAATCCATTGGACAGTTTTTACACCGTCAGATAAGTACATATCCACTTGCTGACTCAGCCGGATAAACCTTAACCGGAGTTTCCCCCACCGTCAAAATTGGAAGAAACCGGACAAAAGAGAATGTAAAAAGTAAAAAAAAAAAACCATCGGAAGTCGTAAGAAGGTTAATTAACACGTGGAAACAGCTGGTCAGAGTTATCCGGTAACTTATCCGGTTACAAGTAAAAATATAATTTGGTCCCCACACACGACTCCTTCAGAACCGAAACGCGACATCACGGCGCCGTTTAGTGTCTATAAATACTACAGCAATCGGTCGTAGAAAAACAAGACATCAAAAACGCGAATATCGATAACACACTTCTACGTGCAAAATTTCTCCTTTCTCTTCCTGGACATCTGTCTGTTTTGTACTATATTTTCTTGTAATCTTTTTTTGGGATTTTAAAAAATCTATCCCCTGAAGTTTCGGAAAATTCTGTTTTTTCTGTTCTCATTCTTCGTGATCTTTTTCATTTTTGCAACCGAAAGAAAAAAAACATGTGTGGAATACTTGCCGTTTTAGGATGTTCCGACGATTCTCAGGCCAAGAGAGTTCGTGTTCTTGAGCTTTCTCGCAGGCAATTTATTTATCCTCTTTTTCTTTTCTTTTTTGGTTTCTAAAATAAGATAATTATTTAGTTTTGTCACGTTAAAATCATGCTAAATTCTGCAAAATTTCATTATGATTAGTTTGATGTTTGACATCTTAAGATACTATAATGATTGTTTCAGAATATGCTGAGGAAGATTGATGTCATCTAATCTTACACGATCACGACATACATAATTTGTAGTATTTTCAATACATTCATTTTCTTGGACCTTTTTGTTACACGTGACATGAACAGTGATGATTGATCAAATCAAACGTCACCCTTTTTGCATAGTTTATTGGATCTCTCTAAGAAAATCTGAATCTTTGTTAATTTGTTGGTGGAATATTCTCTAGAAGTATAAATGTATAATTGTTTTTTTTTCTTTCCAAAATTTGGTTGCAGATTGAGGCACAGAGGACCTGACTGGAGTGGATTATATCAGAACGGTGACAATTACTTGGCCCATCAACGTCTTGCGGTCATCGATCCTGCTTCCGGTGATCAACCTCTCTTCAACGAGGACAAGACCATTGTTGTCACGGTATTAACACCATATCCATGGAGTCATATATCAAACTCTTTTGATATTTTTGAAGCTGAAACTTTTTTCTGTTGTTGGTTGTTTGGAAAGGTGAATGGAGAGATCTATAACCATGAGGAGCTGAGAAAACGTTTGAAGAATCATAGGTTCCGTACCGGTAGTGATTGTGACGTCATTGCACACTTGGTATGTTTGATATAGTTTTGATTGCTTTTTGCTAAACTGGTTATTAAGTTTTGACTTGAGTTTGATGTGTTTTATGAACATAGTACGAGGAGTATGGTGTGGATTTTGTTGATATGTTGGATGGAATCTTCTCCTTTGTGTTACTGGACACAAGGGATAATTCTTTCATGGTGGCTCGTGATGCGATCGGTGTCACTTCGCTCTACATTGGTTGGGGATTAGACGGATCTGTGTGGATATCTTCAGAAATGAAAGGTTTAAACGATGATTGTGAGCATTTCGAAACGTTTCCTCCAGGTCATTTTTATTCAAGCAAATTAGGAGGGTTTAAGCAATGGTACAATCCTCCTTGGTTCAATGAATCTGTTCCTTCAACACCTTATGAGCCTCTTGCGATTAGACACGCCTTTGAAAACGTAAGAAAACATCTTTTCTTCGTAAATGTTTGTGGTTTGTGAGAGATTAATCTGAAATCTGTTTGTTTTTTCTTTATAGGCTGTGATTAAGCGGTTAATGACTGATGTTCCCTTTGGAGTTTTACTATCTGGTGGTCTTGATTCTTCCCTTGTTGCCTCCATCACTGCCCGTCACTTGGCCGGTACTAAAGCAGCTAAGCAATGGGGTCCGCAGCTCCATTCCTTTTGCGTTGGTCTTGAGGTGAGATATAGAACAGAGTTGCTCTGTTTTAAAAGCAGAGGTTGGATGAGATATAGAGTGTTTTTATATATGAAACTCAAACTTAGCATTATTTATGGTTGTTGTGTTAGGGCTCGCCGGACTTGAAGGCAGGGAAAGAGGTGGCGGAATATTTGGGGACGGTGCACCACGAGTTCCACTTCTCGGTGCAGGACGGGATTGATGCGATAGAGGATGTGATTTACCATGTTGAGACCTATGATGTCACGACTATCAGAGCGAGCACACCGATGTTCTTGATGTCCCGGAAAATCAAGTCTCTAGGGGTCAAGATGGTTCTCTCCGGTGAAGGTTCTGACGAGATTTTTGGAGGGTATCTATATTTCCACAAGGCACCTAACAAGCAAGAGTTTCACCAAGAAACTTGTCGCAAGGTATTCCATATAACGACAAAATAAGACATTATCAAAACAGAGGTCTTTATCATGAATTCATATATGTTCGGTGATGACTTGCAGATCAAGGCTCTTCACAAGTATGACTGTCTAAGAGCCAACAAATCTACCTCTGCCTTTGGACTAGAGGCGCGTGTTCCTTTCCTTGACAAAGATTTCATCAACATAGCTATGTCTCTCGACCCTGAATCCAAGATGGTAATTACAAAACTCACATTACAAACTCAATACCTTCTTTCACAAGTTAACGTTAAACAAATTTTCGTTATGGGTTTTTCTAGATCAAGCCAGAGGAAGGGAGGATCGAGAAATGGGTTCTAAGGAGAGCCTTTGACGACGAAGAACGTCCTTATCTGCCAAAGCACATTCTCTACAGACAGAAAGAGCAGTTCAGTGATGGTGTTGGCTACAGTTGGATCGATGGCCTGAAAGATCACGCTGCTCAAAATGTACACATAAAAGATCTCATATCTCCTCTAATTACCTAAAATACAACATCTGGATTCATGTTCAGATCTGATTATTTCTGTTCTGTTTTAAGGTTAATGACAAGATGATGTCCAACGCGGCACATATCTTCCCTCACAACACTCCAAACACTAAAGAAGCTTACTACTACAGAATGATCTTTGAGAGGTTTTTCCCACAGGTGAGAGTCTGATATATCTCCATGATGTAACAGAATCTCCTATTCGTTTTGGTTTAACTAATTCACAAACTTCCATGTTACGTATTTCGTAGAACTCTGCGAGACTAACGGTTCCTGGAGGTGCGACCGTGGCTTGTTCGACTGCAAAGGCAGTGGAGTGGGATGCAAGCTGGTCCAACAATATGGATCCATCAGGAAGAGCCGCCATCGGAGTTCACCTCTCGGCCTACGACGGCAAGAAGGTGGCATTACCCATGCCGCCACTTAAGGCAATTGACGACATGCCGATGATGATGGGTCAAGGAGTTGTGATTCAGACATAAGTTTGATGGGGGAATGTGTGTTATATCTTCCCAATGGGTGAAGCGTTTTGTATGATTTAACAATAAGAATGTGATCTTTTTTTCTCTTTTTTCCTATGAAGATTTGAATGTATTGTAAAAATTTGTTTCTTTGTAAGATTTGAATGTACCGCTTCGATGTACATCAATCTTATATCAATTATGTATTATATTGTATCGATATTACTCGATGGTTAATCGATATCAAGTTTTTATCTTTGGGTCTAATGGGCTTTGTGGGGTTTTAAGAAAGTGTGGGGGTGTTAAATGCATTTTCAAAACATGAGGGTGTTAAAGTATAATAAAACAGAAATATTGGACGTTGTCATCTATTTAACCCAATTGACTTCTTCTGTTGTCTTCTCCGATCAATCTCCTTCAATTCCCTCTCTGAGATTTCAAAATCCGCCATGGACAAAACACAATTGATCTTCTTAGGACTACCGATTTTCTTATTTTGCTCTGATCTCTTCAATCTCTTCACTCCTCCACCGCCGAAATCTCAGCACCAATCACAACCTTCTATCTCTAACCCGCAGCGTTTCCCAGAAACCCTAGATTTCCCCTCACAGGTGAATTCGAATTCATCTCTCTTTAATTCCTACTTAATGTCCCGCGTCATTTGTGTTCTTATCGTTTCTCTTTTTAGCAGAAGTCAAGTGGTGTTGGATATGGAAACATCGTAGAGATCAACTTCTGCGTTTCCTGCTCTTACAAGTATTTTTCGATTTCTTTCTTTCCAAGTTATTGGCTTTTATTGTTGTTTACTGATGTGATGTGCCCTAAACATTATTTTTTGTTATTGTAGGGGAACTGCAGTAACAATGAAGAAGATGTTAGAGACAGCTTTTCTTGGAGTAGATGTAGTTCTTGCGAATTACCCGGCACCAGCGCCAAAACGTATTCTTGCTAAGGTTGTGCCAGTTGCTCAAATGGGAGTTATTGGTCTCATAATGGGAGGTGAACAGATATTTCCTATGATTGGAATTGCGCAGCCTCCTGCTTGGTATCACTCTTTGAGAGCGAATAGATTCGGGTCCATGGCTTCCACTTGGCTTCTTGGTAACTTTCTGCAGTCTTTCTTGCAAAGTTCTGGCGCCTTTGAAGTTAGCTGCAATGGAGAATTGGTCAGTATCAGATCATTTTTCTGTGATAAGTTTTGGTTATAAGACACAGACTTGTGCTGCTATTGTGCCAAATGTGTTAATGTTAGACTGTTAGTATTAGTAAAGCTAATCAAATCTCCAATGTTTTGTCTTTGTAGGTGTTCTCTAAATTGAAAGAAGGGAGCTTCCCGGGGGAGATTGAGCTCAGAGATCTCATCAGTGGAACATTGACGAAACCGTTCTTCGCAGGCAGCTACTGAGTAATCCTTACGGGCTTACAATCATAGACACGAATCTAGTGTTTATGTTAAAAAGCTAATGTGACAAAATGTTCATTGTTTGTTTTAACACCAACACCATGTGTTAATATCCTCAAATTGTGTGGTTGATACATATAGTTCACATGGTTTCTTAAGATTTTGCTTAGCTACTCAGATGAATATACAGATTACAGGAAATGGAGAATTCAGCTCACTCGAAAGAGAGATTATTATATATTTATTTATTTATTATTCAACATAGAACAGACTAAACAAGTAAACTCAAAAGAGTTTTAAGGTGTTGTGTCAGCCTTTGCATTGGTCGGAACGCTGGGATCGTGTCTGGTGTTTGCAGATGGATCATTATAATCCTCGATGGTCACCATTAAGGATCCACTTACTGTCCCTATTTTCCCATATCCTAACAAATAAAACCAATTCAAAGCCAAAAACAGAATCAGAACATCATAATTCAATGAATCAGAACATAATGAAAGAAGAATCAATGAAAAGAGATGAAACCTGAAACAGAAGGAGTGTTTTGGGATGAAGATGTTACAAGTGGAAGGATTAGTATGAGAAACAAAAGAAGACGAGATCCAAAACTCATCTCAGTTTGGTTTGAGAGGTATGTATATGTATGTATACGTCGTATATATTTATAGAAATGATGTACCAAAATATTCTGGTTGTGGTTATCCAATGCAATCTGTTTTTTTCACGTGAATGAGAGACTAAACATTAAAGCCTGTTTTGTTGTGTGTGTGTGTTAAAGAAGAGTGTTAGTTTGGGAGATGGGATATTAATGGTCAGAAGATGACCAAGGAAATAGTGACATGTGGCCTAGCATTGTCGCCACATTTGTCAAAATTGGGGGTAGGCAAAATTTCCAAAACCAACACACCCAATAAGATCTGCTATGAAAAATAGGATACCAGAAGTTTTAGGAACTAGATCCACTTTTATTTTTATTTTCACAAATATATTGTTTAACAAGACCACAAAATGAAGAAAGGGTAATTTACTTCATCACTAGGTTTCAGTTTCATTAGAAGTTGTTACCCTGAACGGCTGAACCTAAAGAAGTATGGCCCAAAAAAAAAATCTCTATTCACTACAAGAAACACGTTAAATTACGTCGTTTAATATTGAACATAACGTCGGTTATAAAATGACTTAACACTTATACCGTCAGTTCATAGACCGACTTAATATTCTATGACGCTAAAATTCTGTAACTTTAACGTCATTTACGAAGAAGTGAATAAAAGTCTCCAAGCATAAGAAAATAAAACCATACAAACATTTAATGCTAGATTTATGTAATAAAACTTTCTTTAGTGGGACCCCCATATGATTCATCAACAAATCTTTAATTTTTCGATAGAAGAAAACACAAATATTGATAACAAATATTTCGGTCGGTTTAGTAACCCGACGTAAAATTGCTTCTAATTCAAATTTTTACGTCGTTTTACGAAATGACTTTGGTTAACTGACGTAATCCAGCGTGTTTTTCGTAGTGATTCTGAACCAATCTCGATAAGTTACATTTTAATTTTTTGAAAACTGCAATATTCCCAAATAAAATTATGGGAAAGGAATCTTTAGAAAAATTCAATCAGTATTGTATATGAAGAAGGTCCCCGAGGTGAAATATCAATATATGAGTTTGTCCAAAAAAGAAAAAAGGTCCCCGGGGTGAAATATCTTATTCAAAGTATTTGGGGATAAAAGGCTTGCAGAAATGAAAACTCATTTACACATCACAATCGACTTTCTCCACGTCCATCCCAAACCTCGAGTTAAAGACCTAAGCGGCAAAAGAAAATTATTTCCCAAATGCATAAAAGGGTAGCATAAAATCTTAAACATGCTAATATATTACTGCTTTCAAGAGATGTGAACTACAACTACCTTGAGGCTGTTGACAATCTAAAAGCTAGAAGAGGATTAATATTCGTATTGCGCATCAACCCTCAAGAAGTAAAGGCTATTAACCACATGGTGGTGGGCGAGTGGTTCTCGTTTGGTTGGAAGGATCGCCCTGTTGGTCTAGGCCAGGGATCGATCCTCCCCAGACGCAGTTTCGCTCTCTCACTCCTGTGGCCACCTGGGAATTTACCTGCGGACTTGCTCAGGCGCCCCAGACCACCAGTTTATCAGGGGGCCCTTAAGTGGAGGCTTAAAAATCCCTGTGACGCGGGTTTAGGCCCAGTGGGCTAGTCAGATCACTGTGTGGTCTGGATACTGGGTTATCAAAAAAAAGAAGTAAAGGCTATTGCGTAAATGGTTTGGTTTTGGCCAGAACAAGAAAAACGCAAAGTGTACGTAGTTTGAATTAGTATTAGTTAAAACTTAAAAGAATAACTAATCAAACATAAAATTATATATACAACAACTGACGATCGGTCGTCAGTTACTAAGATAACTTTGACACAATATTTCTCGTTAGTAACGCTCCATTTTGTATATAAATATAAACCATCATGGTTTGATGCATGCATTCCCCTTATTCACAAAAGAGAGATATCAGAAACAACGAGTCCACTTCATAGGAGAGCATGAGCAACTCGGAGTCTTATCCACCAGAGTTTCGACCTCTAATGGGCGAACCAACCAAACCAGAAACGTCCACTGAACCGCGGCCGGGTCTAGACCGGAGCAAAGATATCGATATCCCGGTTATCGATATGGAGCATTTGGACATGGAGAAACTGAGAGAAGCATGCAAAGACTGGGGGATCTTCCATTTGGAGAATACTGGGATACCTTTAACGTTGATGTCACATGTGAAAGAGATAACGGAGTCAGTGTTGAGTCTGCCTTTTGAAGAGAAACGGACGTTGTTCGGCGTTAACTCTCCATTATCGTATTACTGGGGAACACATACGGTAAGTCCATCAGGAAAGGCTGTAACGAGAGCACCACAAGAATCTAGTGGTCACTTGTTCGAAGGCATCAATATTCCTCTTGCTTCTCTCTCTCGTCTTCTTGCACTTTCTTGTTCTGATCCCAAGCTTGAGTCTTTCAGGTACGTACGAGTTACGACGTCGTTTTACTGAATTCATTAGTCTTACTTCATTGATGGTTTAAAGAATTTGGCAAATCAAAATTCTAGTTTTGCAAAGATAATTTAAAAATTTATAGCTTAAAGTTAATTTACTCTGTTCACTTCTCCGATTAAAGATGGCTAATGATTTTAATAAAGTATGCAGTAACTCTGAATGATAACACCGAGGTAAAGTCACGAGTTTTACGTAAAATCTAGGAAAATGGAAAAAAAAAATGTGACATAAAACGACAAAATCATTAGACGATGAAACTTAATTTAATGCCGAAACTCGAAAGCACATAACACGAGTTTTACAAATACGTTTCATAGATATTAATGAGTAAAATTTTGGATAATTATATCAATTCGTCGTTTACTAATAATTAGTCCTTACTTTTTTTTTTTGTCTCGTAGTCCACATATTATTAATTATCATTATGTGATGCGTTACGCAGAGTGGTGATGGAGGAATATGGAAAGCATGTAACTAGGATTATTGTGACTCTATTTGAAGCTATAACAGAAACTTTGTCCCTCGAATTATCCGGTGACCAGAAAATGAGCTACTTATCGGAGTCAACAGGTGTGATACGTGTTCAACGGTATCCTCAGTGCACTGAATCCCCTGGACTCGAGGCTCATACGGATAGTTCGGTGATATCGATCATAAACCAAGACGACGTTGGTGGGCTAGAGTTCATGAAAGATGGGGAATGGTTCAATGTCAAACCTCTTGCCAATTCTTTTGTCATCGGTCTTGGGGATATGATGCAGGTAATTAATTACTTAATTAACTAACGTTCCGTGCAAGTTAAAATAGATTCCAAATGCAATAAATCAAGAAAAATTCATTTGATACAGGTGATAAGTGATGAGGAATACAAGAGTGTGTTGCATAAAGTGGGAAAGAGGATGAGGAAGAAAGAGAGATACTCGATAGTTTACTTTGTGTTCCCGGACAAAGAATGCATGTTTAACTCGAGTCGCTATAAGCCATTCAAATTCTCGGAGTTTGAAGCTCAAGTCAAGCTTGATGTTGAGACCCATGGTAGCAAAATCGGCCTTTCTAGGTTCCTAAGCAACCCCTAATCTTGAATTCTCTTATTTCCTCCAAATATATATCTATGTTAACAATTCGCTTTTCTTTGTATCCTAGAAAATATTCATATTTCCTTGGCAAAACTATGTATATGCAAGGTTTTTTTATGGTTAAACTTTTATTTGCAAGTCCAATGATAAATGCAAAGAAACCTTAGTGCCTGAAAGAAAGATGAAAATAAGCTCTAACTTTATTCTTCGATCCTCGAAGAATAAACTGAATATTATATACTTTTTCCTCTAATAATCTTGTTCAATACCATCAAATTGTACTGTTTTAATTTTTATAAATAATATATAGTACACGGGATTTAGTATATAAAAAAAGTTTAATGTGATGGTCTATTAGGCTGGTTATACACAAGTGTTTCTTTATATATAGAGGAATATGTCACGCAATACTCAGAAATGCGTTTTTGGTAGAGACATTAGATTGTCGTCCAAGATATGACTTTTCTTTCTTGCAAACCCAAAGTTAAGGGAAAATGCAGACCTGATCTGTAAATTAAAAACTTATATGCATTATTTTGCTTATAGTAGCGAAAAAGGATACCCTAACTTCCCCATGTTTCTTTTGTATTACTTTGTACGGAAGCTGTCCACAATATTCATTTCTTGTTGCTTAAGTAACCTCTTTGACATGAAAGCCATTCTCATATAAAATTCCGGAGCACGGCTTCCTAACCACAACACAACCTGCTTCTTCTTCTCTAATGGATAACCAAGAAGAAGAGCCTAAGCAACCTCCAAACAAACTTCCCGATCTAACTCTCTTCGAGCAAGCAAATTCTGAAATTGCTCTCGCAGCCTCCCAAGCTATTTCCCATTTTGCCCCTTCTAATCATGACTCGGCCTCTTCAAGGCTTTCAATGATAGAAAGTGATGAAGAATCTGAAGATGAAGATGAAGAAGAAGAAAGCAATGAGAACTACTACGAGTATTTAGATAGCAATGGATTTGGAGTAGATGATGACGAAATCAATGAGTTTCTTGAAGATCAAGAAAGCAACTCCAACCTTGAAGAGGATGATTTCTTGGAGGAAGAAGATGAGGTTGACCCCGACCAGTTGTCTTACGAGGAACTGATTGCACTTGGAGATTTCATCGGAGTCGAAAAACGTGGGATGACTCCAACCGAAATCTCCACGTGTTTGAAAGCATCTACCTACATATTTTCTCATAACAAAAACGAGATTGATCGTTGTGTCGTTTGCCAAATGGAGTTTGAAGAAAGAGAATCTTTGGTCGTTCTACGACCTTGTGACCATCCATATCACTCTGAATGTATAACCAAATGGCTTGAGACGAAGAAGATTTGTCCTATTTGTTGTTCCGAACCATCTGTGAGCTGAAATCTCAACAATATTAATTTAATTATCATTTTTTTTTAAATGAAAATTGAAACCCACGTCGCGCGCCACAGATTAAATGGTAAAAAGCAAGTGACTATTAAGTTGTAGACTTTGGTAATCCTAGGATAACTGCCTAATTCAAGTTGTAAATGGGTACCAAATTCTATTTTAATTTTAAGGGAAAATTACAAAAATAAAACCCTAATTATATCACCTTTGCATCTTATAAAACTAAAAATGGTAGTTTCCCATTTTATTAATCAATGAAAGCCCTTTAACAAACAAACAAAAAAGGAGAGAAAAAACCTAAAAATTTGAGTTGTATATCAAAATCTAGGCCTGGGCAAAATACCCGGAACCGAATACCCGAACCGAAAAACCCGAAGAAATATCCGAACCGAACCCGAACCGATTTTTAAAAATACCCGAATGGATCCTAAACCTCCTACCCGAAAAAAAACCGAACCGAACCCGAACCGAATCCAATACGCGTGGGTACCCGAATACAAATATACACCTAAAAATATTAGTTATATTTATACTTATAATATCCGAAATACCTAAACTTACAATCATAAATCCGAATATACTAGGTATTTTGAGTAATTCGGATTCATTTGGATATATTTGGTTAAAAAGTAACTAATGATGTAGTTTTCTTTTGGGTAATTTTAGTATTTTTAGATATTTTTGGTTATATTTGGGCAAAGAGTAACCAATGTATTTTTGAGAAATTAGATATTTCGGTTAGATTTGGGTATATACGAGTAAAAAACCCGAACCCGACCCGAACCCGAAAATATTTGGGGTATTTTTGGTTATTTTCGGGTATTTTGCTTTTTTTTTTTATTAAAATACCCGAACCGACCCGAACCCGAACCGAATTTTTAGAATACCCGAATGGGTCTCGACCCCCTACCCGAATAGACCCGATACCCGAAACAAAGAACCGAACCCGAACGGGTACCCGAATGCCCAGACCTATCAAAATCTATATATATAATGAGAGAGTTGTCTCTCCATCTAGAGTGTCTACATCATCATCCAAGTGATCCAATTTTAATTTTGTGTAGGCTCCACATATTTTATTTATTAAATAAAAAAATTTAAAACTATAATTAATTCACATATTTTGTAATTTATATTATTATATTTCATTAAACAAAAACAATAATTTACAAAAGAATAAATTAAATATTAAAAAAAAAATTATAACACAAAATATGAAATTTTTGAATATAGATTGGATAAATATTAAATTAGATAACTATCTTAACATTTAATGAGTAAATATTCCTAAATGACTAGAGATATGAAAAAAAAACTTAACATATAATCATTTTTAAGAGTTACAATTATTTAGTAGAATAAAGAAAAATAAGACTTAAAAATATATTAAATTTAGAGGTTTTTACTTAAAATGAAAAGTAATTCATTTCTGAAAAATAAAAATTTAAAATTAAGAATATATTTTTAATGTTAAAGTATCAATTCATGATACTGATTAAATATAAGAACGATTGAGTATATGTTATTATTTTTAAATATAATATAATATAAATAGGTACATTATTAAAATTTTCTATATTATCAAAGTTTTCTAAATTAAAAAGTGGTGGTTTTTCTTAAAAAATCAAATGAATACCTAAACAAATAAAAACTAATTATTAATCAGTGTTTATGAAATTTAAACATAGATCGAAAATTTTTAAAGTGATTTGAAATAAAACAAAAACTATCCTAAACATCACAAATAAAAGTATAATAATCAAGTCGTATAATAAACTGTGTAATAATCATATTTGCGAATGCTATTTAGAATTTAAAATAGTAATGATATATTGAAGAAGTTTTAATTAGAAGTAAAAATTAAGGATTAAGAAAGTATATTTCAAAATTAGAATGATTTATATGAATTCGTAAGTTACGAATTTTACGAAAATCAACATTAAGAATACTATATAGAATTATAATATACGTCAAATTCTATATGTGAATTTGTTTTATCTATTTTTTTAATGGTCAAGATAAAGTGTAAAATTGGATGATGAAATCCGATGTTTGTTAATATGAATGAGTCCATATATGAGTTTTGTTGTCTATAAAGCAATTTTATATGTACCAAACATGGTCAAAGAAACTTTATGACAAATATCTCTCGAGATTTTCTAATGTTCACTTTAATAAAAGATCATGTAACTCGAGTATATTAGATGTGAGCCAATATAAGGTGAAAATACAGTAGATGTCGGGAGACCGACGAGTGAATCATAAAAGATAACAAGAAAAATTAGGCCTGGGAGTTCGGAATAAACCGATCAAACTGACCCGATCAACCCGAGATTTTCGGTTATCAGCGCAGACCGAAGAGATTAGACCAAACCGAACGGCAAAATTAATTTGGGCAATCGGATGTCGGTTCGGTAATCGGTTACCGATCGGTTACTTCGATTTAAGGGAACATGGTACAAAAACATAAAACCCTAGGTCTAATTCATTTCATCTCTTCTCCTCCACTTCTCCTCTCCTTCCGATCTTCCTTCTTCTTCTTTCTTCTTTCTTCTTTCTTCTTTCTTCTTCTCCTTCCTTCTTTTCTAGACTCTTCTACATCTTAATCTTCTTCCTTCTCGTCTCAGCCTTCCATGAAGTTTACCGACGTGAGGTTCGTGTTCGGATTTGATTATTGGTGTTACTTGATTTTTTCGTAGTGTTCTTCTTTCAAGTTCTAGATCTTAGAAATCGTATTTATTTCATTGATTTAGTTGTTTTCTTTCTTATTTCAGTGAGAATGCGAGAAACATACTCATCAACATCATTCAATGCAATCTCGCTTAAAGTTGGAATAGGACGGTCGGAGATCGCCGTGGTTTTCACCGTCGCCGTCACAGCGAGAGCCGCAGCCGCAGCCGCGCAGCTCATTTCTTTGCAAAACCCTAAAAATTTTATTGGGTTGGGCTTTTGATTGTATGTGGGTTTTGTTAATTGTATTGGGCTTTTATATTATTTGTTATGGTTTATTTTATTGGATTTGTGTTTGTAATAGAGTTATTATTTATTTTTTCTAATATGAAAACCGAAATAAAAACCGAATAAACCGGAGAAATAAAAAAATCCGGCTCATGTTCGGAACATAAATTTTAGCTAATAACCGACCCGTACAAACCGACTACCGAACCGACCCGAACCGAATTTCAATTCGGGTCTATTCGGTGAGATTTTAAAAAAACCGAATTTCCCCTAAACCGAAAAACCCGATCCGAACAACCCGGTTTAGCCGAACGTCCAGGCCTAAGAAAAATTGTAGTGAAAAGTGTGAAAAAATATTTACTGTTATGAAAAGATAATAAACATGAGTAAAATAAAATCTTTTAAAATTCAAATAATTCAAAGATTCGCATTGATAAAAAAATTAAATTAAAACGCGGGTACATAATCTAGTATAATAAAATCGAGACGTTTTTGGTAAGGCCTTAAATCTGGGAATCTACAAATATAAACAATTATCACCTATTTTATAAGATTGATTTTCTAAATAAGTTTAGCTAATAACTCCATCTGTTTTTAGAAAATTGATTTTCTAAATATTTTACATATTTTAAGAAACAATCATTGTTTAATTATTTATTTTATTTAATATTTTTTAATAAACCATGAACCAATAGTATTTTGAAACAGTTAATCATTATGTCTTAGAATCTACGATTTATTAATATCAATTAATTAAAAATAAAGAAAAAATCTAGAAAATTAATCTTTGTGGAACAAAACTAAAACAGTAGAACATCAAACTTCTAGGAACACAAAGATTATAAATTAGAGACGTTTATGGTAAAATCTGGGAAGAAAAAAAGAGAGCAATTATCACCGAAGAAAAAAAGAAAGCAATTATCACCTAATATTAAATCTATAAAATCCTGACGTTTATGGTAAGGCCGTAAAATCCGGGAATCTTCAAATTTATCTCCTTAATCAAAGTTTTGTGTTGACCGAATCATTAACTAACAAAAAAAAGAGAGACGTAATCGGGTAAGATTTTTGACAGGTGTAAGACATTCATTGGACGTCTGTGTTGGCAGAGTTGTTGGCCTATCTTACCCCCTCACGCTCTTTCTATATATGGCGATCTTTCTGGTCAGTTCTATGAGCCTTTTATGTGTCCTCAACCGCATAGAGGCTGCGGTTGTGGTTGTGTTGTCGGTAGCTTCTATTTTACTACTTAGTTTTGTGTGAACAAAGCTTTGTCAAAGGGGATTTTGTCCAATTTATTCTCAGATCTGTTGCTAGGAATCTATATTTTTAGCAACAGATCTGAGAATAGATTGGACAAAATCCCCTTTGACAAAGTTTTGTTCACACAACACTCTACTATTAAATGTAATCTGCCGGCTAAATAGCAAAATAGGTGTCGGTGTTTGTGTTTATGAAGGGGATATGTTGAAGAGAGTAAACAGGTGTCAGCGGGTGTTAGCTGTTGTTCACAGCTGTCGGTGTTGATGAATTGACCAGGACGGCGTACTTAGAACTTCAGGACAGTGACGGGGATATAAACAATGGAGATCGTGGTTTTCTTCGGTTTGCACGTCTCCCGTCTCCGGTGTTAGCGGTTGTTCACATGAAGGTATGTTTTTCTAATTATCTGTACTTTGATACAATTTGATGATACTGATAATTTATTCTCTCTTTTTTTTTTTTTTTTGGCAGGTATGATCTTGAGACTAATCAGATAGATCCGAAGAAATATTAAATATTTGCATCTTTTATTTCTATTCATCAATTTCTTTATGCCTTGTAATCTCTGGATTTTGAGAGTATTGAATTGTTAGCATAAGACTTTGGTTTAATGGCCCAGTGGGCTACAATAGCCCAATAATGAGAACCTTGCCCCAGCCTCGTCTTCGTGATTTGGTATACAAGTTTCCGCCTATTTTTAGATACTTTATTTTCCTTTTCTTTGGTCAACGAAATATTTTGTTTTTATGCAAGATTTCTTTTACTTTAAACTAGAAACAAAACAAATTAGTTTTTAAAATTCTTTAGCAGGTTTAATTGGTTTTAAATTCTTATATAAAAAATCTGCAAACCAGTACAGTTGGCTTGGAGGGTAAAAAAGAATACAAAAGAGAAGATATTTGGTAAAATTGCGACGTAGAATTTTGAACGTCAGCAACTAAATAATTGCGTCTAAATTCGTCGCATTATACAACATCATCTCTGTTTTAGATTTTTATTTTAATAAGAAAATGTAAAATGTTTGTTTTATGTAAAAGGAGTTACAGTCTTAGAGATTTGACTAATTTGTCTCCTGAACCTCATGCATAATCGCACTTTTACCAATCCTCATCTTCGTCTCTTTTTTGTTTGTTTGTTTGCGAACAACTTCATCTTCTATTTTTTTTATCTTACTTGTCCTAATATCCCCCAATAAATCTCTCTTTACATCAAAGATAAAAGTATTATCATAAATATGTTTGTGCTATGTGCGACCGACAAGCTCTCATCCATTGGTTCTTAATATTTTAACTAGATAAATTACCCGCACTATGTGCGGGATGAAATGACAATTAAAGAAATGCATTGTAGTTTTAGTTACAAAAATTATTGTATTATTATCCGGAATCCAAAATCTGTTAGTGTATTATGAAACATGTAAAAAAAAAACGTTTTATGTTCCAATCATCGATTTTTCGTATCGGAATTCGTTTTACCTGTAAAATAATTAAAGACGATAATTTCTTTTCTAACGTAACTTAAATAACAAACATATATACATCTTTGTAAAAGAGTTGATGAAAATTTAAAAAATTTAGATTTCTCGAAAACTAAGAAGATGTGTGTTCGGTAAATTTGAGAGGGTGAAGATGATATCAAGGAATATATTTATAGAGAAATATTTTTGTAGGGTTCCGTTTAATTTTTCAAAGTTGGATTGCCTTCAAAATTTGAAAATTAATTTAGTGTTGATATTATGATAGATTTAGTTTTGAGAATTAATTTTATAAATGTAGTTTGGATTTATGAACCTAGGAAAATTTGTACTTATAAAAGTTATAAAAATATATTCTAATATATTAATTTACATGAATTATACGCTTACATGTTTGAGTTGTTAAATATATCTATATATATATATATATATATATATATATGTTAGTCTCAATTTAAAAATATAGACCTTAGATCAATTTAATATATATATATATATATATATATATATATATATACATATACACGAATCCAATCCTTTATGTATAGATAGAGATATGATGTTTGTATTACTGATGTTTAATGTTAATTAACAAAATAATTAGAATATCATGTCACATTTGTAACTAATCTAGTAATATTTGGGTAATTAATTGTATAAACCATAAATCTCTGTGAACACGACACGTCAGCGTGGCAATCTTGTAAATCACACGGAGGAGCAAGGTTTTTTTATTAATAATGCTTCTCAATTAATATATAAGGGATTATTTGTTGATGTCACTAGTGTATCAAACGGTGCAAAACTACCTTAGAAACTAACGTTTTTTTTAACAAAAAAAAAGAAAAAAGCAAAACGCACCAATTAACTTATCCCCTGAAATCAGTGTTTTTTTTCATGGCCGAGCTCAAAAATATAAGCAAACACAACATCGCCCTATATATCTTCTTCACATCACAAAAATTCGATCGTTACTCAAAAAACTTGGAATAGCCATATACATTCTTCTATTGTGTACACACGTCTAACAATCATACAAAATCTGTGACTTTAGAAAATATTTAATAATTTATAATTTTATATTATAAACTTTATGAATGCACTATTCTTATATATATATATATATTCTATTTTATTTATTTGATCACGATATTCTATTGGTTTAGGAAAAACGGCCAATTCCCCCTGAACTAAGTTGCTTTATCGTATTTATACACAGAACTTTAAGTCGTGCCTATAACTACATAAACTTAGATAAAATTTGAATTTCCTACATGAAAAATCAAAATCTGGTCAAAACCATCAAATCGATAAACGGCGTTAATATTCCGTCAACAAATGCTGACTAAGATGCCATGTTGGAGTCTCGAATGCCACGTGGAGTCATTTAAAATTAAAAACTAAAAAAAAGGGATATTTGGTGGTACGTTTCAATAAATTGGTTTGGGCCTCTCGGGTTCGAATCCCACTTACGCCAATATTCGAAGTTATTTTTTTAAGAAATTGAAACGACGGCGTTTTACGTTGTTCTTCCACGCAGGATCCTAGTCAGCTTTCTGTTAACGGAAATCTAACAGCGTTAGGGAGTTTGATGGATTAAGCCCGATTTATTTTGTTTGTGTAGGAAATTCAATATTATTGTAAGTTCATGTAGTTATACGCACACAACAAAGTTCTGTGTATAAATACGATAAAGCAACTTAGTTCGGGGGGAATTGGCCGTTTTTTCCATTGGTTTAACTAGGTATGATCCAAACAATTTAAACCTAACTTAAAATTTAAGAAAAAAAAACTTATCTAAATTTTATTTGGTACAAATTAAATTCTTAGCCCATAAAAAAAAAAAAAATTAGCTCAATTAAATGGACCCAATTTTTTAATTGACCAAGCTATGTTATTCCATTTGTTTTTAATTAATGCATATACATACGGGCCGTATGATACGGCTTTCTATCCCCTTACTATTAAAAGGTAAGTACAAATTGAAAAATGGTCAAATTTGGCCTCAATTTCAATTTCAATTTTGGATTTTGTTATTTGTTAATCATAATCGTCAAGGGTAAATTGGTCATAAAATCTCATTGAAAGACTTTGGATCCGCGTGTATTTAAAATGGGCGGGTCTTGGATCAAATCGTTACAAACACGAATTCAAGTAACTAATCGGGTTTGAGCATCACAAATATGCAATCCTAACCATTCACTATTGTTGATATCTAAATTAAGGCATATTCGATCACCATTCAATGCAAATTCGATCATATCTCACTTAATTCCTAAACAAATTATATTGTAATATTCACTTAGATCTATTACTAACTATAAACGACTCTGCTATATCCTTATTTGTCCAAAAATAGTGAATCATTCATTTCTATACCAAATACGAATATATGACTAACCAAACATTTTCCTTATTGGATCAAGTATTTACCAAAACTATATCAAGTATAATCGGGTTTGATTATTCATCATTCATCAAAAATGCAATCCTAACCAATCATCAATTTTGGTATGTAATTCAAAGCATATTCAATCACAATTCAAAGAATATTTTACCATATCTCGCCTAATGACTAACCAAATGATATTGTAATCTTCAATCCAAACAAAACCTAACTATAAACGAACTAACAATATCCTTAATTCTCCAAAAAACTAGAATCATTCATTTTTATACCAAAAACGAATATATTTTGTTAACGCAATCTTATATTAAATCTTAGAGCCAAAAAACCCTAACATTCTACTTCATTATAAATATCAAAGTCATTATCATTTCTAATCCATCAAGCAATTACCTCTTTTCGTAAGAAACATCTCATTCTTATTTTTTCTTTGCGTCTTCAAAAAATGTCTTAGTCAATTGCTTTTCTTGACGATGTGAAGCCATACAAAACTGTATCACCATGTATATTAGAGACATACAAGCAGAGAGATAGAGTTATTAATTCGTTGAGTTACTAACCCGTTATCACCGAGATTGATTAATTTCAGGCGACGCATCGTAATATCATATCATGAAGAGCTGCCCCTGACCTAAATCAGTCATTGTTGTTATCAAAACTGAAATTGAAGGACTGAGATGATAATAATTCAAGATGGAGAGTAGAAAAGGGACTTACTTTGATGAGAAGGATGAGGAGAGCCGTCGATGTCTTGAAGTTCTCTAGCGGGAAAAGATGGCAACAGAGCAGCTTCCAAAGCCATAACGCAAGCCATAATCTCCTATAGTGATAATGTTTCCCAAAGCTTGATTACATTCATCTTCTATATACAATCCTTTAAAGCAAAAGTAAATAGTTAGCTAAAGCTTCTTCTTTGTGATATTTTGCATCGTTTACAAATGCACATAAGCTATGAGTTTATGTTTTTTTTTTCTTTATGACCAAACTTGAACCATTAATGTTATTTCACAATCAGAATCTTAATTCGGATTGAAGAGATGCAAAATAAAATTGTGTTTATATATCAATTTAGTTGTACAGACAACAAATGAAAACCCAGAATTCGTATAATCAAAACCTAGAAATTATTGGTGTTACGGAGAAGATATAAAGCTAAGAACTTTACAACAAAGCAAAATAATTGATAGATTCATAGAAGCCTTGCCTCCTTTTTTTTTTTTCACGTACCCTAACCCCCAAATCGATTTGGTGGAGTTTTTTCCTTTTATTTCAATTATTTTATTAAAAAAATAATAAATACGTTTTCTGAATAAATTTTTTTTTAAGTTATAAAACAATTGGTTTAACTATTCTGTTGACGGAGTTATATGTTCTATTAACGGAGTTTAATATTATAAATATGTACATATATTATAAATACTATCCAAATGTGATCTTACCAAAAAAGATTGTAATCTTTTAGATTTGATTCGATAATTTATTATATAAGATTATATAATACATGGTCCGTGAAATCTTGAACATTACATCCGAAGACATCACTAAACTCAAGAACATAATTATCGAAGATGAGAACCTTGCCAATGAGAACGAGAAGAACATGGAGATCACGACCGTGGAGGTTCTTGCGGCCTACGTTTGGAGAGCAAGATGTCGAGCCATGAAGCTAAATCCCGACATGATTACGGATTTGGTGATATCTGTTGCCTGTTGGTATCCGCAGCTCTATAGAGCCTCCATTACCTGAAGGCTACTATGGAAATGCCTTCACCTATGCTTCCGTGGCATTGACAGCGGAAGAGCTAAGCAAAACGCCGATGTCTCGCCTTGTGATGCTCATAAAAGACGCGAAGAGAGAGGCGCTCGATAATGGTAACGTGTGGGAGAAACTTAGAGAGATGGAGAATACAATGAAGCTGAAGTTAGCTTCCGAGGAGATCCACGGAGGAGTTTTCATGATGCTGACTGATTGGCGTCATCTTGGGTTGGATCAAGACGTTTGGGGAGGTTTAATGAACATTATACCTTTGGTTCCTCTGACACTGCCTTTTATGTGTGTTTTGTTGCCGGCGTCAAAAGCGGTTCCAGGGAAGAGTGGTGGTGTTCGGATGCTGACAACACTTCCTAGAGACGCGATGGCCAAGTTCAAGGAAGAGATGGATGCACTCCATCCGTGAAACGATGTTAGCTCATAAGAATATGATTCTAGCTCCTAATTATCATCGATCATTGGTTCCATGATATGCTTGGTTTATTTGGATTTAAAAAAAAACAATTTAGGTTTTTGCATTTGTTTTGTAACAATTGACTCTTTTGTGTTTAAAGAGATTGAAACAATTTCATTTGTTTTTTTTTTTTTTTTTTTGTTTTGTTTGTCAACCATTTGTTTATTTTTCTTTGGGTACACTTTTGATTTTTTACGTGATTTTTTTTTTGGTTACCTAAGAAATTTTGGTCTTAAGATCTATACTCCTTTTGAACCAAAAAAATCAAACAAACAAAAAGATCTATGCTTCTCGGACTTGAGACCTCCCATAGTAAACAACTTAAATATCTGACGTAACTTTTTCTCAATGGTACATATTTTAGTTTTTTTCAAATAATTTATTGTGTGATTACGAATGTTATGTGTATATATAAATTTGTATAATTTAAATTGTTTGGGTAGTATCCGAAAATCTGCAAATTGAGCAACCACTTTGTCATTGAACGAGTTTAGAAGTCCAAAAAATAGATATTGTTAGTTAGTTTAGTTCATTGCGTATATCAATTTCACACGAATTAAATGGATTGACCACAACACTCTTGTTCATTAGACTTAACAATAAGCGTTCTAAACATTGCAGGTTTTGAGGGTTTGGTTACTTTGGTATCCAAAATCCCCAATTTGTTAATAAAAAAAATGGAGCAAAAAAAAAAGATCAATTATTTCTCTATCTTTTCATTTTTCACTTGTTCTCTAAATTTTCCTTTATTTGTTTGCATAGAAATAACATTTATAAATTATTTTTAATTTCAACTATTAGGAATTTACTATTACTTTTCAAACTTAACAATAGATATATAATATAAAAATATATAGTATAATTTAAAAATAGTTTTATTTAAATCAACATTTCTTCAAACCATACATTAAATTTCTAATAATGTTAAAAGAAAATTCTTGGTTAGCAATATTATTTGTAAATTTAGATTAAAATTACACAGTCAACAGTAAAGGCAATATATATTTTAAATATGTATAATCTAGTTGAATTATAAAGTATAATAATCAGTAATAAAATAATATTTTCCTTTATTGTTTTCTTATATATCAATTTGTTTCATTTGTCCTTTATCCAAAATCTGTTTTATAGTACTGTATTCAATGATGATACCATAAAACTACAAGTGGGTGATTGACTTTTCATAATTAAAAGGAAGGCAAATGATTATTTTAAATCCTAATCAAGCAAATACTTAATCCTTATCCTTCCACGTGTCAAGATACTATTATAGATCACAAAACGGACACCTATGCCATAAACAGAAGATTACTCCCGACAAGATCTTTATATCACTCTCTCTCTCTAACATTAGCCGAACAAAGGGCAAAATGGTCATTCCCCATACCCACTTCAGCGTCTTTTCTCGATAAAGCTACTTCGGTAATCGAAACCGAAACCACTAAAGAGGTTTATCTCCATACGCAAATTTACCAAAATACCGTTGTCCTTACACAATTTTACGAAAATACCATTCTTCTCTCTCATCTCTGATCATCGAATTTGGGTGAAGAAATATCTTTTCTATCTAATTGCTAAAAGGAAAAGCATCAAACTTTGTTTTCATTTGCTTCTTCTATCTTCTTCTTTCTCTTCTTCTAGCTTTGATACTTTTTGATTCCTCTGTTTCGTTTGATGAGAATTAGATTTTAAATGGCAAAAGTTTCGTTTAAGGATTCGCTGAAAGCTCTTGAAGCTGATATTCAACACGCTAACACTGTGTAAGCCTCTCAAATTTTATTCCTTTTTTGTGGTCTTAGAGTTTTCTCTGTTTTTGTAATCTAAAGTTTCGATTTTTATTTCTTTCTCGGTGGAAAAAATTTATCTTTTTGGTTTAGATTCTCTGTTTCTGTGATTATATCTTAGGACCACAAGTGGGTTTTTTGAAATTGTACGGTTTGTTTTTTGGTAATCTTGTCCAATGAATTGGGTGATGAAGTCATTTTATGGGAGTCTTGTCATAGTTTGAGTGTTGACTCTTGAAGCTGAAGAAGTCTTTTGGTTGATGATGTTTTTGTCTCAGAGGAAACTGTGTTTTGTCTGCAATGATCAAGTAATTGAAAGCTAAAACCTTTAATTTCATTTGATTTCTGATGGTTATCTAGCTGAATTAGGAAGCTCTATGTCTGAAAGGTGAATGTTTTGGTGAGTTTCTTAATCAATTTGGTTCTGCTGCTAATGTTTTAACAACTTATAACATCTGAGGATGCTTGATTACATCAAAATTTGATCCTTGAAGCTGAATTTTAGACATTTCCTTGTCTGAAAGGCGAAAGGTTTGAATGAGTGCATTGATCAATTGTTTCTGTTGTTATTCTATGTGATCCGATCAATAAATTGAATGGAGAATTTTGTTATGTTTGTGCTTTCCATCAAGTCATGTTGTTATGGTGCTTATGAACAATGTCACTTGTTTCTCTCTGTGAATAAACAGAGCTTTAGATTATCCTCGGGAGAAGGATGGAGCGCGTGTTCAAATGAGGCTATCTTACAATCCGGCTGCTCAGTTTTTACTTTTTCTTGTACAATGGACTGATTGCCATCTTGCCGGTACCCTCGGTTTGCTTAGAGTTCTTATTTACATGGTACATTCTTTACAACTTCTTACTTCCTTTTCTTCTACTGCTTTCTCTTGTGATTGTTTGATTAATTTGTTCAACTGAATCAGACATATGCGGATGGGAAAACCACAATGTCGGTTTATGAGAGAAAAACCAGTATTAAAGATTTCTATGGTAATGTGCAGATTCAAGTGTTTTGGTAACAAGTTGATTGTTAGCCTTAATGCTTATCGGTTTTACCGTGTTGTGAAACAGCTGTGATATTTCCGTCGCTTTTACAACTAGAAAGGGGTATCACAGACCTGGATGACCGCAAACAGAAAGAGGTCTGCAAAATACGGTACAGAAATAAAGATGAGACTGAAAAAGTCAAGCTCTCTGAGATTGACATCGAGAGAGAAGAAGAATGCGGAATTTGCATGGAGATGAACAACATGGTGGTTCTACCCAATTGTACCCATTCTTTATGCATCAAGTGTTACCGCGATTGGTAAGTCATCAAATCTTAAGGGGTGTCTCCTCTGCATTCTTATTTTGTTGCGCATAATCGATGATTCAATCATAACCGATGATTTCTTGCAGGCATGGGAGGTCAGAATCATGCCCTTTTTGCCGAGACAGTCTTAAGAGAGTAAACTCAGGAGACTTATGGATGTTAATGGAGAAATCAGATACGGTCAATATGTATACAATTGAGCGGGAGAATAAGAAGAGGCTGTTTGTGTACATAGAGAAACTACCTCTAGTGGTTCCAGATCAAGTGTTTGCGTCTTCTCCTTACGATTGCCATGTCAAGTAAATAAGAAGAAGAAGAGCTTTGGCAAAAGCCGAAACCGGGTCTGGTAAACTTTTATCTGAATGTATGTATATAATGTTTTAGAGTAGTAGTAAGTAATATAGTGTAAACATTTCTGGGGGAAGTCCATTTCTACTTGCTTTTCTTTTTATCTGCATTTGGCTTTTGGTTCCCAAAAACTCTTATTTCTATTGTACATTCATGTCTGAATTTAAAAACCTCTTCTTCAAGAAGTGGCTTTTACTCGCAAATCTACACCATGTGCTTGTTTCAGCTAAAAAATCTCTTAAAGTACATAGGAATATAGGATACAAAATCTTTACTCAAACCATGATTTTAAGCTGAAATGGACTTCCCCCACAAATCGACCATCCATGCCATCTTGTAACTACCTTAAATATACTCAAAAGTCAAAACCATGATTTTAAGCTGAAATCTTTGAATCATGGTGCTTCCCAAAATAAATATAAAGAAAAACCCTAAAACTCGATTCAAGATTCTAAGGACACCAAGCTCTCATAATGATCTGAAACAGTCACAGAAAGGCTGTGGAATTGCAACGCTTGCTTAAACTCGGAAATAGGTAGTCCTTCATACGTGACACTTCTCATGCTATTCGTCTTCAAATTGTAATAGAAGAGACAAAACGGATCAAAGATTTTTTTTGGAACGAGACAAATCTCGCCTGTATAAAAGGTATCCATGACTTTGAAGTCAAGGCCAGCAGCAGATTGTGGTAAATAAAAAGTGTTCATAGACCATTCCTCTTTCTCAGCATCTTCTACAACCCACATTCGAAATATACCATGTCGAGGTTTCTCAACCACGCCAATTTTACCGCTGTAGTTGATCAGAGTTTTATCCCCAATAAACCAATTGCAATTAGCAGTCCAAAAATTATCCGAATCGTCGATTTGTAGAAGTTTGCTTGGTACATTGGAGATTTTGTACGTTTCAGACCTAACATCGAAACTCACAATTATAGAATTATTGGGGGAACCCTTGTCCTTCCTCGAGGCCCCGTAATACAAGCTTCCATTCATATAAAGCCCCAAGGTATTAGCAAGATGAGGGCATGCAACACATGGAGCCTCTCTCCAAACTTCTTCTTCTCCCAATACCACAATCTTGTACTCCAATCTCCAAGGCAAATTATCAATGGCCAGCACTTTATATTTATCTTCAATAGGATCGTACCCAAGAAAGTACATGATGCATGGAAAAGTGTCTGGATCTCTTTTCAGTTTGACTCGGGGAAAAATATGCAGCTTCCTCGTGCTGGGGTTACAAATCCCAACCTTCAATCTACTTTCAAAGCAAATCAATCCCCGAACCGCATTATAGACCTGTTGTCCATGAATGTTGACTAGGCTCAGATCTTTATAAGGTACAAAACATGAAGAAGGGGAAGAGGAAGATGTGTTTGGGTTAGGTGACGAGACTAACATAAGCTCGTTTCTGTCAAAGTCCTGAAAAGCAATGAGAAGACGAGGAGCAGCTGACGAAGAGGTAATATCAAAGTGACGGTTTCCAAAATCGTGGCTGGTGATAATAGAACACCAAAGCTTGGAGACACATCGAAATCTCAATAAAGACTTCACATGCAATCTTAAGAGTATATTGATCTGGAGGTCGAGAGGAATGTAAATCGGTGTCGTATTCGGACCAAACTTCATTGTCTTCTCCTTATTGCTTTGTTTCTCAACAAAACCCTAAAAACCCTTAACTAGCCTAGGAAAACCTAACTTTACCGTAAGTACCCAAACTTAGCAAACATGCCATATTATGCAAATTCTTTTCTATGGTGCAATAAAGCCATTATATAACAAATTAAAAACCAAACTAAAATATCAAACAACAAAATAGAAACACTCTTTCTCTCTCGTTTCTTTTTCTTTAATTTCTCCTATATAATATAATGTTTGTGGACAAGTTACCAAAATAATCGCTTGATTCCACTCATTGTCATCTTCTTTAACATTGTTAAACACAAAAGAAGAAACCATTGCAACTATTAATCGCATGATCGTCCATATATACCATTTTAAAGCTTCCTTCAATTTTACTTCTGTCATATTTTGAAAAGTCTAAAGGATCAGGCCGAACATGATTTTAAGTTGGAATCTTTAAATATTAATGGTGCTTCTCAAACCAAAATTTAAGTTCTATAAATAAACAAGCATATATGTTGTCTAATTTCTGGCAATTCCCTTCAAACGCAGAAATGTTTAAATCACTCCCAATTAGCCAATCAAAAGAATGTCATGCTACCCATTAAAAAAATCCGTAAGTGGACTACTCGACGGTTACAGTCACCCTGGGAGAACTAGTGGGGTTTTAAAACCCGGATCACACACTAATTACCCAAAAAAAATAAAAAGAACAAGCATATATATAGAAAGAAAAACCTTAATTAACTTCAGGTTTCTAAGAACATGAAGCTTTCATAATGATCAGCAACAGTCACATAAAGGTCACGGACTCGCTTAAGCTTGGATATAGGCAGTCCTTCAATTGTGACACTTCTCATGCTTTTCCTATCCAAATTGTAGTAGAAAACACAAAAAGGGTCAGTTAATTCTTTTCGAACCAGACAAATTTCACCTGTATAAAAGGCATTCATGACCTTGAAGTCAAGGCCAACAGCAGATTCAGGCAAATGAAAAGTGTTCATGGACCATTCCTCTTTCTCAGCATCTTCCACAACCCACATTCGAAAACTACCCTCACGTGCATTCTCGACCACACCAATTTTTCCTTTGTAGTTGATCAGAGTTTTATCTGTAAGATTCCTCCACCGTTCAGCAAGCCACATATTCTCATAACCCATTGGTAGAACTTTGCTTGGTACATTGATGATGTTGAACGTTTCAAGCCTAACATCGAAACTCACAATTATAGAATTGTTATTCGGGGGATCGATATCCGTCCTAGACGCCCCGTAGTACAGGGTTCCGTTCATAAACAGCCCCGAGGTATGAGAAACATGAGGACATGCACCACATGGAGCCTTTCTCCAAGCTTCTTCTCTTCCCAATAACAAAATCTTGTGTTCCATTCTCCAATGCAAACGATCAATTGCTAGCACTTTGTATTGATCTTCAATAGAATCGTACCCAACAAAATAATTGGGGCGTGGAGAATTTTTTGGATCTTCTTTGTACTTGATTTGTGGATAAATATGCAGCTGCCTTGTGCTAGGGTTACAAATCCCCACACTTAATCTACTTAAGCAAATCAAGCCCCGAACCGCATTATACACTAGTTTCCCATTTATTTTAAAGACGTTCAGATCTTTATAAGGTACACAACATGAAGAAGAGGAAGAGGAAGATACGTTTGGGTTAGGCGAAGAGACTAGCAGAAGCGTTTTACCGTGAAAGTCCTGAAAAGAAATGAGGAGACGTGGAGGAGCTGAGGAAGATGTAATGTTCAAGTGCTGTTTTTTGAAATATTGGCTGGTGATGATTGAGGACCAAAGCTTGGAGACGCATCTAAATCTCAATAAAGACTTCACAGGTAATCTTAAGAGTGTATTAATCTGGAGATCAAGAGGAATGTAGATCGGTGTAGGATTTAGACGTAACTTTGTCTTTCTTGACTTTAACCATCTTCGGTTCCTTTTCTTAGCCAAAATTTTCTTCTGGCGGATGCACAGTAGCCGAATACACGACTTCATCGTCTTCTTCAAATGCCTAGAAGCAAATATTGAAGTACGTGATCTTTGTTTCTGTATAAAACCCTAAAAATAATAAACCTTTTAACTAGCCTTGCAAAACCTAATTAGACTTTCTGAATTTTCCTTTATATATCAAAATTGGACATTTTTCATGTAGAAGATGTAAAAATGATATTAGAAATTAATTATATACAAAAAATATACGTAATATAATTTGGCTTAATTTTCAAAACAAAAAAAACATAGACAAATTAAAGATTCAAACGAAAAGAGGAAAATATATAGGAAGATGACTGAGCCAAATTTAAGTACAAAAACAACATACAAAATCAACAACATTTTAGAGTTGTCAATACAAAATTAAAAACACTAAAGACTAATTGAGATTGAGATTTTTTTTTTCTTTTTAAAAGAAGTTTAAGAATTTTTAAAAATGTTTTAAAACTAATACATCATCATGACGCAATAAGATCTGCTCGGCCCAGATAAAATAAATGGGCCTCAATCCGGGTCGGTAAATTAAAGTAGGAAGCGGGTCATTAAAAAAAACCCGACCCGCTCAGGCTAATCTCTCTCGATCTCGTTTGCTAGTTTAGGGTTCCTTAAACTTACTCAGTAACGAACGAAGAGAAAATTTGAAAGGATGAATCCATTGACGCAGGTGAGGAATTTACAGAAGATAAACGCTAGGGAATCAGATTTAGGAATCTCTGAAGAAGCTTCATGGCACGCTAAGTACAAAAACTCTGCTTATGTCTACGTCGGATGCATACCGTTCGATCTCACCGAAGGTGATCTCCTCGCTGTCTTCTCACAGTAAGTGTTGTTTCGTTTCTAAAGTTTCAATTTTTCTTAATGGGTTTTTGGTTTTGATGCCTTTTTGTTTTGTGGAATTGTAGATATGGTGAAATTGTTGATGTCAATCTTATTCGTGACAAGGGAACTGGGAAATCTAAAGGTTTTGCATTTCTTGCTTATGAAGATCAGAGAAGTACCGTTCTTGCTGTTGGTTAGTGAAGCTCTTGTACATTGTTTTCATGTGGATTTTTACTTCTTTAGGTGTTGGAATTTGTAATTGTGTTTTTTGTTGGTGATTGTAGATAATCTGAATGGAGCTCTTGTGTTGGGGCGGACTATTAAGGTGGACCATTGTAGGGAATACAAAAAGCATGAAGAAGAGGATGAAGAGACGCGACGGCAGAATAGAGAGGCTCGTGGTGTTTGCAGAGCGTTTCAGAGAGGAGAATGTACTCGTGGTGATTCTTGCAAATTTTCCCACGATGAAAAAGTAAGTAAGTGCGGGATAACTCTCGTATATGAGCTAATTATTTGGATGATATTGTTCTTATTATTTCAACATATGATTTTGATAAATGCTTGATAGAAGTAAACCCTTTTTTTAATGGACAGAGAGCTGCAAATACTGGTTGGGGTCATGAAGAGGATAGAAGTTCCAGGTGGGATCATGACAAGTTTAATGGTGCTAAAAAGGGTGGTACAAGTTTTGGCCATCGAGGAGATTTCAAACCTGATGCGGAAGAGAAAAGTTACAGAGGAAAGGGTGATGGAGATGCCTGGTATGGCCGCCCTAAGGAAAGAGAAAGAGTGGAAAGAGAGGATATGGGGCCAAGGTCAAGAGATGCTTATGATATGAGGGAACAAAAGAGATCAGGACCGTATGATGATTCGCGATCTAGAAGTCACAATGCTGGAAATGATTATAATTATATAAGGGAGGACAAGGGATCCAGAACACGTGATTGGGAGAAATTGAAGGCAGAATCTAGAAGAGATCATAACGACAGGGAGGGAAAAGGTTCAAGTAGGCAATCAGAAACGTCCACAAGGCAATATAGGGATTCTTCAAGAAGGGAAGATCGCCGTCGTTAAAAGGGTAGATAGTGGTATGCATACTCGATGGTTTTCAGTTTTAGCTAGTGTCTGTGGAAATGAGCTTTGTTGTCTTTTCAAGATAGTTACCTTGGGGTTATTATAAACTGCTTCATTCTGTAACTGCGATTCTATGTTTTTCGTGATACCGGAGACATGTTGATTTTACTGTGTGGAATGAAAGAAGTGGTTATATCCTTTTTAGTTTATTTACAGGATTTTTGCTATCTCATGTATACCTTTGTTGTTAGTGGCTGTGTTAACCTGTGCTTACAGACTCAGGTGTCTACCGGGATGAGTGATTATGGCTCTCCTTGTACGGGTTAATATGGATGGATTAGTGCAGCGCTTGCTGTTCCTGTCATATGCAAATTAAGAGGTAAACTGCAAATATTTTCATTTCAATTCCTATTGACTTTGTCTATAAAAAACTGAACAAAGAATTGTGTATTAATTTCCTTTTTTATATAGTGAGAATTGAATTTTCTTCTGCTAGGTATGATTAATATATTTTCGAATTAAACGCGCTATTATTTTATTGTTTTTACTGAAAACGATGTAGAAGCAAGTTAGTGTATATCGAAATCATTGATGTCATGGTCTCTGCTAAGAACTTGACAAACATCCCTCAGCTACATTTTTATAAGAATGGTCGTTGTTATTAGTGATAATTAATCAAGTTTTCCTTGGTAAAACTAAAGTATATATTTGACAAGCGTCTGACAGTTGACTTGGGCGAAATGAAGCAGTGAATAAATTATCTGAGGCAACATGAGAATAAGTCATTGCTCTATTGGACTTTGACCCTCAAAGTCAACGAGGATTGAGAATAATCTGCACCGCAGGCTGCAAGTCCTGTGGTTTTGGAATATCCTTACTTTGTTTGCCTGTTTCTAAAAGGCTTGTATGCTATATATTCCTCATTATTGCATAGGAAACCAAATCCTCAAGATTTTTATTTGCTCATAATCTCAACAAACAGTCATCCTGGTTGTGAAAGAAATTTTTTGTCTACGCTTAGTTTAGGAAAAAAAAGAAGCTTTTACACCCCATGGGGTTTCCTTGTATTGTTATGAGGCTGATTCTTGTATCTGCTTTACTTGTCTCTGTGTCACTTGAACATTCAGATATGGTCTGTGCACAAACAATCAGATTGACGGAGGAGACTGATAAACAAGCATTGCTTGAGTTCAAGTCTCAAGTTTCTGAAACAAGTAGAGTTGTGTTGGGCTCGTGGAATGACTCCCTGCCTCTCTGTAGCTGGACCGGAGTTAAGTGTGGCCTCAAACACAGAAGAGTAACTGGTGTGGATCTTGGAGGACTGAAACTAACTGGTGTAGTCTCTCCCTTTGTCGGTAACCTCTCATTTCTTAGATCATTAAATCTTGCAGACAACTTTTTCCGCGGTGCCATCCCTTTAGAGGTTGGAAACTTGTTCTGGCTTCAATATTTGAACATGAGCAATAATTTTCTTGGAGGGATGATCCCGGTTGTTCTGTCGAACTGCTCTAGCCTTTCAACACTTGATTTATCATCAAATCATCTTGAACAAGGCGTGCCTTTTGAGTTCGGTTCGCTGTCTAAGCTTGTCATTCTATCTCTTGGTAGAAACAATCTAACAGGGAAGTTTCCTGCCTCATTGGGAAACCTGACATCACTCCAGATGCTCGATTTTATATATAACCAAATAGAAGGAGAGATCCCTGGCGGTATAGCCAGACTGAAACAGATGATCTTTTTGTGAATAGCATTAAACAAGTTTAATGGTGTTTTCCCTCCTCCAGTTTACAACCTGTCCTCACTAATTTTCCTGTCCATTACCGGCAACAGTTTCTCTGGCACCCTTAGACCTGACTTTGGTTCTATTCTCCCTAACCTTCAAATACTATATATGGGGATAAATAATTTCACGGGTACCATTCCTGAGACTCTTTCCAATATCTCAAATGTTCGACAGCTTGATAATCCGTCTAACCATCTCACTGGAAAGATACCATTGAGTTTCGGGAAACTACTCTTCTGCTGATCTTGATTTTCTCGGTATACTGACTAACCGCAGTCAGTTGCAGTACTTAAATTTTGGCTTCAACAAACTCAGCAGTCAGTTGCTTGTCTTTATAGCCAATCTCTCCACCCAATTAACTGAGCTCTCCCTTGGTGGAAATCTCATCTATGGAAGTATTCCTCATGGCATAGGGAATCTCGTAAGCCTGCAAACATTAGACTTGGGCGAAAATCTGTTGACAGACATACTTCCTCCCTCATTGGGAGAACTTTCTGAATTGAGAAAAGTCTTGCTCTATTCAAATGAACTGTATGGAGAGATAGCATCTTCCTTGGGGAATATCAGTGGGCTAACATACCTGTATCTGCTTAACAAGAGTTTTGAAGGAAGCATCCTTCAAGTCTTGGAAGTTGTCTGCAAGATTCAATGATCTAAGAAATGAGCAAGCTAGAGTCTATCAGAGAAAGGGTTTGAGGAGACGAGGAGACTTAACGAGTTGTATTACGAGATATTGGTACGCATGTATATATCTCTTATATTGATATGTCCAATACTTGTCATAGATGTCTGTATATTTATGAATGTACGGGTATTCTAGTGAATGGTTTGTAGTTTTTAAATTATTGTACCATTGTCATGGTTGTAATGTGTTGTGTGCAATGAGACTCAGTTAGGCTATTACAACTAGGGCTGGGCACTGATACCCGTTACCTGTATTGGACATGTTACCCGTCTCGAAAAAAGGGTACCTGTAACCCGTAGTGTCAGGTTACGGGTACACAAAAAAATCTGTTCTTCAAAATGTACTCAAAAATAGATACGCTTTGCTCAGAGTCTATATTTAGACTTGGAAATGTTTTATTATAAGGAGTAGGACATATTCACTGGTGTTGATGAATAGTCCTTGTGGATGTTGGATTATAGAAGTTCTTGTTTCTCATAGAATTCTAGTTTGTGGAACTCAAAGATAGGGTAAAGTTGGTGTTGTCAATCTTATCCGACTAGGCGACTCCAGGGAACTGAAAGATGGTAATGATGGTTCAAGAAGGCAATGAAAAACCTCCCCAAGGGTCGATAAGAATTGTTCCTACCGAGAAATGATCGTCACTTAAGGGATAATGATGGTCGCCGGTTCGAGTGACGCTTGGGACAAAACTAATATTACATGTTGTGGTTTCAGGCTTGGAGGGATTACGGGTTTCGGCCCAAAACCTCCTGGTATTCAAAAAAAAAAAAAAAAAAAATGTAGTGAGTTGTATGGATGCGCAATGGTCTTTCAATTGTAACTCGAATCTGTAAAACTAAGCTTGGTTCAGTGACAGCGTTTTTACTGTCTCATAAAATGGCTTTTGTTGTAAGCAGCTTTATTGAGCTTTGCCATACAGTCGGTATAGATTAGGGCTGGGCAAAATATCCGTTAGATTCCCTTCGATCCGTTATTCGATTCAATTCGATTTGAAAAATCCGGATATCCGAAACTTTTCGAAGCAACTATCAAATACTATAATTCAAATTAGCGGATATCCGATTCGCTCCGGAATACATACATATATATAGATTATTACATATATAAATTATAATTTTATTATTCTTGTAAGCGTTTTATAATTTTTAATCTCTGAATTAATTATTTGAACTACTAGTTTGAACAATTAAAGGAGAAATATATATATTTTTGATAAAATATTACTTTTTTTAATAAAATTTTATAATTTTTGGATTAGATTTTATTTACTAATTTTTTTTTTGTTTAATTTTAAACAAATATTTAACGGATCGAATATCCGGCAAATAGTTTGGATTTTAACGGATATTCGAACAGCCGGATATCCGGTCACTAACGAAGCAAATACGAATCGGAAAACTTAGTATTCGGAAGAAACGAATCGAATAACAAATACCACTAAAAACCCGGATATCCGCTCCGTGCCCACCCCTAGTATAGATTAATGCAACGCACACTTACAGCTTTTATCCTATGCAAATTAAAGAGGTAATTCATCTTAACTCAATCATTTTGACTTGGTCTGTGAAGAAAATGGAGACATGTACACCACATTATGTCTAAGAAAAGGCGTAGACTAGTGAAATATTGTCTTTTTAGACAGTTGACTTATTCTGGAGGGCAAGAGTCCACGTCACTAGATGGCAAGATGCAAGAGTCTAGACGGCAAGAGTTAAAGCCACTATGGAAAAGTCTGGCAATTTTCTCTATGTGGCTGTGAGCCAATGTATTTTTCTTTGAAGTTGCTTACCATCATAAAGTGAAATGATTTTTTCATTTGTAATATATTCACTTTCCTGCAAAATAAAGAGAAGCACGAAAAGCTTTTAACCAAATAGAAAGAAAGAAAGATGAAAACCATGAGACAATTGTTTCTTTTACTTGCTTTGGTCGCTCTTATGTTACCTGAAGCATATCTTTTTACAGATGAAACTGATAAGCAAGCTTTGTTGGAGTTCAAGTCTCAGGTTTCTGTTGACAAAGGAGTTGTCTTGTCCTCATGGAATAACTCATTCCCTGTCTGCAACTGGAATGGAGTTAAATGTGGCCGCAAACACAAGAGAGTTACTAGTTTGGACCTCGGAGGATTGCAATTGGGAGGAGTGATATCACCATCTATTGGTAATCTTTCGTTTCTCATATCACTCAATCTCTCTGATAACTCTTTTGGTGGAACCATCCCTCAAGAGGTTGGAAACTTGTTCAGACTTGAACACTTGTATATGAGATCAAATGTTCTCGGAGGAGGTATTCCTATCAGTCTGTCTAACTGCTCTAGATTGTTGGACCTTCTTCTAGACTCAAATCATCTTGGAGAAGGTGTTCCTCCAGAACTAGGGTCATTGACCAAGCTAGCAAATTTAGATCTTGGTCAAAACAATCTTAAAGGAAAATTCCCTGCATCTTTAGGAAACTTAACATCCCTTAGACGTTTTAGCTTGTTAAGTAACAATATGGAAGGAGAAATTCCAGATGATATAGGTAGATTGACTCAAATGGTGGATTTTTCAATAGAAATGAACCATTTTTCAGGTGCTTTTCCTCCCACTATTTACAATTTGTCCTCACTTAAGTATTTTTCCATCTTTAGTAATGGCTTCTCAGGTACTCTAAGGCCTGATTTTGGTAATATGCTACCAAACCTTCGAGATTTATCTATGGGAGGTAATAATCTCACAGGAGCCATTCCAGCAACACTTCCCAATATCTCATCTCTTGAAAAGTTGGGAATCGAGTATAACAGTATGACAGGAAGTATTTCTCCGAGCTTTGGGAAAGTACGAAATTTGCGAATCCTAGTACTACATCGTAATTCTTTGGGAAGTGGCTCTTCTGGAGATCTTAAATTTCTTGGTGCTTTGACTAATTGCACCCAACTACTAAGATTACATGTTAGTGATAATAAGCTTGGAGGTGGCTTGCCTGCCTCTATTGCCAATTTGTCAACAAACCTCATCTCTTTAGGCCTTTCCACAAATTTCATCTATGGAAGCATTCCTAATGACATTGGGAATCTCATAAGCCTACAAAGACTTGGGTTACAAGAAAATCAGCTAACGGGTCCACTCCCAACCTCTATTGATAGGCTTTTACAATTAGAGGGATTAAATCTACATTCAAATAGTATGTCTGGCGAGATACCATCTACTATAGGCAACATCACTCGATTAGACTTACTATACTTGTTCAACAATAGCTTCGAAGGAATTGTTCCGTCTAGTCTAGGAAAGTGCAAAAATCTGCGAGAGTTATGGATTGGGTCTAATAAGTTGAATGGGACCATACCTCGAGAAATTATGCAAATTCGTCCCCTTGTCTACCTAGGCTTGTCAGGTAATTCCTTGACGGGCTCTCTACCTGAAGATATTGGACGACTACAAAATCTTGGTCAATTATCCCTTTCGGGTAACAAATTATCAGGACAACTCCCTCAAACCTTGGGAAACTGTCTCTCCTTGGAACAACTTTATCTACAAGGAAATTCTTTTGATGGAGATATTCCAGATATAAGTGGGTTGGTGGGTATTAAAAGAGTTGATTTGTCAAAAAATAATCTCTCTGGAAGTATACCTGGATATCTTGCAAACTTTTCCGAGTTAGAGAATCTCAATCTATCCATTAACAATTTCGAAGGAAGGGTGCCAACAGAAGGAATCTTTAAGAATGCTACTATAGTTTTGGTATTTGGAAACAAAAATCTTTGTGGAGGCATCAAGGAATTGAAACTAAAGTCATGCATCGTGCAAACACCACCAATGGAGACAAAGCATTCCTCTCATTTGAAGAAAGTTGCAATTGGAGTAAGTGTAGGCATATCTATGCTTTTAATGTTGTTCATAGCTTCAGTTTCTCTACGTTGGTTTAGAAAAAGAAAGAAGAACCAGCAAAACAATGATCCAGCTACTTCCACATTGGAGATTTTCCATGAGAAGATAAGTTATAGAGATCTCCGGAATGCCACAAATGGCTTCTCTTCAAGCAATATGGTTGGGTTAGGCAGTTTTGGTACTGTGTTTAAGGCATTACTCCCGACGGAGAACAAGATTGTTGCAGTGAAAGTTCTAAACATGCAGAGACGTGGAGCTAAGAAGAGCTTTATGGCAGAATGTGAATCCTTAAAGGATATAAGGCATCGTAATCTTGTGAAACTATTGACAGCTTGCGCTAGTATTGATTTCCAAGGTAATGAATTCAGAGCTCTCATATACGAGTTCATGCCGAATGGAAGCTTGGATATGTGGCTGCACCCAGAGGAAGTGGAAGAGATTCGTAGGCCCTCAAGAACCTTGACACTTCTTGAGAGGCTCAACATTGCCATAGACGTTGCTTCTGTTTTGGACTATCTTCATGTTTATTGTCATGAGCCAATAGTTCATTGTGATATTAAGCCAAGCAACGTCCTTCTCGACGATGATCTAACTGCCCATGTTAGCGACTTTGGTCTGGCTCGTCTTATCCTCAAATTCGACCAGGAGTCCTTCTTTAACCAACTAAGCTCAGCTGGCGTTAGAGGAACCATCGGCTATGCTGCACCAGGTAAGACTATTACACATGCAATGTTTAGATGAAGAAAATTGTTGTATTCTTTTTTCATTACAATTTTGTTGTTTGTGTGAATCATGGTGCAGAATATGGAATGGGAGGAGAACCATCAATACACGGTGATGTGTATAGCTTTGGGGTTCTCCTTTTGGAAATGTTCAGTGGAAAAAGACCAACCAATGAATTATTTGAGGGGAGCTTTACCCTACACAGCTACACAAAGTCGGCCTTGCCAGAAAGAGTTTTGGACATTGCAGACAAATCGATTCTTCATAATGGTCTCAGAGTTGGTTTCCCTGTCGTTGAGTGCTTGAAAGTGATTTTGGATGTGGGACTTAGGTGTTGTGAAGAATCTCCGACGAACCGTTTGGCAACCAGTGAAGCCGCAAAGGAGCTAATCTCAATCAGAGAGAGGTTCTTTAAAACCAGAAGAACAACCAGACGTTGAAGTGTTAATGCTTTTCTCTACAAACTTTGAAATCCACTTAAAAGGCTTATACCGAAGCCTATATAATATTTTGTATCATAATTAGTGGTTTCTCACTATTAAACATACTTTGAAGGCTTGTAATAATGAATTCTTGTGTTTTTATGCAGCCAAAATAGGAATGTTGTGTTATTTGAGACAAATGTTGAGTTACCAGCTTTATGAACTAATCTTTGTGGATATTGGGCTATGTAGTATATTGTTTTGTCATCTTTACTAATTAAAGTCGAAGAAAGTCAACAAAGAGAGAAACAAAACAGAGGAAACAAAAAACAGGGGTCAAAACAGAGTCACAGAGACCTAAGAGAAATTCATTAAAAGAACTAAACACGTCGATCTTCTTTAATTCGAGAGAGAGGGATCTTGGGTTAAATAAATTATTGTTTTTCGTGGATTTTAGTTGTATGTTTTAGTTTGTGAACTTGTAGAAGTTAGTGGGTACAGTCTTTTCCGATTCAAGGGAAGTGGCAAATCTAATGGTTTTGCGTTTCTTGCACATGAAGTTCTAGGAAGTACTACTCTCTCTGGTTCTTTAGGTGTGGTAATTTCAAAGAAAAAGTATGGAGAGAAAAAAGAAAAATAAATCAGGATGGCTTGATGATTCATTCGAGCAGCAATATAAAACAAATAATGTTGACAATGATTATATTGAGTAGGACAAGGGAACCAGAACACATGAAACTACTGAGAAATTGAGGGAAAGATCTAGAGGAATTAGTAATGAAAGCTCAAGAAAGTAATCAGAAACCTCCTCAAGAAAAGATAAGGATTATTCCTATCGTTTTTACGTGGAGAGAAATGATCGCCGTCACTAAAGGGATAAGAAAGTGGTATACATTGCTCAGTGGTCTTTAAAGTGATTCTGGCCCTCCTAATAGTGCTTACTATGGAATAGTGTTATGCTTGCTTCTCCTGTCCTAAGCGAATTAAAGAGCTAAACTGCTTTGTTTTCATATTAAGTCAATCCTATTGACCTGGTCTATAAATTCCATTTAAGAATTGTGTATAAAGTACTAATTTATGTAGTGTTATTTCATAGTGTGCCGTTATTATTACTTGTAGACAAGATGAATGTTGTGTCAACAGCTTTAAAAATTAGATGTCGTTTTCAAATTTCTATGCAAGATTTCTTACTTTTTAATGTTTTATGATGTCATAAAACATTAAAAAGTAATAAATTTTGCATAGAAATTTGAAAACGACATCCAATTCAAAAAAGTAAAAATTCTAAAACGACACTTATTAAAATACGGAGGGAGTAAACATTTTCCTAGGGCAAATAAACGAAAATATCCCAATCGAAAATGACGTACAAGTGGTTTATTTTTTGGAAAGTTGTGACGTCTAGTGAAATGAAATGTAATTTTGTCTAATGAATTAACACATTAACACCACATGAAAAGAAAAGTTGCGAAGACTAGTGGGATGTAATTTGTCTTTTTAGACAGTTGACTACTTGACTTACACGGCATTATATGAGTCTAGACGGCAAGAATCTATGCCATTTTGGACAAATCTGGCAGTTTTCTTTTTGGTTGTGAGCAAATTTATTATTCCTTTTTTGCTTCGAGTTGCATTTTCACCACAAGTTGAAGCCTTAAAGGCATTTTGCAATTGATTCGTCTCTTATATATATTCACTTTCCTGCGAAACATGAGAAGCACCACAAGCTTTTAACCAACAAAAAAAAAATGGGAAGCAGGAGGCTGTTTCTTTTACTTGCTTTCAATGCTCTCATGCTACTTGAAGCATATCGTTTTACCGATAAAACTGATAGGCAAGCGTTGCTCGAATTCAAGTCTCAAGTCTCTGAAGACAAAAGAGTTTTCTTATCCTCATGGAATCAATCATTCCCACTCTGCAGTTGGGAGGGGGTTACATGTGGCCGCAAACACAAGAGAGTTACTAGTTTGGACCTCCGAGGATTGCAATTAGGCGGAGTGATATCACCATCTATTGGTAATCTTTCATTCCTCACATATCTTGATCTCTCTAATAACTCTTTTGGTGGAACCATTCCTCAAGAGGTGGGAAACTTGTTTAGACTTGAATACTTGGATATGGGCATTAATTATCTGGGAGGAGGGATTCCAGCAAGTTTGTCTAACTGCTCTAGATTGTTGGACCTTGATTTATTTTCAAATCCTCTTGGACGAGGTGTTCCTTCAGAACTAGGCTCATTGACGAACCTAGTTAGTTTAAATTTTCGTGAGAATAACCTAAAAGGGAAGCTTCCTACATCTCTAGGAAATTTGACATCACTCATACGAGCTAGCTTTGGAGGAAACAATATGGAAGGAGAAATTCCAGATGATGTAGCTAGGCTGAGTCAAATGATGATTCTTGAATTATCTTTTAACCAATTCTCAGGCGTTTTTCCTCCCGCAATCTACAATATGTCCTCACTTGAAAATTTATATATGGCTTTTAATCATTTCTCGGGTCGTCTTAGACCTGATTTTGGTATTCTGCTACCAAATCTTCAAGAGTTAAATATGGGAGGGAATTTTTTCACCGGTTCCATTCCAACAACACTTTCCAATATCTCAACTCTTCAAAAAGTGGGATTGAATGATAACAATCTGACAGGAAGTATTCCTACTTTCGAAAAAGTACCAAATTTGCAATGGTTACTTCTTCGTAGCAATTCGTTGGGAAGTTACTCTTTTGGAGATCTTGACTTCATCAGTTCTTTAACTAACTGCACCCAACTAGAGAAATTAGGACTTGGTGGGAATAGGCTTGGGGGTGACTTTCCTATTTCCATTACCAATCTGTCCGTGGAACTCACCGATTTACTCCTCGAAAATAATCACATCTCTGGAAGAATTCCTCAGGAAATTGGGAACCTCTTAGGCCTCCAAACGCTTGGGTTGCGCGAAAATATGTTATCTGGGCCACTCCCAACCTCTCTTGGTAATCTCTTGGGACTTGGGGTTTTAGATCTCAGCTCAAACAAATTGTCAGGAGTAATACCATCTACTATAGGCAACCTCACTCGGTTACAAAAACTCCGTTTGTCCAACAACATTTTTGAAGGAACCATTCCTCCAAGTCTTGGTAACTGCAGTGAACTGCTACATTTAGAGATTGGGTATAATAAGTTGAATGGGACTATACCTAAGGAAATTATGCAACTTTCACACCTTCTTACCCTCAGCATGCCAAGTAATTCTATCAGCGGCACTCTTCCAAACGATGTTGGACGACTACAGAATCTCGTTCGACTATCTATTTCGGATAATAAATTATCAGGGGAGCTCTCACAGACTTTGGGAAACTGTCTTTCGATGGAAGAAATATATCTGCAAGGGAATTCTTTTGATGGAATCATTCCAAATATAAAAGGGTTGGTGGGTGTTAAAAGAGTTGATATGTCTAACAATCATTTCTCTGGAAGTATTCCTGGATATTTTGAGAATTTTTCCAAGTTGGAATATCTCAATCTATCCATTAACAATTTTGAGGGAAGCGTGCCAACAAAAGGAAAATTTCAGAATTCTACTGTAGTTTTGGTATATGGAAACAAAAATCTCTGTGGAGGCATCAAGGAACTGAAACTAAAGCCATGTATTGCCCAAGAACCACCAATGGGGACAAAGCATCCATCTCTTTTGAAGAAAGTTGCGATCGGGGTCAGCGTAGGCATAACTTTGCTTTTGCTATTGTTCATAGTTTCTCTACGTTGGTTCAGAAAAAGAAAGAAGAACCAGATGACTAATAATTCAGCTCTTTCCACATTGGAGATTTTCCATGAAAAGATAAGTTATGGAGATCTACGAAATGCGACAGATGGCTTCTCTGCGAGCAATATTGTTGGGTCTGGCAGTTTTGGTACTGTGTTTAAGGCATTACTCCCGGAGGAGAACAAGATTGTTGCAGTGAAAGTTCTAAACATGCAGAGACGTGGAGCGATGAAGAGCTTTATGGCAGAATGTGAATCCTTGAAGGATATAAGGCATCGTAATCTTGTGAAACTATTGACAGCTTGTGCTAGTATTGATTTCCAAGGAAATGAATTCAGAGCTCTCATTTACGAGTTCATGCCGAATGGAAGCTTGTATCTGTGGCTGCATCCAGAGGAAGTCGAAGAGATAAGTAGGCCCTCAAGAACCTTGACACTTCTTGAAAGGCTCAACATTGCCGTAGACGTGGCTTCTGTTTTGGACTATCTTCATGTTCATTGTCATGAGCCAATAGCTCATTGCGATCTTAAGCCAAGCAACGTCCTTCTCGACGATGATCTAACTGCCCATGTTAGCGACTTTGGTCTGGCTCGCCTTCTCCTAAAATTCGACCAGGAGTCCTTCAACCAACTAAGCTCAGCTGGTGTTAGAGGAACCATTGGCTATGCCGCACCAGGTAAAACTAGTACACATATGGAATGTTAAAATAAAGAATATTTATGTATTCTGTTCTCATTACAATATTGTTTTTGTGTTTTTGTGGGTGAAATATGGTACAGAATATGGAATGGGAGGACAACCATCAATACACGGTGATGTATACAGCTTTGGGGTTCTCGTTTTGGAAATGTTCACTGGAAAACGACCAACCAATGAGCTATTTGAGGGGAGCTTTACCCTACACAGCTACACCAAATCAGCCTTGCCGGAAAGAGTTTTGGACATTGCAGACAAATCGATTCTTCACAATGGTCTCAGGGTTGGTTTCCCTGTCGTTGAGTGCTTGAAAGTGATTTTTGATGTGGGACTTAGGTGTTGTGAAGAATCTCCGACGAACCGGTTAGCAACGAGTGAAGCCGCCAAGGAGTTAATCTCAATCAGAGAGAGGTTCTTTAAAACCCGAAGAACAGCGAGACGTTGAAGTGTTTATGGTTTCCCCTACAAACTTTGCCATCCACTTATATAATATCATATTGTCTTTCATAATCTGTGGTTTGTTTTTCCCCTCTGTTTATGCTCTGTTCTTTTCAGACAAGATTGAATGTTTGTGTTTTCTGCTTTAAATTTTCTTGGGATAAGAATACTTTTGGCAAAAATGAAGTAGCTGTGGTTTATCTATTGCTGTTGAGCACATAGTTCTACTTTGTTAACCCATATATATTACACAAGTCGTCAACTCGAGCTCAGTGACTCGATTACGGCCTGTCCTTTGATCTCTTCCTCGTCTTTTTGTTACTGTTTTGATTTTTCTTGTTTCCTGCTGTTAGGATTTTTCTATCTTGGTTTTGGATACAAGACTTACAATTTGCAGTTTCTTGGCTGGGAAGACATGTAATGCCAAAAACAGATACTCTGTAAATCCTCTTGCCTAACAAGACTTGGGTCGATAGCTCCGAATAGATAAGATATAAACCCATTTAGTTTTGTCAAGGCGCCAAGTATAATGTTGTCTTACAATATGAGATAATTTTATGGTTTTCTCATGCTATTATCAGAAATAAATTAAAAAATCCATTTATGTAATTGTATGGTATGCATTAGGCCATAAAATTTCATGTAGACTATCTCTGTATTTGGTAAGATGATCCATTTGCTTAGACGTATATCTACATCTGGACAAAAGAGACTACGCTTAAGTGTTTACAATGGAATAGGCTTTATATGAGTGATCATTATAAAGAACTAAGTGAATTAGCTTTATAGTTCTGTAACATCTACCTCTCTTTTTTGGTTAAAAGTTTGTGGAGCTTCTCTTGCAAGAAAGTGATTTAGAAAGTTCCATGTTGAAATGGTAAATGTGTTTAGTGAGTGCTGTAATCAATCAATTATGCGGTTAATGTTAATGAAGTAACTTGTAACATTTGAGGATGTTTGAATGGAGGAAAAAAAACACTTAGATGGAGAATTTGATTATTTGTGTGCTTTAATCAAGTCATGATATGAGCAATGCCACTTGCAATCGATTAGTTTTATGATGACCAGATAGCTTTAAAAACTGGTCATGAAGAGAATAGTAGTTCCAGATGGGATCATGACAAGTGATGCTCAAGAGAGAAGCTTCATAGAATTCTTCAGATGCAAGGAACATGAACCAAGGTCATGAGATGCTATGATTCTTAATCAATTGGTCAATTTTTACATTGATATCTTTGAGTCTCTTGTGTAGACTGAAGAAAAGTCGTAAAGACTACTGAAATTGTTTTTCCTATTTTTTAGATAGAACTACTCGACTTAGATGGCAAGAATCTAGAAGGCAAGAGTCCATCTCAATGTCTCGCATTCTATAGGGTTGTGAGCCAATTATTATCACCACTAGGTAAAATATTTTTTGCATTTGCTTCATTATATTATGAGAAGCACCAAAAGATACCGAGACACACACCAAACAAAAAAAAAAAAAAAGCATGAAACTGTGTCTTTTACTTGTTGTCAATGCTTAGACCCATCATGTCTATAGAAAAGTCATGAAGACACGTGAACATGTTTTTTAAGTTAAAGTTATGAAAAAATCAACTTGACTTAGATGGCAAGAATCCGTCTCAATGATCTAGAAGGCAAGAGTCTAGCTCACTGGCCAATTTACTATAACCACTAGGTAAAAAAAAAAAAAAAAACTGCATTTGCTTCGTCCCTTATTTTCAGTTTCCTTTAATATGAGAACACCAAAAGAATTTTACCACACACGTACTTTAAAAAAAAAAAGCATGACTGTTTCTTGTATTTGCTTCAATGCTCAGAGTCTCAGACGGTCAGACCCATCATCATGATGTCTACAGAAAAGAAATGAAAATTGGTGAAGTGTTTTGTTTTGTCTATTTTAGGCAGTTGACTAATTGACTTATTACATAGAGGAAACGTTTTGCATGCAGTTTTCTCTGTGGTACTGTCTTTTGCTTCAAATTGCATTATCACCACAAGTTAAAGGCATTTGGCAATTGCTTAGTCTCAAATATTTTCACTTTCCTGCAAAATATGAAAAGCACCACAAGATTTTACCGACTGTTTCTTGTACTTGCTTTCAATGCTCTCATGCTACTTGAATCACATGGTTTTACCGATGAAAGTGATAAGCAAGTGTTGTTCGAGTTCAAGTCTCAAGTTTCTGAAGGCAAAAGAGATGCTTTGTCCTCGTGGAATAACTCATTCCCTCTCTGCAGCTGGAAGGGGGTTAGATGTGGCCGCAAACACAAGAGAGTTACTCGTTTGGACCTCGGAGGGTTGCAATTGGGCGGAGTGATATCACCATCTATTGGTAATCTTTCGTTTCTCATATCACTTAATCTCTATGATAACTCTTTTGGTGGTACTATTCCTCAAGAGATGGGAAACTTGTTTAGACTTCAACATTTGAATTTGAGCTATAATTTTCTCGGAGGTGGGATTCCAGCCAGTTTTTCTAATTTCTCTAGATTGTTGGAGCTTGATTTATTTTCAAATCACCTTGGACATTGTGTTCCTTCCGAAATAGGGTCGTTGACGACGCTTGTTAGGTTAAATCTTGGTACTAATAACCTGCAAGGGAAGCTTCCTGCATCTCTAGGAAACTTGACATCACTTAGAGAAATGAGCTTTGACTATAATCTTATATAATATGACAAGGTTTTTTCTAACTTTGCCTACTAATGCAACACTTGGCGCTCCATTTTTGTGACACATGTCCTCTTCATTAAGTTTTAGTTTGACATTCTAAAATTCTTTTGGTGAAAGTTTTTATTTTTATTTTATTGTTACTTATAATTTTAAACTTTTATACAAAGTGTAAATTAAATAGTTTTACAAAATATTATTCTAGAAATATGAGTTAGACTGTTTATAGAAATATTTCTAGAATTAATTTTTTTGAACGTTTATTTTCTTTAAATTTAATTATCATTTGAAAATGTTTATATAAAATGTAATTAAAATATATTATTATTTATAAGTTAAAAATTTAATATAAAATGTTAATTAACGTTTATTTGGTTTATTTTAATTATAATTTCAAAATGTTCATATAAAGTGTAATTTAAATAGTTTTGAAGTATGAGTTAAACTATTTATAGCCTTCAAAAGCACGTGAACGTTTATTTTATTTTATTTTAATTATATTTTTTAAAAAATCAAATAAAGTGTAATTTAAATAGTTGAAAATTTTCATTTTCTTCTTAATTAAATACTTGCCAATTAATTTTTAAATTTTTTTTTTTTTTTTGCAATACTTAAATTTTTTAATGAAAACAATAAACCACCCAAATTAATATAATTTGTTATTAATTTGGGACACGTAAATACCAAAAAAATAAATCAAAAATAACAAATAAATAAATCATCATATCATCCATATAACAAAAAAGTAAATTTTTTCTGCATATGCCAAGATTTGAATTTTTAAAAACGAATATAAATTGTTAAATCTATGAAGAAAAAAATTTAACGGGTCAAAAATTCACATTTGAGTAATATATTTCTTTTAACCAAAAATAAGTTCAACAAAAATTTCGACTGAGTAACGGGTCAGAATTTGAATATTTATATTCAATTTCATACATTTATTTTTTGAAATATATTATTTTATATACTACAATAAGATTTTTAAATATTTTAATTTGCAACATATAAATTTAGTTTTACTTGATATTTTTCAAGAATATCATCAATATTTAAAGAATAACATCAATAAATACTCCAATTTGATTTTTTTTAAACAAATATTTATAATAGGCAGTGGATTAAATATAATATATTATATTAACAAATGAGTTATGATCCTTATAACTGTTTGAATATTTCTATTTAATTTCATATAATTCTTTTTTGAAATTCATAATTTTATATACTACAAGAAATATTTTTAAAAATTTTAATTTGGAACATTTAAAAAATTTTTAATTTAATATTTTAATGAATATCATAAATATTTAATGGATTAAAAAGATAAAAAAAAAATTATAAATACTTTAATTTAATTTTCTAAAAAGATATATTTAAAATAGTTATAGTAGGCGGAGGGTTAAATGTAATATATTATATAATATAAAATTATGATCCTTATAATAGAGGACATGTTAAGATTATATAATCGGATAGATTAAATAAGGTTGACACCACAAAATATTTGAAAATTTGATTGTGCAAGCAATTTTGGAAATAACGAATAATAGATTGTGCACGCAATATTTTCATTAGGATTCTAAAATAAAAATATAGACTCCAAGCACGGGTTGAATTTGGTATATTATATACTAAATATATGTTCATAACATATTCGATTACGCGAATAATTGGTAAATTCCGTAGTTACCTCAAACAAATCTCTATTTCAACAACCAAAGAATTAGAAATTGAAAAAAGAATTTCCTAAATTAATTCAAAATAATAGCTAACTTTTTTAATTAATTAAAAATAATCTACGTTTTAGAAGCGATTCATTTATAATATTTTGATTTTGATCTAACTGAATTATATGCAATCTAATTTGTGGTTGTTAATATAAATTAACTCATTGTTCAGACCATATTAGTTTATTAAAATAATTTTATTTTCCATTTTCATATTTTAAAAAACAATATCCATAATTGAGTATAATTTTAAAAAGAAAATATATTCATTCTAATATTATATATAGGGACTGACAAAAATCTAATTATATTTTTTCAATTACTATTATAATATATCATAACTTTGTTTTAAAATATATAATATATAAATTTTGTAATAAATAAAATTTAATCCGTACTACATGATTTAGTATATATATAAGATTAGTTACGGAATCATATTTTAAAATCATATGAATTATTTATATATTGATAAATGATACATCATTAAGAAAAAAATATTTAATCATTAAAACGACATTGTAAAATAGTTTAACAATAAATTTTAAAAACAATGACACGATTATTTTATTTTAATTATATTTTTTAAAAAATCAAATAAAGTGTAATTTAAATAGTTGAAAATTTACATTTTCTTCTTAATTAAATACTTTCCAATTAATTTTTAATTTTTTTTTTTTTTTTGCAATACTTAAAATTTTTAATGAAAACAATAAACCACCCAAATTAATATAATTTGTTATTAATTTGGGACACGTAAATACACTCTCCACTAACTTTAGAATTAATAGCATTGATTTGTTTACTTCTTTGTAGTTTATTGTGTTGTAGAAAACGTTACAAAATTACATTCCAATATACTTTTTTTTTTGGTTTATTGTTTTGGTTTGATTTTACCTAACGTGTTTTAAATTAATAGCATTAAATTTGTTTCATTTGTGGGTTTATTAAATTAATAGCATTAAGTTTCTTTCATATGTGAATAATCACACGTTATAAAAAAAATTCACACATGATTGATCCCCAATAAGCTTTCTTACATCTATGTAATTTGCACACTTCAAATTGAAATCAATATTATTTCTGCATCAATTAATTGAGCGTTAAATTTTCATAATAATTTCCTAAAGAAAAAGTAACGTCTATTAAAATTTTGTGTCAATATATATAGACGTTTACTTACATATTGAACTCATATTAGCATGAACACTTTTTACATCTTGTGTCAATAATGTGTCATGTTCAATATTCCTAAAAATCATCTATTTTAATTTACCGAATATGGCGACTTTGTATTTATAAGTTTCATTCCAGCAAATATTTTCCATGGTCTCTTTTATTTCTGGTTATAAAGTTTCTAAAAAAAAAAAAAAAAAGTTTCTAAAGTGGTTTCTCTATCTTTCCGGTTATATATGTTGGGAGGAGTGAAATGTTTTGCGTGGGTTCGGAGACGGAGAGTTGGCCGTACGTCTAGGTGATGAATCAGCTCATGATATGAGTTTTCCAATTAGCCATGTCATTCTCGTCAATTCTTCGGATTTCAGTTTTTATTTAGTTACACAATTTAGTTTAAATTGGTTCTTTTATACTTGAATATTATTTCCATGTTTTTTTTCTTCTGCTTTTGCTTTGTTCCAAATATTATTGAAATTTTTTTAACATCTTCAAAAGAAAGACATTATTGTCTCACATCATAAGATGAAGCAGATTCTATTTTAGAAGATGATTATTTTCTATCATGATGTGGTTGAACTAAAGAAAATGATTGAGAGACATCAAATGACCTTTAAACGATTGAGTAGATACTAAAAAATGGAGCTGACCATGGGAAGTAAATTCAATTGCAAGAGCAAGCAATGACCAAGGAACAAAATTGGACTCTTATAAATTAGTTTTAGAACTGAACCACCAAGTTTTAGCATACTAAATTCTCTTACCAATAGCTTTTACCGTTTCGAAATGTATTATCATCTCTTCTTTTTTTTGGTCAAACAACTAATTCGATTCATAATTTAGGGTTCAATACAAAGAGATAGAGCCTCTTTGGCCAAAGCATCAGCTTGGCGATTGAGGTTGCGAGGAATGAAATTGAAAGTACAGACATCGAAAAAAGAGGATAGAGATAGGATATCATGGAGAATCCCGTGAAGCTCCTTCAATTGAAGCTTCTGATTGATTGCTTTGACAATGGTTTGAGAGTCAGAAGCGAAAGAGATGATCTTGAAGCCCGAGTCAGTTGCAACTCCGACAGCGGTAAGAGTTGCCAAAGCTTCGGCGATCAGAGGAGATCCAACAGATGGCGAGGAAGCAGATCCTTCAAAAATCGTCTTACCCGATTCATCTTTACAGATCCAACCAAATCCAGCTTTGCCGTTTTCCTTCCAGGAGGCATCTGTGAAGCAAGTTCGGATCGGAATAGCTGGTCTAGTGACGGTAAACGGTTGTCGACAGGCCGTAGAGATTGATTTGGGGAATTGGGCATCTTGCCATTCTTTTGCCCGAATCAATGCAATCTGTAAGGCTTCTTCTGCAGTGATTTGCCGTTTGTTGAAGATAAGCTGGTTACGGGAGGTCCAGATTGTCCAGATCAGCCACGGGGATAGAGGACCGAAACCAATTCCTGTGGGAGGGAGGCATATGAGCTTGTTGGCCATGGAGATCCCGTCAAGAACAGAGGTTAGTCCATCAATGTTTAGTCCACTCTTGAACGGAGCCAGGGACCAGATTTTGCGTGCAAAGGGGCATTGAAATAGCAGGTGGAGGACAGATTCATCAGCTTCGCAATGGGGGCAATTTGCAGAAACACTAATATGTCTGTGGAGAAGGTTAGTGCCTACAGGGAGTGCATTTTGTCCTGCTTTCCAGAGGAGAAGCTTTGTTTTTTGGGAAGTCTTGAGTGCCCAGACGTTGGATCTCCAGTTGAAAGGCTCAGAGGAGTCAGGTTGGGAAATTTCCTGATCTTCATTGATTTTAAGGGCCTCAAAGTACCCAGATTTGGCAGTATAGTCACCAGAGCTTGTAGGGAGCCATGCCCAAATATCAGGAGCCCCCAAGAGGCTTGGGGTGAGTAATAGGATATCCTTTTCATAGAGTGGTAAGATGGTCCTGATTAGATCCTTGTTCCATTCTCTGGTTCCAGGGAGGATGAGATCAGAGACTAGCATGTGTTGAGTGGCTTCAGTGGGTGGACCTATAGGTGATAGAGGGCTAGATAAAGAGAGCCATGGGGTTCGCCAGATTGGAGTGGAGTCTCCTTTCCCAATGATGCGTCCCAGCTTGAGAGAAATTAGGTCCCTGCCCAAGCAAATGCTTCTCCAGCCATGGGATGCAGAGTTTGGAACTCTGCAGTCCAAGAAAGAAGCGTGTTTGCAGTACTTCCCGAGAAGGATTCTGGCTAGAAGACAAGAAGGTTTCTTCAAAATTCTCCAGCTCAGCTTCGCCAGAAGGGCTTTATTAAAGGTTTGTATATCTCTGAGCCCCAAACCACCTGTTTTGAAGGATTTCGTCATTCTTTGCCAAGAGATCCAACTCATCTTTTTTTTCTCAGGGTTTGCATCCCACCAGAACCTAGTGAGAGCAGATTGGATGCGTTTGCACAGTGATGCTGGCAGTTGGAAACAGGACATAGTATAAGTGGGTAGAGAGGACAGAACTGACTTGAGCATTGTAAGCTTTCCAGCCGAGGACAGAAACCTTGAGGACCAGCTTAGTGCTTTCTGTTTGATCCGGTCAACAATGGAAGTGAACAAATCTTTCTTCTTTCTACCAAAGAGCTCAGGGAGACCTAGGTATTTTCCTTGACCTCCTTCCTTATGGATATCCAGGTCTCTTTTAACTCTTTCTCTGACATGAAGAGGAGTTTTTGTAGAAAAAGTAATAGCAGATTTTATCTGGTTTATTTTTTGACCAGAAGCCAGTTCATATTTGTGTAGGATGGACTTGAGTTTCAGACAGCTTTTATGGTCCACACGGCAGAAGAACATTGTGTCGTCTGCAAAGAGGAGATGATTGACTCGGGGGCTTCCCATAGCAACTCGTAAACCAGGTAGGCTACCATTCTCCTGTGCTTTGGTGCATAAGCCTGAGAGTACTTCACTGCAAATAATAAAGATGTATGGGGATAACGGGTCACCTTGTCTAATGCCACGTTGCGGTAAAACCAATCCTTTTGCTTGACCATTTAGTAAGAAGGAGTATGAGACTGTAGATATACATTGCATAATCCAACCAATGAAATCTTGGTGGAAACCCATTCTCTCAAGAGCTGCCTTAATAAATTCCCATTCAAGCCTGTCATAGGCTTTACTCATATCAGTCTTCACAGCCATATAGCAGTGTTTTACAGCTCCAGAAGTTTTCAGGTAGTGGAGAGCCTCATGAGTTATCAGAACATTATCAGAGATGGCACGTTGTGGGACAAAAGCCGACTGGTTCTCGGAGATACAAGCATGAAGAACAGGTTTGAGTCTCTTAGCTAAAAGTTTAGCTATGATCTTGTAGTAGACTGAGCAAAGGGCTATAGGTCTATAGTCAGAAACTTTCTGAGGGACAGAGACTTTGGGAATGAGTCTGACATGTGTGTGGTTTAATCTTTGTGGCAGGGAACCAGAGATGAAAAAGGATTGAACTTCAGCAATGATTTCATCACTCACTGTATCCCAGTTGGTTTGGAAGAAGCTAGCAGAGAAACCGTCAGGCCCGGGTGCTTTGTCAGCATGAATTGAAAAACAAGCACTTTTGATCTCGGAGGGAGAAGGCATAGCAGTGAGGGTTTCATTCATCTCAGGTGTTATACATGGGTTGAGAGCTTCTGTAACTATAGAGTTTCTGTTATTTTCCTGGGAGGTGAAGATATCCTGGAAGTATTCTGAAATAACTCCACTAATCTCTGCTTCCTCATATACATTAGTGCCTGATGGAGATTCCATAACAGAGATAGTATTGGTTGCTCTTCGACCTTTTGTAGCAGCATGAAAGAAACCAGAATTTCTGTCTCCAAGGGCCAGCCAAAGTTGTCGGCTTCGTTGTTTCCAAAAATCTTCTTCTTTTTTGTAGGCAAGAAGGAGTTTCTGATTTAGTTGGTCAATGCCAAGCTGTAAGGCTGTGTCATCATTCATAGCTTCTTCTAGTTGTTCTCTGAGAGATAGAATCTCTTTTTGGCTGTTGAGATGATGTTCTTTACTCCATTTGATGATAGCAGTTCTGCATAGATGAATACGGCGATCAACAGATGCTCTATTATTGGATTTCCAGGTATCAAAGACCAAGGCAGTAATCTCTGGATTATCTTTAAGGCTCCTATCGTATCTGAAGATACTTTTCTTCTTTTCTTGTTCAGGATCAAAAGAGGTTACAAGGGGACGGTGGTCAGACCCCTCAAAACGCAAATACTCACTGCGGCCTGAGGGGTAGGCTATTATCCAATCACTGTTGGCCATGGCCCTGTCAAGCCTGCATCTTACCAAGTGAGTATGTCTTTTACCTCGCCAGGATAAAAAGTTTCCTGTATGTTTTAGATCATACAGGTCACAAGAAGACATGAAAGATCTCAGGTCAGTATATGAGCCTTCAGAACGTGTAGGACCTCCAGATTTTTCATCAGCGCAAATGATGTCATTGAAATCTCCAGTAATAAACCAAGGGCCAGATCTCATAAGAGTCAGATCTTGGAGATCATTCCAGACTTGAATTCTCTGTGATCTCTCAGGTTCACCATATAAGAAAGTTGAGTAGAATGTTCTTCCTTTTGCCTTGATTTTGGTATCAATAAAATGTGGATTAGACTGTAATATCTCCACATCAATACTTGATTTCCAGAATAGAGCAAGGCCTCCAGCAGCAGGAGAAGGAGGGGAGACCAAGTGGTGTGAGGAATAGTCTAACCACTGGAGGGTGTGGAGAACAGCTTCAGGAGAATTCTTTGTCTCCATGAGGAATAGTAAGTCAGGGAAAATCGTTTTGCGGATTTCCCTAAGTCTCTGGACTGTCATGGGATTCCCCAACCCACAACAGTTCCAGCTCACTATCCTTAAGGAAGAGGGTGAGATGGATTCTGAAAATCCACCTTTGTCTTCTTCTTTGCAGGTATTAAAGAGATTTTTGGATTACCATTTTTGTTTCCTTTAGAGGACCCCGAATTTGAGGAGGGCAAAGATCCTGACTTAGACTGGTTCCCTGGTGGAGATTTAGTCTGACTTGGCCCCGCATGTGTTGATACAGGTTTGCAGGAAGTTTTTGAGCCAGTAGTTTTCTTAGGTGAGCCTTGAATAAGATTTCTCTTTTGGCTTTTTGCACCTGATAACTTCGTGGGAGGTTTTACATTCTGTTTTGCTAGAGGTGGTCTTCCACGGCCTCTTTTAACCTGCTTCTCTGGTTCCTTGGTAGGTAAGGGGGAACCAATGCTCGGGGAAGCTCTGATATTCTGTGGTGAAGGGTCCAAACTAGGAGATATGAAATTTGGAGCAGAGGCTACTGCTGCTTCTATGATCTGGTCTGCAGTGTTGCTCATCAGGTTCCTGGATTCACCCTGGATAACCCTCTGTCTTCTAGCCGCACTCTCTGTGGGATCAGCACAAGTGATATATTGAACTGTGACATCGCGTAGTTCACCTAGGACTTGGTCTTTTGAGGGAATAGGCACACCCGGAGAGGTAGCTTCCAGGGATCCATGTCTCCAAAGGGGAGGAGGAGGTGGAGTCTGAGGGTCAGAGTTTAAAGATGTTCTCTCAAGGGGTGGTCTTCTACTCTTTGGCAACTCAGGAGATCCATGAACCTGTGTAGGTAGTGGAGTTTTTTCCCTCCAGTGAAGATTTCCAGAAGTATGGAATCTATCAGATTGTGAGGATGATCTAGAGGTTCCATGAGGCTTATAGGGAGCTCTGTGGTGGTGTTGTGAACGTTCAGGGATGTTCCTTGCACCTCTGTGATTCTGAGATCTCTCTTCTGAAAGGTGAGGAATTCTGCCTTCCAACCTATCATAGTTTCTTTTTAGATTATTTGTGGCTTCCTGGGAGAAAGCAGAGCTGGCAGAGTCTCTGTGAAAGCGTTGGGGAGCTGTGAAGTTATCCCTAGGAGTGTAGTAGTTTCTTGATCCTCCTCTAGAGTCATGAGAAACCTCTGCATGAGAAGTTGGCTTAGTCTTCTCAGTTGTTTTTACAATTCCAGGACAATTTTTAGTTTCATGAGACAGTCGTAGGCAGTGGTGACAGTGGTTTTTGAGATTTTTGTACTCCAGTGAGATAAGGGCTTCACTTCCATCAGGGAAATCCACAATAGTGTCTTTAGTGAGGGGCTGCAGACCGTTGATGAGGACTCTGATTTTAGCTGTAGATGAAGTGATTTCCATATCCATGATGTCTCCTAACTCTTCTCCAATGGTTGTTAACATTTCAGGCTGCCAGAAGTGTTTAGGGAGACCTTGTATCTCTATCCAAAATGGAATCATAGATGGAAAGGAGTCAGAAATGACTGGTTCCCACCTCTGTAGGATGACCATCCATTGATCATAATGATAAGGTCTGTTATCTAGGACCTTCAGTAGATCCTCTTCATAATCAAATTTGAACTGAAAGCAACCTTTCCCCAGGTCAGAGCCAATAGCTTTTCCTCTAAGGTTCCATCTGTTGGAGAGGAAAGGAAACAGCGACCATAGTCTTTGGGAGGATGGGTTAGTGAGTCTTCCCATGAGGGTTAGGGAGTTTGCTGCAATGAGATCTGAGGTGTCCAGATCTGGGGCTCTGATGCGCTTACGGGGAGGAGGGGAGTACCCTCTGTCAATTTCTTTGCCTTTAAGATGGTGGGGAATTCTGTTCTCCATAAATGCAGATATTGATGGTAGTAACGGTTGGTGTAAAGATTGAGTGGAGAGCTTCAACCCTCAATAAATGGTCTCAGGTAGGTTTAAAAGGTTTAAAAAAGGTTTTCAGGTTAACACAGGGTTACACAACTTTGAAGAGATTAGAACAGGGAAAGCATGAGGTGGGTAGAAGAGGAGAAAGTACCTGAGAGACCTTGTCTCTAGAAGTGGAAGAAACTGGTGCTCAGAGAGGAAGGTTGATGAAGAGCTTGGGTGGAAGCTTCGCCGGAAACGTTTGAAAAAGCGTCGGAACTTGCCATAAGTGGTTAATAACCGTTGGGTGTTTCTACTTTTGGGAAATAAAAGTGGTTGAGATCTGGATAATAGCAAGAGACATTCTTCTAATATCCACCTAGGGGTTCGTGCCTGGGAGCGTTTTAAAAGTCTTTTTCTCTGATTTTGTAACCTTAAAATAAATTGTATTATCATCTCTTCATGATATTCTTTATTTGCTAAAAAAGTTTTTTTTTGTTTTTTTCAACAATCAAGGAACCTATGTATTTTGGTCATACACCAAGAAAATGGAAGAATTATACATTTGAATAGAAATATATCAAAAATATCATACTTCTTTGCAAAGTGCCATATTTGGTTTAAAGTGATTACCAATAATTAGTTAGGTTTATTAAGAGTTTGACACGATTATTGATGGTATCCGTTTTTCGTTGCAAATACTAAATGAAGTGGCTAAGATCCTGTGAGAAAAAGGAAACTACAAATCTAATGAATCCATATCTTTTTCTTTTTATTAATTTTTGTTGAATAAATTTTTGTATAAATTTTCTTCTTAATGAAATAAATTGTAAAAAGAAAAATCATATGCACCATATCACCTATATAACACTGCTTGACATACAAAGATTATCACTACAAAACTTGAAAACAAGATAGTCAAAAGATAAAAGTCAAAACTCATTTAGGAAAATTTGTTATATATACCATGAGTAACCAAAGAGTAGTACTCAACCTCACAATAAATTCGTTGTCATAATTTTAGAATTAGTGTTCAATCAACACTGAGATAAATGATTAATTTTTTCTAACATGCATTATTTTAAATTTATCGAAAAATAAAACAACATAAGTTTTTTGTTATTCATATAGAACAATACTCAGATAGAATTGTTTTATATAATACGTAAATTTAAATTTATGTAGACCCGTTGAGCAAAAACAAAAAAATTATATACACCAAACCAACTAAATTTATACAAAACGTTTTTTACCAATTCACAAAAGTACTTCGAAAAGGAACATAAAAGTTAATATTTTTAAAAAAAAATTTCAAAAAACTATATTAATAATCGAACGTATTACTTAATACAAATTTCATTATTATCCAGAATTAATATTAAATATATAACCCACGCATTGCGAATTAAATTTTAAAATTAATTTATACGAAACCTTAAATTTTAAAATAATTAGGACAAAAAAAACTGAACTAAAAAACCCACGCATCGCGTGGGCAATTTTCTAGTAATATAGAAGGAAGAGTTCCTGATGATATAGCTAGATTGACTCAAATGGCGCTTCTGGAATTATCAATGAACAAATTCTCAGGCGTTTTTCCTCCATCTATCTTCAATTTGTCCTCACTTGAGAATTTATATATCTCTTATAATCAGCTATCAGGTCATCTGAGACCTGATTTTGGTATTCTGCTACCAAATCTTCGAGAGTTAAATATGGCAGATAATTATCTCACAGGATCTATCCCAGCAACAATTTCCAATATCTCAACTCTTCAAAAATTGGGAATGAATCACAACAGTTTGACAGGAAGTATTCCTACCTTTGGAAAAGTACCAAATTTGCAATGGTTATTACTTGATACCAATTCTTTGGGAAGTTATTCTTTTGGAGATCTTGAATTCCTCAGTTCTTTGACTAACTGCACCAAACTAGAGTTCTTAATGATTAGTCGGAATAGGCTTGGGGGTGACTTGCCTATCATTGCCAATCTATCTGCCACACTCATCAATTTAGGCCTTTCAGCAAATTTCTTCTCTGGAAGAATTCCTCATGACATTGGTAATCTCATAAGCCTACAAATGCTTGGCTTGGGAGGTAATATGTTGACTGGACCACTCCCAACCTCTCTTGGTAAGCTTTCAGATTTGGGGTTATTAAGTCTCTACTCAAATAGGATGTCAGGAGAGATACCATCTTTTATAGGCAACTTTACTCGCTTAACAGAACTCGATTTGTCCAACAACAAATTTGATGGAGTCGTCCCTCCAAGTCTTGGTAACTGCAGGATCTTGCTACATTTGTGGATAGGGTATAATAAGTTGAATGGGACTATACCTCGAGAAATTATGCAAATTTCATCCCTTGTTAACTTAAGCATGGCTGGTAATTCGTTGAGAGGGTCTCTACCAAAAGATGTTGGACGACTACAAAATCTTGTTACACTTAACGTCGCGGATAACAAATTATCAGGGAAACTTCCTTTGGATTTGGGAACCTGTTTCTCACTGGAAGAACTCTATCTACAAGGAAATTATTTTGATGGAACCATTCCAGACATAAGTGGGTTGGTGGCTGTTCAAAGAGTTAATTTGTCAAACAATAATCTTTTTGGAAGTATACCTGGATATTTTGCAAATTTTTCAAAGTTGCAGCGGCTAAGTCTCTCTGATAACAATTTCGAGGGATGCGTACCAACAGAAGGAATATTTCAAAATGCTACTATAGTTTCAGTATTTGGGAATAGAAACCTATGTGGAGGCATCAAGCAACTGAAACTAAAGCCATGCTTAGCGCAAGGACCACCGGTGGAGACAAAGCATTCCTCTCTCTTTATGAAAATTGCAATAGGGGTCAGCGTAGGCGTAGCTTTGCTTTTGTTGTTTCTCATAGCTTCAGTTTCTTTACGTTGGTTCAGAAAAAGAAAGAAGAATCAGCATACTAATAATCCACCTTCTTCCACACTGGAGATATTGCATGAGAAGATAAGTTATGGAGATCTTCGAAATGCGACAGATGGCTTCTCTTCGAGCAATATGGTTGGGTCAGGCAGTTTTGGTACAGTGTTTAAGGCATTGCTCCCGACAGAAAACAAGATTGTTGCAGTGAAAGTTCTAAACATGCAGAGACGTGGAGCGCTGAAGAGCTTTATGGCAGAATGTGAATCCTTGAAGGACATAAGGCATCGTAATCTTGTGAAACTATTGACAGCTTGTGCTAGTATTGATTTCCAAGGTAACGAATTCAGAGCTCTCATATATGAGTTCATGCCGAATGGAAGCTTGGATATGTGGCTGCACCCAGCGGAAGTAGAAGAGATTCGTAGGCCCTCAAGAACCTTGACACTTCGTGAAAGGCTCAACATTGCCGTAGACGTGGCTTCTGTTTTGGATTATCTTCATGTTTATTGCCATGAGCCTATAGCTCATTGCGATCTTAAGCCAAGCAACGTCCTTCTAGACGATGATCTAACTGCCCATGTTAGTGACTTTGGTCTGGCTCGTCTTCTCCTCAAATTCGACCAGGAGTCCTTCTTCAACCAATTAAGTTCAGCTGGTGTTAGAGGAACCATTGGCTATGCCGCACCAGGTAAAACTATTACACATATGGAACGTTTAAATGAAGAAAATTTATGTATTCTTTTTTCATTACAATCTTCTTGTTGTTTTTTGTGTGAATTATGGTGCAGAATATGGAATGGGAGGACAACCATCAATACATGGTGATTTATATAGCTTTGGGGTTCTCGTTTTGGAAATGTTCACTGGAAAAAGACCAACCAATGAGCTATTTGAGGGGAGCTTTACCCTACACAGCTACACCAAGTCAGCCTTGCCAGAAAGAGTTTTGGACATTGCAGACAAATCGATTCTTCATAATGGTCTCAGAGTTGGTTTCCCTGTCGTTGAGTGCTTGAAAGTGATTTTTGATGTGGGACTTAGGTGTTGTGAAGAATCTCCAACGAACCGGTTAGCAACGAGTGAAGCCGCCAAGGAGTTAATCTCAATCAGAGAGAGGTTCTTTAAAACCCGAAGAACAGCGAGACGTTGAAGTGTTTATGGTTTCCTCTACAAACTTTGCCATCCACTTAAAAGCCTAAATTATATAATATCATACTGTATTTCATAATCTGAAGTTTGTTTTTTCCTCTGTTTATGCTCTGTTCTTTCCAGACAAAAGAGATTGAATGTTTGTGTGTTTCAGCTTTTACATTTTCTGGGGATAAGAATAATTAAGGCAAAAATGAAGTAGCTGTGGTTTATCTATTGCCTCTGAGCACATATTTCTGTTTTGTTGACCCATAAACCGTAAACCGTTGTTGCTGCAAATCTTAAACCGTAAACCCTCGTTGCTGCAAATCTAAAACCCATCATTGGGCCCCTCGATAAACCCTAAACCCACTAGGAAGCAGTTACTGTTTTGATTCTTCTTGTTTCCTGCTGTTAGGAGATCTTCGTCTATCTTGGTTTTGGAAAAGCAAGACTACAATTTGCAGTTTCTTGGCTGGGAAGACATGTAATGCCAAATACAGAGACTCTTTAAATTCAAAGACTTGGGTCGATAGCTCCATATTCGTGATAAGTTATAAGCCCATTTAGTTTTCTCAAGGGCCCAAGTATAATGTTGTCTTTCGGCCGAAGCTCTCATGCTATTATCAGAAGAAAATAAAAAATCTATTTATGTAATTGTATGGTATGATTTATGCCATAAAATTGCACTAAACAATGCATGTAGACTTATCTCTGTATTTGGTAAAGATAATCCATTTTCTTGAACGTATATCTATATGAAGATTTTAAAGCTTTTTCTAAAGATTTTAAAATTCATAACACTCCAAATCAAGAAAGCCAAGTGGTGCTATGTACTTCATTTTTGTGTCTCTAACCAGATATTTATTACTATTCCTCGTTAGGTCCGGTCCGTGAACCCATCTCCGTACTTCAATCCCCTACGTGGCAATAGATCAAGGCAAGATATATCAACCAACACGTGATTCATTCTCATCCGTCGGATCAAGATCGATGAATGCGTGAATTTTCCCGAATAAACCGCGTCGCTTAGTTTAGCCGAGTCCTTATCATGCATCACCTGTAACCGTCTCTACCCGTGGAATAAAAAAATCTAATCTCTTCTCTAAAATAGCACGCGCCTTTTCACCGGCTATATCCGGTAAATGAATCTCTTATTTCTTTTAAATAATTTACTAATTTTTCTCTCTTCGTATATAAACGTACAAGGGCTTTTGTCTTCTTCTTCTCTGTTTCTAACAAATTTCAGGAGCTCTCTCGTAAGCCTCTGAATTCGATTTGACCTCACAACCATACAAAATTTTCCCGAGAAAATCTCTCTCAACGAACGAATTTCGAATCACCAAGAACAAGTAAGCTCTCTCTCTTTCTCATTCTCTCTATCTTTCAATTTCTCGTAATCAATTTTGTCTTAATCTTCATTGCTTTTCTCGATTTATACAGATTCTGAGATTTGTTGCGTTTCATCGGAACAATGGAGGTAAAAGTAGCAACAACGACGTCGTTTCATTGGTCAGGACGACACACGGCGATTCCTCAATGTCCGTCATTTTCGCAAACCCTAACTTCATCAAAACGCCGTCATTCTCGAACCGGTGATGTTTCCGTCGGAGGATCTTTGAGATTAAAACCTTCCACGTTTCTCGGAACTCAATCTGGGAAACTTCACCGATCTAAATCATGTGAGCTTTGGGAATTTTCTAATTCCACCACGAAGAAGATAAGAACTGATGTGAAGAAGAAACATAATCCTTTAAGAAGGGTTTGTAGTGCGAGTTCCGGTTTCTTCTCCGACGAAGCATTCTCTGTGAAAATGCAGGAATTAGCTTCACAATTCAGAAATTCCGGCGAAGAATCTGAAGAAGAGAACAAACACAAATCAGAAGCAGTAGATAACAACAATAACAAGAATCATAGATTTGGTTCTATGAAGCTATTACAAGAGTCTGTTCCAGGTTTAGCTTCTTTGGAAGCTCCATGGGCAGAGATGGTGAACCATTCAAGCATTGAAAGGAAAGCAAACAGTGTTGATTTACCTCTATCACTTAGGATAATAAAGAGGAAGCTACAAGAAGAAGCGCTTAAAGAAGCTAGTGCTACTACTTACTGTTCTATCAATAGAGCTTTCTCTTCTATGGTTTTCATGATTGAGGAGCTTCATAGCTTTGCGTTGCAGACTAGGGTTGGTGTACTTAAGCAGGTTAAGAAGGAAATGCACGCTTCATTGTTGTGGATTTTCCAACGTGTGTTCTCTCAGACACCTACTTTGATGGTTTATGTGATGATCTTATTGGCGAACTACACTGTGCATTCAGTTGCATCGAATCTAGCTATTGCGGCAGCTCCTCCACACTCTGATGTGACGAAAGAAGCACCGGCGGTTACCAAAGGTCTGGATCGGATACAACAAAGGATTGATTTAGGGCCTTTAGTAAGTGGCAGAGATGGTAAGGAGCTTGATGGATCCAAATGGTTAGGATCGATGAATTTTGACAAGGTCTCCCACTTACCGACACATCGAGACTCGGTTTCAGGAGAGGGGATGAGAGAAGAGGAGGTGAGTCTGTGGAATTCGATGGTGGAAGAAGCAGATCAAATGCAAGATTCCACTGTTGATCGTGAAATGAGATTGAGACTGGTTTCACCGATCACTGCAAGGATTGAAGTGGACGATTATGCCAATTACACTAGAACAGAGCTTTTATATAAGATAGGTTTGGCTCAAGAGCCGAACAACCATCTGCTCCTAGCTAACTACGCTCAGTTCCTTTACCTCATCACTCAAGACCATGAGAGGTGAGATATCCTTTTACATTATTCTTGCATCTAACATTCAAGACTTTACATGTACTTTGTGAAGTATATGCTTGCACTTGACTCATTGAGTATCAAAAGGTTGGCCATGATTCTATGTAACTTTGGAACTTGACAAATGATGTTTGCTTTTGGTTATGTATTAGAGCGGAGAACTGCTTCAAGAAAGCCATAGAATCAGAAGATGTAGACGCAGAAGCATACAGCAAATACGCCATCTTCCTGTGGAAAGTTCGGAACGATCTCTGGGCTGCTGAGGAGAACTTTCTAGAAGCTATATCTGCAGACCCTACCAACTCCTATTACGCAGCCAACTATGCCAACTTCCTCTGGCAAACCGGTGGTGAAGAGACGTGTTTCCCTTTAGAAGATTCTCCTCAGGAAATGGTTTGAGAACGAACGAATGGCAGTGAATGGTGTGGTTTATTTGCAGTAAAGAGACAGCTACGGAACTTAGGTACACGATAGAAGCAAGAGGAAAAGTGTAAGTAGTGTTTTTGAGTGAACCAGTGCGGCCGATGAAACATTGCTTCTCTTTGGTTCTTTTTTCTTTTTGCTTTTGCCTAATTTTTCACTCAGTAGTATACACGGACGCAGATTCCATCGAATAAGAACATGTGTAGATCCAACACTATTACACTAATAATAAACACTGAGCATTGCTTTTGGTGAAATAATAAGTGAGCATATTTGGATCGTTCAATGGATTGGTTTGTGACTTTGATATTTTTTGCCAGGCTATAGTGATCTTGTAAGTAACTTTCTTCGAACTTCGTTCATTAGTGTTGTGGCGCTAACAGTCGCAGACTCACAGGAGTCTACTTAAAGCTCTAGAGACGTTTATATCCCACCTTGTCACTGTTCTAGTTAAATAAATGGGCCTCGGCCCAATAACAGGAAAAAAGTTTTGGCCAAGTTCACAAACTCAAAAAACCAAGGCGTGTCTCGTCTGCATTCATACATTTCATTTGAACAAATAAATCAAAAAATGGGAGACTTTGACTCTGCAATTTTCCATTTAGGAACTTAAGAATAACGATAACCATCCCTATACATAATTGTGCCCAAATATATCTAAAAAATATTAAACCAAAATAAAAATGTATCCAAGTGATTTAAAGAAAAATGTGTGAAGGGAAGAGAGAAAGAGGATAAGACACTTGTGGAGAGCTTGTGCCAAAAAAATCCAACGGCTGAGATTCACCAACCTTATTATAATCCCTTTGTAACAAATGCCACACGAAAACACACATACACACACTACCGATAAAGAAAAGGGAAACCAGAGAAGAGATAGAGAGATAACAACAATGGTTTCTTCGCTTCTTATGTCATTTGCTCCGGCCACCGTGAGGGTTTACGCCACTGGCACAAAGGGAGCTTCAGGCGGTGCAAAGGAGGAGAAGAATCCCATCGACTTTGTTCTTGGGTTTATGACAAAACAAGATCAGTTCTACGAGACTAATCCAATTCTAAAGAAGGTGGAGGAGAAAGAAGGTACCAAAGGTACCACCGGAGGCCGAGGAACCGTTCGCGGCGGTAAAAACTCAGCTCCGACGCCAGTGCCGCCTAAGAAGAGCGAGGGTGGATTTGGTGGCTTAGGTGGCCTCTTCAAAAAATAGAAAAAAATGTATAGTAATTTGCATTCTTCATGCCTCTGTTTTTATTATCTATAATTCTTCGGATTTCAATCATATATAAGCTACTCTTTCTTCATCTTATTTGACATCACATGATCTACTTATTATTTTTCTGAACATTTTAAAGATTCACTCACTACTTCAAGAAATCTGAGAATAATAGACTAATATGAGTAATGCTCATGCAACTTTTTTGTGGACTACAATGAGTGATGCTATTGCAACCTTTTGTGGGGGTCTTTAAGATCTTTACACATATCAGTCTGGCTTTTTATACATTTGAATCACTTATACACTCTTGCCAAGTTCTCTTTAAGAGATTGTATCTAGCAAGAATACCAAATCTTACAACACACATCCAGCGAAATCTATGAGTTATCAGCAGAGTCATATTCCAAAATGGTTCTTCAAGTTTTGATTCAAGTGTTCTATGCTTGCTGGAACCATGGATGCTAAAGGGCAATGGTGATAACCAGATCTGACCTGGAGATACAGAAGGCAGCGAGGACATAGCTGATGATCCGTGTTAGATACTGTCTTTAAGGCTATAATTTATGATAGAACAGAGTATCTGTTAACTGGAGCTAGCTTGTGCTGGGAGCAAAAGCTCTTCCTTTCCTTTGACAAAGACTGCGAGTTCTTCAGGTGCAACCACCATACTTAACCACTTCTGCAGTTCTTCACCTTCTACTTTCTCTTTCTCTGCACCAAAACTCAACAGAATCAGCCAGTTATCATCACATCAACCAAACTCAAGACAAGCCGTGGATGACCAAAGCTTTTAGGGATGATATCTTATAGTGTCCTAACCGTTTTTCAAAACTGTTTTGGTGAAAGTAAATAAATTTATACTACACCTTCAAGTTGAGCACCAAGCCCTTCCAATACATCTGGATTAGCGCGTACAACAGACAGCGCAACATCGAGAGCAGATTGTAACAAAATTGTCACTTCTTTTTGAACAAGATCAACTAGTTTCCCCTGTGTATTAACATGGAAGGTTAATTTTTGCATTATATCAATGGACAGTATAAAACAACATAGGTAAGTGCATTGCAGTATGAATTTACCTGATCTCTTCCCCATGGAGAGCCTCCAGAGTCGTCAATCCCACCACCAGAAAGTGTAGCCACAGACACAGGTCCGATTTTTTGGTTAAGACCATATTCTGCTACTGCCTTGTATGCCATATCAGTAGCCCGCCTTATATCGTCAAATGCACCTGTTGATATACGCCCTGAGTAAACAACTTCTTCAGCTGCACGACCTCCAAGAAGGGTAACTAAACGCCCAAGCAGCTCATCAATGAAGAGCAAATATCTGTCTTCACTGGTAGGAGGAATGTATGTAAATCCCAATGCCCCTCCTGATCTTGGCAATATGCTTAATTTCTGACAACAAAGATGAGCAAATCTTGAATCATTTGCGCGTACTAACAACAGAAGATTTGCAACAGTGAGCGTGTTTTCACATTATACCTCAACACGTGGCTGTCCAGTAAGAAGATTAGCAACAGCGGTACCAACCACTGCATGCCCAGCTTCATGCCTTGCCACCACTGCCTTCTCGTTGCCTTTTAATCTTGCAGATTTCTTCTCTATGCCCTGAAACAGATGCTTCGTAAAAAATCACGTTTTGACAATTGGCTTACGTGATCAATAGAATAGAAAGGTTATAGAGATACCGCTATTGATCGCTCCACAGCTTGAATGAAGTCAAGTTTTTCAACAGTCGTCTTGTTCTTTCTTCCAGCTAGCAAGGCAGCCTCGTTTACCAAGTTTGCAAGGTCTGCCCTGCAAAATAGGAAACAAGAGTTTATGAGATATACACCCAAAAACGTATAACTGAAGAAATTTCAACTCAACGATAATATACAAAAGCATACCCCGTAAAACCAGTTGTCATTGAGGCAATACTACCAAGGTTAACATCATCTCCCAAAGGAAGCTCTTTCTTTGACACATGTACTCTCAAAATGGATTCTCTTCCAACTTTGTCTGGCGTTTCCACCTGAAAAAATGCATCAGTGCCTTTGAATACCTAATTAAACTGCATAAACATTTACTAATAAGCAGAGCTAATCCATTCTACCAACCGTAACAACACGATCGAATCTTCCGGGACGACGCAGGGCCGGGTCTAAGACATCAGCACGATTTGTAGCTCCAAGAACGATCACCGCAGAGTTGCTGTCAAAACCATCCATCTCCTGCAGAAAAGTTTCCAACATGTGAACGGGTCATGGAAAAATCAGGATTGCTACTTACACAGGAAAGGTGCATGATAGCAGACTTACAGTGAGCAACTGATTTAAAGTTTGCTCCCTTTCATCGTTGTTGCCGATTCGGAATTTACCATCACGGCTTTTTGCCACAGCATCTATCTGGAGCATAAAAGACAAATAAAAAATCTTGTTTAAGATGCCCAGAGGTATAACGTACTGGAGGTAATCTGGCATCGACTACCTATTCTAACCTCATCAATAAATATAATCGATGGAGCTTCCTTCTTGGCCCGTGCAAAAAGATCCCTTACACGTGAGGCACCCATACCGACATACAGCTCTACAAACTCACTTGCAGAGCAACTTATGAAGGGGACTTCAGCTTCCCCAGCAACAGCCTTTGCAAGAAGGGTTTTCCCTGTTCCGGGAAGACCAACCTGGAAAAGAAAGGAATCAAAGGCATATCATTCTAAAGAGAGATCTTGTAACCAAACGTTAACCCATGAAATATACGTAATATAAGAATAAAGTGAAATCAAATGATATAACTCACCAATAGGACACCACGCGGAGGACGTGCACCTAAACGGACATACTTGTCAGGATTCCTAAGAAATTCCTGCATTGATTAACCCATGTGTAAAAGACAATTACTAGACTGAGAATACAGCTATGACAGACAATCTGATAATCAATCAACATGTGCAGCTTCTTTAAGGAATGAAAAACCTACCACGATTTCCTCTAGCTCTTCCTTTGCTTCATCAACACCTGCAACATCTGAAAAAGTGATTGTTTCACCTCCACCAGAGACTTTTCCCCCATCAGGACCACCAGATTTTCGAGTCCTAAGTTGGCCGGTTGTACTACTCTGTGTACATTCACAGTGTTTTTTAGGAAATTGAAAATTTAAACAACCACATTAAAGTAAAATGGGAGATACAAACCGTGGAGAAGCTAAGAGGGAATCGAATAAGCCCAGCAAGCACCGCTATGTAGAAAAGAGCTATCTGCAACAAACAAAAAAAGAAACTTTTCAAATGATTGCGAAAAGTGAAAATGAAGCCCATTCATTGCAAAACTATAAAGCATAATCATCAAGGAGTAGCACAAATAGTAAAATGTGGTATAGGCTTGTAACACCAGTGGCCTTACCAATCCAGAGTTGAAGAAGCCACCAGAACGCTTCTCAGGCGATCCAAATTCCACATTATTCCCAAGCATCTTCTCATACGGTGTTTTAATATCACCCGGCCTTGTGGTGGAATAAACAACCCTTTTCGTCGGAGCCACAGCTCTTAACAGCGATTCAGACGACTCAGACAACCTACTAGTTTCACTCTCTTGCCACTTTCCATCATCTCTTAACTTAAACAAAACTTGAACCCCATCAACCTCCACTTTCTGCACCTGGTTACTATTAACTTTACTTAAGAACTCACTATACGGCACACTCACAAAAGTCGTCTGAATTCTCGGCTCCGATCCAGGTAAAGGAATTCCAGGTCGAAGCAATCGCATCACAAACATAACAACACCCAATTGCAACAACAAAACTCCAATCCCTTGCGCTTGGATTATTGGTTGCCACTGCCATTTCTTCCCCTTTGACCACCATACCTTATCTTCCCCTTGCTTCTCTCTTTTCCTCTTCGACGACGAACCTGACTTCGCCGGAGTACTCTGACTTCTTTCTTTCTCCTCACTACTCTCACTAGAACTCTCTTTCTGATCATCTTCTTGACAATTCACAACCAATCTACTCTTCTTTCTTGAAAACCCATCCCAAAGATTAAACCTTTCGTGATTTCTCAACACAGTAACTTGTTTCTTCTGCAGAGGAAGCGTGATTGAATTGGAGACAAACCGATTCGGGTTTTGGCGATAAACCCTACAACGATCGTTGAAAAAGCTCGAACCTTTCGAGTACAATAGACTATTACTACAACAATTTGCAAATCCGTGGATTCTTGGTTGCACAAATTCGAATGTAGTAGTCATATTTTCGAAACCCTAGAAATTGGGGAAATCAAAGGAAACACATTTATATCGATCTGTCTAATTTTCAATGAAGACGAGGTTTGCTGGGAAATTCAACTTCGAATATCGACCGTTGGATCAAAGACAAATTAAAATTCAACCGTCGATACAACGGAGGACGACTAATTTTCTCACCGGCGTACGGAACCGAATGGTGCCAGAGGACACGTGGACATATAATTGGAAGAAGGTAGAGTTTCTTAGGCCCGAAAGAGGCCCAATATGGGCCTAATAGACAAATCACTCAGTCCTAAATTTCTTGTATCTTCTTACGAATAAATATTTCTGAATGTTTGATTAAAAAAATGAAACATTGGTACAACCGTACAATCAATCTGCACAAAATTATAAAATAAAAAGACTATGATAATCGAAAATGTCAAGATTCATTCGAGTTAAATACTAAATAACTGACTTTATTGCTCTAGTCCAAGAAAAATATACTCCCTCCGTTTCATAATATAAGGCGTTTTGGATAAAGTATTTTGTTTCACAATATAAGTCGTTTTCGAGTTTCAATGCAAACTATATATTATTTTAATATTTTATGATTATTTATATTATGCAGTCTCTTTTATGATTGGCTGAACTTTTCAAAAGTAGATCTTCTTAATCTGCGTGTTTTTACCTAAAACGACTTATATTTTGAAACGGAGGGAGTATTATTAATGTGTGGTAGTTAGTGGTCTTATTTTCTGGTTACTTTGTTTTCTTTTTATCAATCACCATTCGATATCTAGGGACTTTTTAGACTAAGTAATTATAAATTCAGAATTTTTTTTTTTTTGTCAACAGCTTAAATTAGAGCTCAAAAGAGCCATTCTTGGGGAATGTTGTTTACATATGTGATATGAAGCGGTTCGGTACGAACTTGTCGAGCCAATTTATCTGCTTTTACATTTGCGCTACGAGGAATTAAAGATAAAGAAAAGCTTGAAAATTCTTCCTTCTCACTCTGAAAGTCCTCCAGATAAACTGAAAAAGCCGGCCACTCGGTTGGAGAAGACACCATCTTCACCAAATCTGAACAGTCTGTAAAGAAAGCTACATCTTCGTTGTCAGCACCAATCATACACTTCATCGCCCAAAGAAGAGCTTCGACTTCTGTATGTAGAGGAGATAGACTTCTACGGATGTTGGCAGCTCCCATGGTTGGCATCTCTCCATTTGATGATGTACAATACCATCCTGTTCCTGAAAAAGTATCGGTTCCTTTCCAAACAAATCTAATGACAGTTTTGTCGGATCACCTCACAAAAATTGTAGCAGTAATCAAAGACTTCTCTATATATTAGGAGCATGTAAGGTTTTCTATGATAAAACAACAAAACTTTTTTTAGAGTGAAAATTACAATGTCGTCATCCAAATTTAGTATCTTTTGTATAGTTCTTATTTTCCTAGATAGTCTTCATGAATGTGGTAAGTTAATGTTATAAAAAGTTTTATGTTTCGTTCATCATTACCATTATAATCATAATCATACCATCCATAGTCTGTAAAATGGTTCACTTATTTGACTTTTTTTTTTGTAGATTCTTTAAGAAATCCTTTCAAAGATGACCCGTTAAGAAATCCGATCACAAATGAAATAGTAAAAGAACCACCGTGCTATCCATATGGAAAACAGTTTAAATGCACAGGTTTCGCTGGAACCGTCGTCGTAGACACCGCCGATCGTTGTTGGTCTTTCTGTGCAGCTGCTCATAAACGACGTCCTTAGAACCCAGCCCCTCCTCCAAAAGCCTTTGAATCCAGCATCTACTCCAAAAGCTGAAGAAATTTGAAGAGCTTTTGTATATACCAAATGTTTTTATATGTTTACTCATAATATAACTAGTCAAAATTTATGTGACTTCACCAAATACAATCATACCTAACTACCTTATTTTGTGTTTAGTAACTTTGAAGGTCATGTAATAATGCACAATACTAATTATAATGTTTTTCAACCCTAAAAACCCAATTGATTTCAACCTTACAATACAACATTTTAATTATAATTTTTTTTGCCAACCAAAAAAAAAATAGTTTACTATTTTGGTGCGTTAGCCATGATCTCAAGACTTCACACCTTATATACATATGAAATGAATTTGTTTAGTTGATATTTGGCCTTACTTATAATCCGGGTGTGTTTCCAAGTCAACGTCCCATGTGTCCCTAGCTTGGCTATAGAAAGAGAAGAAGTGACATTGTAAGAAGAAGAAGAGAAAGAGGAAGAGAATGGTTGACAATGAGAAGTCATGTGTTTACAAGAACCGGGGCGCGCCAGTGGAGGCGCGTGTGAAGGACCTTCTCTCTCGGATGACTCTGCCTGAGAAAATCGGCCAGATGACTTTGATCGAACGCAGTGTGGCTTCTGAGGCCGTCATTAGAGATTTCTCCATCGGTACACAACCACATAGCATTTCTAAATTTGTTTTGGTCAACGACCAAACCTCTGTTTGATTTTCTCTGTTTTGATCTCTTTGTTTTCTCGTATGAAAATTGAATATACTAAAGATACAAAGTAAGTCATATATATTGTCACAGGTAGTGTACTGAACGCCGCGGGAAGTTGGCCATTCGAGGATGCAAAATCGTCGAATTGGGCGGATATGATCGACGGGTTCCAGCGATCAGCGTTGGAGTCGCGTTTGGGAATTCCCATCATTTACGGCATTGACGCCGTTCATGGCAACAATGACGTCTATGGCGCCACCATCTTCCCCCACAACATTGGTCTCGGCGCCACCAGGTCCGGTTCCCTTTTGAGCAAAGTACAAATTTGGTTGAAGAGAAGAGAGAGACTTGTATATAAAGGGGTTGATTTGATCTTCACTGATTAAACATTACTTGATTTGGATCTTACGAGAAGTTTTGATCATATTACTCCTATTAACTTTTAACCTCACCATATAGTAGTAGCTATTTAGTATTAAATAGTTGGTTGCACCTGCGGTGGTTAGCATCTGATTATGTCCAAGATTGGTGCATCTAATGTGGCCATGTTGTGTTTGGCTTGTGATAACATTGGTAGTTCATGTGGTAACTTTGTAGAGACGCGGATTTGGTCAGAAGAATTGGAGCTGCAACAGCGCTTGAAGTAAGGGCAAGCGGTGCTCACTGGGCGTTTGCTCCTTGTGTCGCAGTAAGTCTCTTTATACACCTAGATTTAGCACCGAGATTGAATGTTTTTTTATTTCTTAGTCAACTGAATGAGATGTTGTTCTTACAGGTGGTGAAAGATCCGAGATGGGGAAGATGCTATGAGAGTTATGGTGAAGTTGCTCCAATTGTTTCTGAGATGACTTCACTTGTCTCGGGTCTACAAGGCGAGCCATCCAAAGAACACACAAATGGTTACCCTTTTCTTGCAGGAAGGTATATATACTATATATATAAACACTATGACTTGATTTGTGTCTTTAGTATGTTTACTTTCATTTCTCATGGAATTGGTCACTTGGTGATAGAAAAAACGTGGTTGCGTGTGCCAAGCACTTTGTTGGAGATGGTGGTACTAATAAGGCCATAAATGAAGGAAACACCATTTTGCGGTATGAAGACTTGGAGAGGAAACACATTGCTCCCTATAAGAAATGTATTTCTCAAGGAGTCTCTACCGTTATGGCCTCTTACTCCAGTTGGAACGGAGAGAAACTTCACTCACACTACTTCCTCTTAACGGAAGTTCTCAAACAAAAACTCGGTTTCAAGGTTAGTTGAGTGTGAAAACAATTTAAATAAAGCTAGAAATGTATTCATTAAGTTCGTTTGATTTCATCTTTTTGTCTGGTTATTAGGGGTATATAGTTTCAGACTGGGAAGGTTTGGACCGGCTTAGCGACCCACCAGGTTCAAACTACCGCAATTGTGTCAAAATCGCGATTAATGCTGGAATCGATATGGTAACTGAAATGTTGTTAGTCTTCTAGGATGATTGAAGGAGAAAAGATTATTGAATCAATGTTATTGCAGGTGATGGTACCTTTCAAGTATGAACAGTTCATAAATGACCTGATAGATCTGGTGGAGTCAGGGGAAGTATTGATGGCTCGTGTTGATGACGCTGTTGAAAGAATACTCAGAGTGAAGTTTGTTGCAGGACTCTTCGAATTTCCTCTTACGGATCGATCTTTGTTACCTACTGTTGGTTGCAAGGTGAGCTCTCTTGTTCCGAATGCTATTAAACCCGAGTGCTAATATAATTGAGAACCATATCAAACATGATTTCACTCTGTTTTACGCATTTAGGAACATAGAGAGTTGGCGCGTGAAGCGGTTAGAAAGTCGCTAGTTCTGCTAAAGAACGGCAAATATGGAGAATTTCTGCCATTAAATTGCAATGCTGAGAGAATTCTAGTGGTTGGAACGCATGCAGATGATCTTGGATATCAATGCGGTGGATGGACAAAGACAATGTATGGTCAAAGCGGAAGGATCACAGATGGTAACTAGAGCTACTGCAATATGGTTTGAAAAGCACCTTTGGTAGGAGATGCTAAATGGTCTCGTCGAATATCTAATGTACGTTATATTGTCTGAAAATGCAGGCACAACGCTTTTAGATGCAATAAAAGCAGCAGTTGGAGACGAAACCGAAGTGATCTATGAGAAAAGTCCATCAGAGGAAACCTTAGCCTCTGGATATAGATTTTCTTATGCAATTGTTGCGGTGGGGGAATCGCCCTATACAGAGACTATGGGGGATAACTCAGAACTTACAATACCTTTTAACGGTAGCGAGATTATTACCGCGGTTGCAGAGAAAATTCCGACTCTAGTGGTTTTGTTCTCAGGACGGCCTATGGTTCTTGAGCCACAAGTTCTTGAAAAGGCAGAGGCTCTGATCGCTGCTTGGCTGCCTGGTACTGAAGGACAAGGGATTACTGATGTAATTTTCGGAGATTATGAGTTCCGAGGGAAGTTACCAGCGACCTGGTTCAAACGCGTAGACCAGTTGCCGCTTGACATTGAATCAAATGGGTATCTCCCATTGTTTCCTCTTGGTTTTGGTCTCAATCGTGATTCTGTGGAGAACTCGAAAACGGTTTAAATTTGTTGTTGAATACCTTGAACAAAATTTTCAAGGGACTCTTTCTGTTAAAAATGAAATCGGTTCAAAACCTTTGTCCAGATTTTGAATTTTTGTATGAAAAAGATGCAAATTATTATTTTTATTATTATAGATCATCTATTTCACATGTTCTTAGGACGACACATTTGATCAGTTGGTAGATTGTATTCACAAAAAGGCTCTCTCTCTCATGCTAAGATTGTTTCACACGTAACTCTTCGGACACATTGAAGCATTTTCTTTTTTCTTGAATCAACTATTTCCAAGTCTTTGTTTTTAAATAAAACTCCCACGACACAAATTGGTTCCAGCTGTTGTGTTTTTGTATTCAATTAATCAAAGACCAACATTTTTGTATTTGTTTAAACAACAAATAGACAAGTCTTTTTCTATTTGTCTTTGCCAGCAATCTTCCTTCAATTTTTAAAAGAAATTCGAAAAGTACCAGACATCTTAAAATTAAACGGTATTTCTTTATCAATATGATTTAAGAATCCTTAGAACTAGATTAGGATGTTTAAATGATTAGATGATGACTGTTTAAATGATTAGATGATGACTATTGACAATTAGGGTTCCTTTTTGGCTATATCATAAGGAGGGGTTATTGGTTCATGGATTTGTAAGGAATTAGAAATCCAAACAAAAATCATTTGTTATTCAATCATTGATTTTAAAATCCTAATTAAAATCATGTGTTATTGGTTCTATGATTTATAAATACTAGTTAAAATCCTATGTTATTCGTTTAGTCATTTGTTTTTGGATTTGAGAATCCAAATTATGTTTTAAGTGGATTTGTATGGAATTGAAAGAGTAAAATAGAAGGATTCAAATCCATGGATAAACACATGTTATTTCAAAATCTATATATCTTGATTTCATAATTAATAGAGATTTCCAATTCTTATATGGATTTACAAATTAATAAACCAATAACGCCCCCTAAATTTAGGTTGTGATTTATACTAGATTTGACTTGATCATTTAAATTTAGGACTTAAGCTTTTCCTTTTATAATTGAAATTGTTTTTTGTAAAAATCGAGAAAAATACACATCTTTACTTAAATCTGTATTCTTTATCATTGAACTAACTGAAACTAATCCACTCCAAATTAAATTTGCATATCTAGTCGGCTACACCAGAGCTTCGTGTGACTTTAATACTTTATCATTCCACGTATCCTCAACCTTGGCAATATATAAAGGTTAAGTTGCAAACTTGTAACAGAAGGATAAAACAAAAAAAAAAAGTATGGAAGGAAGCAATGAAACATGCGTTTACAAGAACCAAGACGCGCCAGTGGAGGCGCGTGTAAAGGATCTTCTCTCTCGCATGACTCTACCGGAAAAGATAGGCCAGATGACTCAGATCGAACGCGTCGTCACTACTCATCCCGTCATTACAGATTACTTCATCGGTATTCACAACCACTGACCACCGTTTTTTTTTTTGGTCAACGACCAAACTTTTTTGTAGTTTCCCAAGTCCATTTTCCAAAATTTAAATTTTGAATTTGCTAAAGAAGATACAAAATGTGATAGTAGTAATGGATTTTTGGGGTTACAGGTAGTGTACTGAATGGTGGAGGGAGTTGGCCGTTCGAGGACGCTAAGACGTCGGATTGGGCTGATATGATTGACGGTTACCAAAACGCAGCGTTAGCGTCGCGTTTGGGAATTCCGATCATCTATGGCATTGATGCTGTCCATGGCAACAACAATGTCTACGGAGCCACTATCTTTCCCCACAACATTGGCCTCGGAGCCACCAGGTTTTGTACCATTCTCTCTTTACTTTGAGCAGTCTACAAAATTTGAGCACAAGAGTCAGAGATTTGCATATAATGGGATGGAAATGTAACTATAGGTTGGAATCTAACCCTAGTAGTATTTGAACAAAGTGGTTGTTAAATGTGATAGAGATGCAGATTTGATCAGAAGAATTGGGGCTGCAACAGCACTTGAAGTAAGAGCTTGTGGCGCTCATTGGGCGTTTGCTCCATGCGTGGCCGTAAGTTCCTTATACCTTAGTCAATTGAATGGAGCCTTTGGTTGGATATCTTTGAGTGTTTCATGAAAATGGGTGTTATTTGGGATCTCTCGTATCCTAATGCCAAATATGTGTGTTGTTTCCCATTGAGTATGAGATGTGTTCAATAAATGAGAATTTGCTTAATCCTTAGAAGTCTATAAAAGGAAGAATTCCTAACAAGAAAATCAAGAATATATACAAGAGGAATATAATGGAAGAAAAAAGTGAAAGAGATTTTTTATATTCTTAATCTTTCTCACAGGCTTTGAGAGATCCGAGATGGGGGCGATCCTATGAGAGTTACAGTGAAGATACTGACATTATATGTGAGTTGAGTACGCTTGTCTGGGGTCTACAAGGCGAGCCACCCAAAGAACATCCTAATGGTTACCCTTTTCTTGCAGGAAGGTATATATACTTCTAGCTAGATTTTGTGTTATTATAGGTTTGATCTCATTTCTCATGGATTTGTTCACTATGTGATAGAAACAATGTGGTCGCTTGCGCTAAGCATTTTGTTGGAGATGGTGGTACCGATAAGGGCATAAATGAAGGGAACACCATTGCGTCATACGAAGAGTTGGAGAAAATACATCTTGCACCATATCTGAATTGTCTTTCTCAAGGAGTCTCTACGGTTATGGCGTCTTACTCTAGTTGGAACGGAAGTAAACTCCATTCCGACTATTTCCTCTTAACCGAACTTCTCAAACAGAACCTCGGTTTCAAGGTTAGCCTAAAATATGATTTGAATATAGCTAAATAAGCTAGAGGTATGTGATTTAAGCTGGTTGCCTTTGCTTTTGTTTTTAGGGATTTGTCATTTCTGACTGGGAAGCTTTGGAACGGCTTAGCGAGCCATTCGGTTCAAACTACCGCAACTGCGTCAAAATATCAGTTAATGCTGGAGTCGACATGGTAAAGTCTGAATGAAACCCCTTCTTAATGAATTTTGATATTTCATATTAACAATGGAGAGAAGATTATTAATCAATGTTACTCCAGGTGATGGTGCCTTTCAAGTATGAACAGTTTATAAAGGACCTAACAGATCTGGTGGAGTCAGGGGAAGTAAAGATGTCTCGGATCGATGATGCTGTTGAGAGAATACTCAGAGTGAAGTTTGTTGCGGGTCTTTTTGAACATCCTCTCACGGACCGGTCTTTATTGGGTACTGTTGGCTGCAAGGTGAGGTCTCTTGTACAGAATGCCATTAGATTTAGACCTGAGTGCTGGGGCCAGAACATGATTGATTCTGTTTTTCCATGACTCTAGGAACATAGAGAACTGGCGCGTGAATCAGTTAGAAAGTCGTTAGTTCTCCTAAAGAACGGAAAAAATTCTGAGAAGCCATTTCTGCCACTAGATCGCAATGCCAAGAGAATTCTAGTCACTGGAACGCACGCGGACGATCTTGGATATCAGTGCGGGGGATGGACAAAGGCATGGTTCGGTCTAAGTGGCAGGATCACAATCGGTAATTAAAGCGGCTCCAATCAAAGAGACTAGTAGATGTTGTTGGTAAATTAATCAAAACGTATCTTTGTTGGTCTGAACTTGCAGGCACAACGCTTTTGGACGCCATTAAAGCAGCAGTTGGAGACAAGACCGAAGTGATCTACGAGAAGACTCCTTCCGAAGAAACTTTAGCCTCGGTGCAAGGCTTCTCCTACGCCATTGTTGCAGTGGGGGAAACTCCCTACGCAGAGACATTGGGAGATAACTCGGAACTCACAATACCCTTGAACGGTAACGACATTGTAACTGCAGTAGCAGAGAAAATCCCGACTCTTGTGGTCTTGTTCTCAGGACGGCCTTTGGTTCTTGACCCGCCGGTTCTTGATAAGACTGAGGGTCTGGTCGCTGCTTGGCTTCCTGGAACCGAAGGGCAAGGAATGAGTGATGTCATTTTTGGAGATTATGACTTCGAGGGGAATTTACCAGTGAGCTGGTTCAAACGCGTTGACCAGTTGCCGTTAACAGCTGATGCCAATTTGTATGATCCATTGTTTCCTCTTGGTTTTGGTCTCAACTACAATTCCGGTGAGAACTCAAAACCAGTTTTGACTTCACCAATCTGATGGAATGTGTGAAACTGTGATATTTGATATTCAGAGTGATGCTTGGACTAGTGTGCATATAAATAAGTACGTGGTTTTGTATCTTGTTTCCAATAAAGTTGAAAAGGTAAGAAAAACAAAATCCAATAACATCAATATTCACAAGTCTGTTTGCTTCTATCATTATCTTGCTTTCTTGTTCGACAAGAAACTATTGTACAATTACATATTTTCTTTCTTTTTTTCTGGATTTTTTTCTTGCAATAGATGGTATCTAGAAAGAAAATGAAACTGATCCAAAATTGAAATTAGATTTTTTTTCTGGAATGGTTTTACTGGTAGCTTGATTTGTGACAATTCTATTTTGTATTGTTTCTATAGAGGAAATTTTGTTAGACAGTTGCTTTGACAACCGTGTGCCTCTTTTGTAACCATCACCAACTGTTTGATAGTGAGAATTAATGAATGATGAGAATGATCATTTATTGATTGTATATATGTTTGTTACCAAATTCCTTCTTTCAGAGAATCTAGAGGTTGGATAATGGTTATAGACCGATTCAACAGAATATGGATCAAATTCTACTTTTAATTTTATATATAAAACTAACAGTAAAAATTCACGAAGACAAAGTAGGTTTCTCAAGAAGATAAAAGTTCAAATAGCTTAAAACATAGCTTACAACAAGATAAGTTCAAATAGCTAAAACATAGCTTACAACAAACATTGATACATATAACATTCAAACAATAACCGAACAAGATGGATGTAACCTTAGGAGGCAAGATACATTAGATATGCAATAAAGTCCTAATCCATAAGCTCGACATCCTCTACATGGTTTAAAATCGTCGAAATCATTGAGCAGTGAGGCTTCAAAGCTACAATTCCGAATTCGATTTCAACTCTTATCATAATATGAGTCACGGTACTGAAGTAGATGATGTAGAAAGGTTCCCGTGGATGGCTTGTCGCCATCACAATTTCACCTGCAGTAGTCGTCCCGACAATGTATACGTAGGTATCCGCAGCTAGATTATACCAAAAACATGGCAATTCATATATAATACCCGACCATTTCACTTCATCACCATCATTTAGAACACACAGCTCCAATTGTTGATGTTGTTGAATAGCATTACCATCTAGCCATGCTACGGCCAACTTACCTTGGTACTTTATGAGTGCTGAACACGCAATGTTTATATAACTCCGATTCATAGGTAGACACTTGAATCTCTCCAATCTAACATCAAAGGCTACTACCATATAAGGTGTTGAAGTTTCAAGGTCCAGGCGCATAGCTAAATAATACAATACCCCATCGATGTACATCTCTTTACGTAAAGGTAGATGGGGTATCAAACATTCGACCGTTCTCCAGGTAGCTTCTTCCGTCCCTAATGTTGAAACTCGACTCACAAAATCATCAGACATGCACAATACCTTGAATAGTTTGTCGATAGGATCATACACAAATGAAGTGTTCACGGTAAGCCTCTTCGTTGTCGCACTTGGTATAGAAATGTACTTTGACTCTCCTGTGCTAGGGTTACAAAGCATCGGCTTCTTAGATTTGCAACAGATCAAGCCAGGTATAGGGGCACAAACCGTGTAGGAAGGACCCAAATCTTTAGGGAAATGCATCTGGTAATAGGCAGATATAGGAGAGGTTGATACCCAATAATAAGGTGTAGGAAAGGAGTAGTTGTTGCGGTCTGGATCTGGAACTTGAGGTATGGAGTAATAGAGTCGCCTACCCTTGTGTAGGAAGGTGAATAATATACGAGGCCGAGTCGATGACACTTTCAGGAACAGTTGGGTGAAATCTCGACGACGTAGTAAGGAAGACCAAAGCTTCGACACGCAACGACACCTCGCAACTTCTCGCATGGACAATCTTGAGAAAACATCAATCAAGAGATCAATTGGTATCTCCTTCGAGATTTCTCTTGGGGTGTTCCTTGGACGGGTGGTGACTTGCTGCTTCTGCCGTTTTCCCATGGCGGCGGTAAACCCTAGAAACCCAAACATGACAGCGACTTCTGTTTTTTTTTTGTTTTTTGTTTTTTTTAATTAAGGAGATTTGGAGAGAGAGTTTTAAGATTTTTTATTTATTTAGTAAAGAACACAGGTGGTCTTAGAGATGGATACATTGTTAATTCCATCATTCTTGATAATTTTCAATGTCAATCCAAGTGTATATATTAATTCATGATTTTTTTCCTTTTTTGTCAACCAAAAATAGTTTTTATAGATGCATATAAGGCTATAAAATATGAAAATACCAGGATAAAACCGTTATTTTTTCGCACCATTTTGACTATATGTACTCAAAGTTAACTAATGTACATATAGTCAAATATATCTTAGATTGTTCATTCATTATAATTAGTTAGTAGTTTATTTAGTAGAGACATTTTAGTAAATTAATCAAAACAAGACATTTTAAATACTTAAACACTTTTTTCATTACCTCTAAAGAATTTTACTCTAACACAATTGCAGCGAGAACTCAAAACCGGTTTGACTTCACCAGTCTGAAGAAATTTGTGAAAGTGTGATATTTTGATATGATGGAGTGTGACTGTGTGAGTGGCGTTTATAAATTTCTAAAATTAAATAGTCAATTGGAAAGAAAATGAAATCCGATTTTTTCGGGAAATTGAGGGTTTACTAGTAGCTTGATTTGTGAAATTTTTGGAAATATGAAAATCTTATTTTATCGGTTATTCTGTAGACGAATCTCTGATTTGATAAAGCGTATACTACAATAGTTTGCGTCTTTTGTAATCCCTTTAAAAGCATCTCTATCGGGTAGAAATCCTGAAACTTTCTCCAAAAAAAAAAAATTATTATTTTAAAATTGTAATTTTATTTTTATTTTTTCTATTAATTGGACCATTAAAATTATGACATGTGGCAGTGACATCATAGAAACAGTTTCTCAAAGTGTCTGTGCAAAGAAACGTATCTGCTTTATTTCCCTTTTCTCTCTTTTTTTATAATTTTTTATTAATAAATGTCTACTCAAGACATCCTTGATGGAGATGGTCTAAGGCTTAAATTAAACAAAACAAAAATCATCAACAAATCTTTGATGGTGAGAAGAAATGAATAATGAGAATCCTCATTGATTTTTATTTTTGTTGAAACCTCATTAATTATTTTTTATACGTTTTTGTTTAAATAACATGTGTGCGCTCACTTTGAGAGAATCTAGCTTTTACGTACACCGTGTACAGTACACGAGGTTGGATAATGGTTCAAGACCGATTCAACAGGCTTTGGATCAAATTCTATGTTTAATTATATAGAACTAACAGTAACATTTCACGAAGAAAATTGCTCATGAAGATGAAAGTTCAAATAGCTTAAAAATAGCTTACAACAAGAAAAGTTCAAACATATAGCTTACAACAAACATTGGTACATATATAGAACATTTAAACAATAACCGAACAGGTATTAGTTTCACGAAACAAGATGGATGCAACCTTAAGGCAAGCTACATTAGCTATGCTATAAAGCCCTAATCCATAAGCTCTACATTCTCCACATGGTTTAAGAATGTCGAAATGCTTGAGCAGTTAAGAGCCCTCAAAGGTTCAATTCCGAAATCGACTTGAACTCTTACCACATACTTCTTCACTGTATTGTAGTAGAAGATGTAGAAAGGTTCATGTACATAGTATGTCGACAAAACAATTTCACCTGAAGTAGTCATCCCGAGGATGTATAGGTAGGTCGTCTCCACAGCAAAATTCTTCCAATAATCTGGCAATTCGTAGATAATAATCGACCATTTCACTTCATCAACATCATTTAGAACACGCAGCTCAAAACTTTGTATGTGTCGATAGATACCACCCAAATTTTGCCATAGTATGGCCAACTTACCTTGGTAATTTATGAGTGCTGAACCCACAATGTTTAACTCCACAGGTAGAAACTTGAATCTCTCCAATCTAACATCAAAGGCTACTACCATATAAGGTGTTGGAGTTCCATTGCCCATACACTTGGCTAAATAGTACAAAATCCCATCCATGCATATCTCACTATGTAACGGTTGATGGGGTATCGAACATTCGACCTTTCTCCAGGTAGGCGTTACTTCTTTCGTTCCTAATGTTGAAACTCGACACACATAATCACTGGACACGCACAATACCTTGAATAGTTGGTCGATAGGATCATACCCAAAATATGGTCTCGTCTTAACCCTCTTCGTTTTCGCACTTGGTAAAGAAATGTACTTTAACTCTCCTGTGCTAGGGTTACATATCATCGGTTTCTTAGATTTGCAACAGATCAAGCCAAGTATAGGGGGACAAACCTCGACCGAAGAACTCAAATCTTTAGGGAAATGCATCTGGTAATAAGCAGATACACGAGAGGAGTAGTTGTTGTGGTCTGGATCTAGATCTTGAGGTATGGAGTAAAAGTGCCGCCTACCTTTGTGTAGGAAGGTGAGTAGTATACGAGGCCGAGTCGATGAGATTTTGAGGAACAGTTGGGTGAAATCTCGACGAAGTAGTATGGAAGACCAGAGCTTCGACACGCAACGACACCTCGCAACGTCTTCAATGGACAATCTTGAGAAAACGTCAATCAAGAGCTCAATTGGTATCTCCTTCGAGTTTTCTCTTGGGGCGTTGCTTGACCGGGCGGTGAGTTGCTGCTTCTGCCGCTTTCCCATGGCGGCGTTAAACCCTAGAATCCCAAACATCGATTTTTTTTTTTTTTAAAGGAGATGTGGACAGAGAGAGTTTTAAGATTTTCTATCTATTTAGTGAGGATCACTGGAGGTGAAGAGATGGACACATTGTCAATTCCAATGTAATTCAAGTTCATCGAAATGTATATTAATTCATGAATCTACCAAAAAATAGTTTCTTTAAGATGCATATAAGGCTATAATATATGGAAACACCTATTTTTTCGTACCATTTTTACTACATGACCCGAATAAAACCGTTATTTTTTCGCACCATTTTGACTATATGACCCAGGTAAAACCGTGATTTTTTCGCACCATTTTGACTGCATAACCCGGGTATATTTTTCGCGCCATTTTGACTATGTTGTAAAATTTAACTACATGTAGTCAAATATATCTTTAAAGTTT